GTCTTTTCAAGCCAGTACAAATGTAGGTTAAGGGCTAAATTGTCATTTTTAAAATGAGGGGCAAGATAGACTTTTCAAGTGACAGATCCGTACAAACTCGTATTTATATGATATAATATAAACCATCATGTCAATCTATATTATTATTTTTTTAAAAAGAAAAAACAATCAATATTGTTTCTGGATTTTGAAATTAAATTTGAGGTTTTGAATTGTAAAATTGAGTTGTTTATATTTATAAATAAGGGGTGATCTGATGTATAAAATTAATATTTAATACAATATAACAAATAATTTTTTTATTTAATATTTTTTTAAAAAAAATTTAGTGAATACTAAAGTTCATATTGAAAATTCACAAACAAATAAAACTTAAAGTCTAAATTAGTTTTATGTAATACTATCTCCGTCCATTTTTTAAATTTTATATATTTATTTTCGTTTGTTTTCATTCAAAATATATTCTTTTACTTTTTAATAATTATCAATCATAATCCCTCCGTCCCAGATATCATGTCCATGTTGTCGTTTTTGTCCGTTCCACATACCATATCACTTTTTTTTTTTTTTTAAAATGATTACACACTTTAATCTCATTTTAAATTTTAATTTTTTTTTTAAATTTTAATTAAACTAATTAGTTATTTTAATCTTAATTTATAATTATTTATATTATAGGATAATTATTTTCACTAATACATTCTTAATTATTTACTAATTACACCCCTCCTAAAATACTATGTCTACAGTGTAGCAGACACGGTATTTGAGGCGGGAGGAGTACTAGTTATATTACTCTTATTTTGACTTTTATTTACTATCATACTAATCTTTTTAGTAAAGGTATAAATATCTTTATGTAATTATTTCATTCTGTCTCAATTTAAAAAAAATATATTTTTTTTATTATTTTCGTTTGTCCTATTTTAAAATATATATATTTTTTATTTTAATAAAAGTAGTCATATACTAATATTAAAATACTCTTAATTTTTACCTAAATTACAAGTATACTATTACACATACAATTAATTTATGCATAAAGTCAAACGATACATAAAAAATATCGTATCACTTCTACTGACCAATAAAATATTACTCCCTCCGTCAATCTCTAATGTTTATATTTATTTTTTGTGTTAAATTTTGAATATTAATTATTATATCAAAATGTAGTACAAATCAAAGAAAAAAATAAAAATATTTATATTAATATCTTATAAATATATGTATAATATATTATAAAAATATTAAAATATTTTTAATGTTAATTATAACAACGTAAAAAATCAATATAAATTTTTATAGCTAAACAAATAAAATATTAGTTTTTAATCTATTACAAAATTAAATAAAAACAAAAAAGTAAATGCTACTAATTATTACTATTAAACTATTAATATATACTCCCTCTCTCCCAATACAATAATTTTATTTACCATTTTTTCTATCCCAAAACAATAGTTTTATTTTTATAAATAAACTATATCAACATAAAACTACCAATATTTTTTCATTTTTATTACATAATTGCCACTACTCTTTACACTAATACACTCACAAGAGCAAAAAAGTCTTTTATCTATACTAGATTTCAAATAGAAAAAGGCGTGGGAGGACGTTGCGGATTTTTTACCAACTATTAATATAATATTAATATTTTTTAAATCCCGTGCCCAACCCAATTAAGACTATATTTATGGGAACGAGGGAGTATATATTTTTTATTTACATGCTAAAAGTAAATCCCCACCTTAAAGAGTACCGGAGGGATTAATATTTCATTAAATTGTCATATAATCTATATAATTAAATTTATAGGTTTTGCCATATTAGAATTTGCTTTATTTTTAATGCACATTTTCCAATAAAATATTTTTACATAAAATAATATACTCCTTTCGTTCTACTTTAAATTTTGGTTACGGTAAACATGAAAATTTAAGATAAGTATAACTATTAGATAATTAAAAATGTATTAGTGAAAATAATTAACTCATAATATAAATTATTATAAATTAATTTAATTAAAACTTAAATTAGAAAAAATTAATTATAGATTAGTTTAATTAAAACTAAAAAAATTTAAATTAAAAACTTTAAAATAAGATTAAGATGCGTAATTATTTTAAAAAACAGAAAGTGACATGAGATGTAGAACGGTGGAACGGAAGGGAGTATTATTTAACTAATTTATTAAAAAAAGAAAAAAGACAGCAATAACAGAAATTAAACAAAAAAAAAAAAAAAAAAAAACTCTTAGGGTGTGTTTGTTTGGGAAATTGGATTTAGAATATATTATTTATCCTATTTTTTCTCTCCAAAAAAACGTCAAATCAAACTCTTATTTTCTATTTTTTATGTATTATACTAAAAATCAATTTTACTTTCAAAAGATCAAATCAACACCTATTTATATCACATTATACAACTATTTAAATTCAAAATTTTTACTATTTTTATCCCAACTCAAAATCCAAATCCCCAAACAAACACACCCTTAAATGATTTTTAAAAATTATGGTTTGTGTTTGTTTGGATCGATTTGGTTTGTGGTAGATATTGAATAACATGTTTGATATGCATATATGTATATATATATATATACTTTTAAAAAATTTGATAAACACTAATTTTAAATATTTATAAAAGACATTATATTCTTTTCTAATGAGTTTTCTATTTGATTTTTCATACAAATTAAAATAAAATAATATTTCATAAATATACAGCGTAATAAAATAATATACTCTCTCCGTCCCATATTTATATATTGATTTATTTTTTGCACGGAGTTTTAGAAATATTAGTATTATATTGAGATAAAGTAAAAATAAAGATAAAAAGACTAAATTACCCATGTTAGTATTGTATGATATAAAGGTAATAACATTTGTGTAATATATTGTAAATAGAAAGTGTATTCGTAATATTAAGTAGATGGTACAATTACTAAAAAAAATAAATAAATACTTTGTTATGGTACAGACCAAAATGAAAAAATAGATAAATTGTTAAGGGACGGAGAGAGTAATATTTATTTTATCTTTAAAAGATAATGTTAAAAAAAAAGTAAAAATTAAAAATATTTTTCCTTGTATCATATGCTGAAATACATATCTAATTCAGCATGTACATAATTAATCTTCATTCTTAATTAAACAAAGGTAATTAAGTCAATTTAAGCATTTTTTTTTTTTTAAATCTGAAAATCATTTTGTATTTAATTAAAAATTACTTTTATTTCCTCTATTTTTATTTATTTTTTTTTTAAAAAGAAAATTTCACTAAATTTTAACTCTACTTTAATTTATTCTATTTCTTCGATCTGCCGGTGAAATGATGGGGAATAACCTTCTAAAAAATATTTATTTAATTTTTATTTATTTATATATTAGCTTCAAAATATTACTCCATCGGTTCCAATTTTTTTTTTTTTTTCAAACTCACTGCAATATTTTTAAATTTAGTAATAATTAATTATAATTTTTTTATATATAAATATACACTTTACTTTTATCTCATCGTATCATTCAAATAAAAAAAATAAAATATACGTTAATCTCTCAAATCATATCATCTAATTTTCAAATTATTTCAAATTACACTACTTAATACTGCCTACCTAAATTCCTGTGCTGAACTCATATGTTGCACGGTGTTTGAGACGGAGAAAATAGTTAGGGTGTGTTTGTTTGAAGGATTTTGGTGGATTTCCACTGTTCATCCAATTTTTCCCCCTCAAAAACATCAAATCAAATACCTATTTTTTTTTTATATTATACTAAAAATCAATTTTACATTCAAAATATCACATCAAACCTTATTTATATCACATCATACAACTATTTAAATTCAAAATTTTTACTATTCAAATCCCAACTCAAAATCCAAACCCCCAAACATAAGCACCCTTAATTTTATCTTTAAAAATATCGAACAGACCCACCGAAGTGACCCAACAAAACCTCCCCACCCCACCCCGTGTAAGCCCCCCCACCCCACCCTCCCCCGCCCAACCAACCCCCGTGTTTCAATTTCTAACCACAATTCTCATCATCCAATTTACATCCATTCTTCCTTCTATTAATAATTGAAAATGATCCGATAAAAAAAATAATAATAATTGAAAATGAAATAAATAAAATATTGATTATATAAAAAAATAAAATATAAAAGTTTCCATCATATATGGAGACGGTTGGAGTTGCTCTAGATAAATGAAAAGTTTTGATAGAAACATACCTAAATGACAAAATGAGAAATAAAATTTAGATAAAGGGAGTATCAAATATAAAATACTCTCATTGTTTCATTTTAAATGGATATAAATTAAAAAATAATAATATTTTATTAGTTAATAAAAATAAATAATTTTTGACATTTTTGTATTTTGAATTTATGAATAAATTAATTGTATATATAATAATATCTTATTATTTTAAATAAAAATTAAAAATATTTTGATATTAATATATAATTATTTTTATTAAAATAAAAAAAATATTTTTAATGAAACGACCAAAAATAATAAAAAAAATATTTCATCCGTCCAATAAGAAGAATTTTATTTTTCACAATATTAATAGGAAATTTTCGTCTTTTTCACTGTAATCTAATATAATATTCCCTCTGTCCCATATACTGTGTCTGCTACACGTAGACACGGTATTTTAGGAATGTATTAGTAGAAAATTAAGAATGTATGAGTGAAAATAATTATCTTATAATATAAATAATTATAAATTAAAATTAAGATAACTAATTAGTTTAATTAAAATTAAAAAAAATTTAAAAATTTAAAATGAGATTAAAGTGTGTAATCATTTTTTAAAATGATATGATATGTGAGACGAATAGAAACGGCAACATGGATATTATACCTGGGACGGAGGGAGTATATTAAAAATTTACGTCAAAAAAAAGCGTGCAACTGACCACTAAAAACGTGAAACCAAAAACCCGCTTTTCCTCTATATATATAAAAAACGCAGCAAACAAAAAAACACGCTTCTTCAACCTCACATCCATACCTCACCAATGGCGGCAAACTCCCTCCCTCTCAACGACCGCCATGTCAGGAACCTCCGATTGCTTACAAATCGGCTCCATTTCTTCATCCATGGCGCCGCGCTCCTCTTCCTATTCCACTACCGTCTCATTTCCCTCGCCGGAATATTCCAATTCCTAACCCTAATTGCAGAGGCGATCCTCGCTTTCCTCTGGCTCCTTAATCAGCCGTCGAAATGGACCCCCGTCGTCCGTACGGCTTTCCCCGACCGACTTCCCGGCGACCGGAGGCTTCCGGCGGTGGACGTTTTCGTCTGCACGGCGGATCCGGGGAAGGAGCCGAGCTTGGAAGTGATGAATACGGTGGTTTCTGCCATGGCGCTCGACTACCCGCCGGAGAAGCTCCACGTGTACATTTCCGACGACGGGGGGAGTAGCGTGACTCTACGCACCGCCAGAGAGGCGTGGGAGTTCGCGAGGTGTTGGGTGCCGTTCTGCCGGAAGTACGCGGTGGAGAATAGGTGTCCGGAGGCTTATTTCATGGAGGAACACGAAGAGTGCCATGGCCGCCGTGGGAAGGCTGAGGGCACGGACTTCGCACGTGAGGAGAAAGAAGTTCAGGTAATTTAATTAGAAATGGAAATTTATTTTTATTTTATCAATTTTTATACTCCCTACATCTTATTTACCTTTTCGGTATAAAGTTTAATTTTAAAAGGCTAAAATGCTTTCGATTTATTTTATTTTTTATTTTTAAAGGTATTTAGAAAGTACGTAAGAGTAATAATTAGGGATAATTTTAAAAAATAGGAATAATATTATTATAAAGTGAGGACTATATTTATTAAATAAAAAATATGATAATTATTTTGGAATGAACGAAAATAGGAAAATAAGACAAGATAATTTAAAAAAATAGGAATAATATTGTCATAAAGTGAGGACTATATTTACTAAATAAAAAATATGATAATTATTTTGGAATGAACGAAAATACAAAAATAAGACAACTTTTTAAGATGGAGAGAATATTCAAATATCAACACCATACCTTTAGAACTGACCTGACCGGAGATAATACTTAATAGTCACAAATAGAAATATATTTCTTCTATTATAGTACTCCCTTCGTCCCAAACACTCTACAACCAATATTTTTTTTTTTTTTTTATGTTCCAAACACTCTGTAACATTTTTAAAATAAGAAATAATTAATTATACTTAATCTACCCCCACATTTTATCTCCTCACATCATCCAAATAAAAAAATAAAATATATATTTTTATCTCCATCACATCACCTAATTTTAAAATTATCATATTTAATACTACTCACCTAAAAATTTTGTGTCAAAAAGTAAATGTTGCATCTTGTTTGTTTGGGACGGAGGGAGCACTGTACATTTATCATTTTCATTGGTCAAAATATAAAATATAAATATATTTATTTATTTTAGACTTGTGAAAAAATATAGGTGTGTTTGTTTTGTGTTTTTGTTTGAAGAAAATTTTTTTATGTGAAAGTAAAAATATTGTATAGATCATATAAAACAAATTGATACTTACTTCCGATATTGAGAAATTATTTTTTTTTTGTAAAAAAAAAACAAACTCTATCTACATAAGGACGAACAAGACAGTTATATTTTTATTATCAGTTATTTTTTTTTTTATCATAAAATATTAAATTTAATAATTAAATATAAAGATATGTTGGTTGTATTTTTAAATATAAATCAATAGCATTTATTCAATTTGGACAAAAGTTTGTTATTATTCTCTTCGCCGTGGAAATTAATGTTTAAACGACCGACAAAATATTAAGTGTGTTAGGTTTGTATTTTAAAAACAAATCAATACTATTCATTTTATATGTTTTTTTTTTTTTTTTATAAAATCTATTTTTGTCAGCCTTAGAGTCATATTTATATTTTGCATGTTAATATTTGAATATTAATTATTATATCAATAGTATAAATTAAAAAAAAATGACAAAAATATTTTTATTAGTATTTTATGATCAGTTCCGTTTCTGACTTTTTTTTAAGGCTCGGGCAAAACTAAAATATTGAGCCCTTAAATAAAATTAATATAATAATAAAAATAATTTTTATACATTTTTAAAATGTAAATGTAATAATAAAATTAATTTCTTCATATATTAAAGATTAAAATATAAATATAAAATTAATGTGACATAAAATTAAATTTTAGTATAATATAAAAATAAAAGAATATTTAATTTAATATTATTTAATTTTCTTTTTATAAATAATCAAAATTTTTAAAAGAAAATTTTCGAACAAAAGTAATATACGATTTATTTTAAAAATATTTTTCAAAAAATAATATAATAATATAAAATTTAAATATATAAACATGAAAATACATAAAATATTACTTTATATCATATTTTCATAATTTTAGATGATTCATAACAAAAGTATATAAAATTATTTAATTAAATAAACACAATAAAACATACAAATAAATAATTTAAAAAAATTATATTAAATTAATTTATATAAAAATAAGTATAAAATAAATTTTTTTTATTTAAAATTTTATTTTATATATTCAGAAAAAGATTAATAATAATAGTATATGTATTTATATATTAATAATACTAATAGAATATATTAGTACAAAAATTTATAAAAGTATAAAAATATTTTTAATTTTAAGTATAATAATAAAAACTATAAATGTAACCTTATGTCACTTTTTTTAAATTTATAAAGAAAGTTACATAATAATGATGGATGACCGTATTATTTATGAGATAGATCAAAATAAATAAATAAATAAATTATTAAGGAATGAAAAAAATATTATATTAATATTTATTATTTCTTGTTATAAAAGCTCGCTGATTCGTATATTTATATAATATATATATATATATATATTGTAAATAGAGAAACTTGTGGCCACTGACGGAAGTGATGCAGAATTGTTGATCTCATGTGCGTTGTCCTGATGCAGATAAGGTATGAGGAGTTCAGGTCCCGGGTGTTGGAGATTGTTGGGGAGACCAGTCTTCCTCCGGGGCCCAGCAAAGATCACTCGCCTCTAATTGAGGTATCGAAAAATCAAAATCTATTTAGGGTGTGTTTGTTTGCGTCTTTTGATTTCGAGTTGAGATTTGAATAGTAAAAATTTTGAATTTGAATATTGCATAAGTAGGTATAATGTGATATTTTGAATGTAAAATTAATTTTTAATATAATATAATAAATTTAAAATAAGTATCTGATTTGATATTTTTGAGAAAAAAAAAATTGTAATGAATTAGTTGAAATCCTGATAAATCCACCAAATATTTGCTCGGGAGTTTGGATTTTTGTTGATATGATATTTTGAATGTAAAATTAATTTTTAGTATAACACAAAAAGCAACATGTAGGTATTTGATCCGATTTTTATTTTTTTTAAAAAAATTTAATGAATAGTAAAAATTGGATTTGTGTTTTGTTTTTATTTTAAATTTAAAAATACTACTCCCTCCGTCCCATTGGAAGGGTGACATTTGCTTTTTGTACGTATATTTTTGAATATTAGTATTATATTGGACTGTAGTAAAAAAGACAAAAATACCCCTATTAATATGGTGTAATATAAAAGTAATGACATTTGTGTAATATAATGTAAGTTGAAAGAGTATTTATTATGTTAAGTAGGTAGTACAATTATTAAATTAAGAAATGGTAACTTTGTTTTGGGACAGACGAAAATAGAAAATGGTAATTTTTCAATGGGACGGAGTGGTATTATTATTTATTTTTATACAATTTTCAATAATAATACACTATTTTTCTCATAAAAAAACCACATTATAATACTATTTAAATCAAAAAATTGAAATTACCATTCTATTTCTAATAAATTTCAAACTACAACCAAATTAACTTTAAATCTGTCAAATATTTACTCTATCAACCCGGAAAATATATTTATTTTTTTTTGTACAAAATTTTAAAAATACACTACTCCCTCCGTCCCAAAACTATAGTCTGAGTTGTGTTTGACACGATATTTAAGGAATATTGATATTATATTTGCAGTGGGTAAAAAGTACGGGTAAAAGATTTTTTTGCCTTTGTGAGTGTATTAGTGTAAAAAGTAGTGACAATTGTGTAATAATAATGAAAAAATAAGGGTAATTTTATAATAATATGATTATTTATAAAAATGAGACTATTGTTTTAGAACAGATAAAAATGGTAGACAAGATTATTGTATTGAGACGGATGGAGTATATTTTAATATTAGTTGGTGGGTACTTTTTATAAGTAAAAACATTTTATTATCTTTATTTTTAACTTAGATATAATAATATTGAAGTAAACAAGTACTATAAGGGTGTGTTTGTTCGGGGATTGGATTTTGAGTTGGGATTTGAATAGTAAAAAATTTGAATTTGAATAGTTGTATGATGTGATATAAACAGGTGTTGATGTGATGTTTTGAATGTAAAATTTATTTTTAGTATAATATAAAAAATAAAAAATAGGTGTTTGATTTGATGTTTTTAGGAGGAAAATTTTGGATGAATAGTAAAATTTTGATAAAATTCAACAACCGAACACACCCTAAGTTGTCGTGTTTATTAAAAAAATGAAATGCATATCTTGTGGTTAGATAGATGACAATGACAAATGTATCTTTTGGTAAAAATGAGTATTTCTTTTAATTAATTGGACAAATTGTTTAAAAAATTAATTTTTATTTGGTTGTTTATTTATTCTATTATTCATATTTGTGTTTGTTTTGAAGGATTTTTTTTTTAAATTTTTTATTAATTATGTGAAGTACAAAGAAATATGTAGATAATAATGTAAAAATAATGAGTGTATAGTAGATTAATTTTTTGGAGAAATATGTTAAAAATTTTTACAAAACAAACAAACAAACCCGTGTTTTTGGTTTTTTTTTTTAAATTTTATTTTTTGATATTTTTAAAGTAAAAAATAATTATTCTATACAAATTAGAACATTTTGACTTTTTGTAATCAGTATTTGAATTTTTATAATTGTATTGTTTAATACTTCCTCCGTTCAGCTAGAAAGTATACATATTTTTATTTTGGGACGTCCAATTACAAAGTAAACTTTTTCTCAAATACTTTATTTTTTTTTCCACAAATACCTCTACTTTACACAAAAAAACAATGGCAAAAATATCGTTACACTACTTTTAACTACCTATTATAATTAAAATATTATTATTTCTCAAACACCGCGTCAAAAGTAAATATATACTTTATGTGTGGACGGAGGGAGTATTATTTTTGAAAAATAGCAATTGAAAAATTAATCTTTAACTGAACAAGCTAATATATATATATATATTATTTTATTACAGATAATTAGCAACAACAAAATGAAGGACGAGGAAATCCCATTTCTTGCATATGTTCGAAGAGAGAAAAGACCAAATCATCATCACCGTTTCAAAGCTGGAGCTCTCAATGTTCTTGTAATAACCAATTATATTTTTCTTCTAATTACACAAATTAAATTTCTTATATATATATATATATATCATAATATTTCCTAATTATTTAATTTCGATCGATCCACAGCTTCGAGTATCGGCCATGCTCACAAATTCTCCCTACATTCTCGTGCTCGACTGTGACATGTATTGCGCCGATTCCTCGTCCGCCCGACAAGCAATGTGCTTTCATCTCGACCCCGAGCTGTCCCCGAAGCTCGCGTTTGTTCAATTTCCTCAAAGATTTTACAACATTAATCCCTCCAACGATATCTACGATTGTCAGCTCAGATATGTTTGGGTATAGTGTGATTTCCAATTCAAAAAGCCGTATTTTTTACTATTATTCGGTAAAAGTAATTATAATTCACATTTAATTTAAAAAATTTACACCAATAAAACTTATTTGTGTTTCTCTGAGAAATGGATTTTATATAATATTTTTTAAAGCACTAAAAATTTATTTAATTTATAAACTACGAAAGAGATTAATGCATACTTTTAAATTACAGGTGAATTATAAGTAATTTTATTTTATTATTTTAGTCATTTAAATTAATTCAGTTTGAAATTATTTTATATCTCACTTATTGTGATTCTAATTAATTGTTACTCGTATAAGTGATTCGTAGAGGCCCATAAATACATACATAAACCTAGCATGTCGAATTAAGATTATTAGAGCCACAAAGAGTGAGATAAAAGATTTTTGATTTTTTTTTTATATTTATTTTTAGGTTTGCATTTTGATGATGTTTAAATATATTTATTTATTTTTTTATATAATTTGGAATTTTTTAGGAAAAATCTGAAGGATTCGATGGAATTTTGGGGCCACTTTTGTCCGGAACAGGTTTCTATATAAAGCGGGAGGCACTTTATGGAACTCATAAATCACGAGTGGGTAAGTAATACATTTTCTTTCTATTTTTGCTTAATTTATTTTTTATACGATTTTTTTATATTATCGACATAATTTTTCATATTTAATATAAAAAATAAATTTATTCAAAAATTTAAGTGCACAAATCCAATGTATATATAGGGTACATTTATTTATATATATATATTGTATAAGAATTTTGTTTATAAATATAGAAATTTATATACTTTTTCCTTTTTGGTGTTATCTACCTAATATTAAAAATACTTTTACAACTTAAAATATATTACACAAATGTCATTATCTTTATATTACACAATACTAATAAGGTTATTTTAGTCATTTCTAATTTATTCTTACTACATATCAATATAATACTAATATAAATAAAATTTTGTACAAAAAGTAAATAGATATTTACTTATGGGACGAAGGGAGTACTGTTTTTAAAAGTTTTGGAATTTTAAAAAATATTGTAAATAGTAAAAAATGAGTATTAGTATGATATTTTGTGAAACAAAAAATAAGTAGTTAACATGATAGATTTTTTTTTCTTAAAAGATTTTATTGTTAATTATTAGTGTAAAACATTTCAAAGTCGCTGCCATTTCTTACTTTCTTGTCGTCTAGATGAAGCTGATCTTGTCGATTTGAAAAAGTGTTTTGGTTCGTCAAACGAGTTCATCCAAACAATGTACAGAAGTTACGGTCCTATTAGTCATCCGAACAACGTCAGCATTTTGGATGATTCGTCGCACAAGGAGCTTCAAACATTAGCTTCTTGTAGCTATGACAATGGCACGAAATGGGGAGAAAAGGCGAGTCTTTTTTTTTTTTTTTTCTAAAAAAAATATTTCGAACATTTATCATATATATATTAAAATTTTAATGTCGCGACCATGTAATGTAGGTGGGCTTTAGGTACTTCTCCGTGATCGAAGACTATTTCACGGGCTTTAACCTACATTGCGAGGGATGGACTTCAGTGTACCTTAGTCCAAAAAAGCCGTGTTTCTTAGGCGCGATGCCTATTAGCCTCGGCGGGCATCTTATTCAATTCACTCGGTGGAATGTCGGGCTTTGCCAAATTGGCTCATCAAAGTATTCTCCTCTTCTATATGGACCCTTTCGAATGTCGCTTTGGGAAAGCATTTCTTATGCCGAATTCGCGCATACCATGCTTTACTTCGTGCCCTTTTACGTGTTGGCAATTGTTCCCCAACTTTGCCTACTACGCGGCATTCCTTTATATCCCGAGGTACGTAACTAAACCTTCTTAACGCCCCCATTCACTATAAAGAAATACTCCCTCTGTCCTAAAATAACAGAGGCATTTGAGATTTACACGGGAATTAATGAATAATAGTATTATATTAATAGGAAGTGTAAAAATATTTTTAAAATATTAAAATACTCATACTTTATGTGATTCTTGTGAAAAAGTGGGGATAATTTTGTAAAAAAAATAGAGAGTTAGTTACCAAACATGGAAATAAGACTATTATTTTGGGACGAACGAAAATGACAAAATGGAACTATTGTTTTGGGACGGAGGGAGTAACATATTTGTAATGGAATTAGGGATGGCTGGTGTTAGCTGTGTGAATTTTAGGAATTAAATTCTGCCCCTGATTGCTCTCTAATGTCATTAGTAACTGAAAAAATAGATTTAAGGGCAAAAAAATTTTTGTTATAAAAATATTATTTTCTTGTAGGAATTTTTTTATTTTTCTAGAATCTAAGCTAAGTGGTACTGAATATTTGCTTCTTGATAGGTTTCGAGCCCGTACTTTCTATTGTTTCTATTCATTTTCTTGTCGTCGCAACTCAAACACGCGCAAGAAGTATTGTCTACGGGGCATTCCCTTAGGGCGTGGGTTTCCGAACAAAGAATTTGGGCTATCCATGCATTCGTACCGTACTTATACGCAGCTATCGAATGGGTAATGGAGAAAATAGGTGTGAAGTCAGTGAAGTTCTTGCCGACAAACAAAGTGACGGATGACGAGGAGGCGAAGCTCTACCGGTCGGGAATGTTCGATTTCCGCGCACCGGCTATGTTCGTGGTTCCTTTGTGTAGCCTTTATATGGTGAATGTGGGCTCATTTTTGGTTGGATTGGGGAGAATTGTGAAGGGAAATAGGACAATGGTTATGCAAGAGTTGATTCCAATGTTTGGAATGGTTTTGCATTTCCCCATTTTTGAAGGAATGTTTTTAAGGAAGGACAAAGGGAGAGTTTCACCCTTTGTTTGCTTCACTTCTTTTCTACTTTCGGGGGCTTTTTTGTCTTTTGCATTGTTTGTTGTCTAATTATTACTCCCTTCGTCCCGGATGAATGGATTTCTTTGGAAACTTGTAATAAAGTAAGATTGAATAGTAGTTTATCGGTTAATGGAAGTGTGTGTTAGATTTTGATAATTTTGCCATTTGACTTTATGTATAAAATAATTATATGTGTAATAGTATATTTATAATTTAAATAAAAATTAACCGTATTAATGTATAATTATTTTTACTAAAAAAAAAAAATACTTTTAATTTTGACATTTAATTTTGACAAACCGATGGTTATAATATTAAACCTCAACCATTAAACCACACTTTTAGTTTTGTTATGTATTTATTTATGTTTTTATATAAAACTATTTTTAAAAATATATTTAATTTATTATGGGCCGAAACAGGCACGCCCGGTTTATTTGCATGCCGAACCTATTTTTTTAAGGCCCAAGTACAATTCTTTCATGCCTGAGTCGGATCGATACTCGGACCATGTCTAATTTTTATAGCTCTAATTTTAATCGATGAAATGGGATTGAGAAGCTATTGTTGACTATGGAGTTCGATCTTTTCTTTAGTTGGAATGGTAAGATTTAAGTTTGTTTATCCAAATAAATATCAATATAACTAAAATATTCTTAATATAAAAAAACTAATCAATTTTAATAAAGTTTGCATGTCAGTTTTTATTGTAACAACTAACCGGTCAAACATAAAATATATATATATACAGTAAAAACAAAAACATTACCAACTAAAATAATATTTATTACCATTGGCATCACTCAAATCTTTCCATCATTTGTTGGTAAAAGCAAAAATTAATCTAATCATAATCATGCCTGGATGAAGTCGAGCTTCCAATCATGGCGGTCTTGAAGCCATTGAAGATCCACGTCCTACATTAGAAGAGATCCCTCTAACAGCAGCCTGGTATATCTGCCGAAAAAGAGGCGTCGACAAAACCGGTAACTTAGTTAGTTCGATGCAAACACAGTGGTAATAAAATCGATGATCATATGTAAAGCCTTCGCCGTTGACTTACCAAGTTCCTCTGCACGAGCTGCGAAGAATTCTTTGTTCTCGAGGGCACCAGCATAGGCTGCTTCTTGTCACGATCGTCAACATTGTCTGAAAACTGAGTCGCAGATGCGATGCTCGGGGAATCTGAGTTTCTGTCACTCGTATGCAAATTATTCCTTGTTTGGTAGGCGATAGGCGCGTTGTTTTGGCCCCTCGGGTTGGAAGTATGATTCTTTGAAAACTGCGTCGCAGCTGCTCTGGCGCCGGCAATGGCTGCCGCGAGTTTTTCAGGTTTGTCCTCCTCGGGTATGTTTAGGGATTCCGGATGGCGAGCAAGAGAGCCTGGTTTTAATGAGAACGGATCTCGTGGATTCGGGAGTGAGAATTTGATTGGTTGAGGAGATCTAACGGAAGTGAGGCCTCGAACGGCAGGCTCGTATATCTAACATGTGATTACACGACAAAAATGAGTCAAGCGCATATGTATAAATATATAGAGATATATATATATATATATATAGACGGGTGTGTTCATCGATCTTACCTTTCTTTCCAGATTATATACTCCTTGATATCCGCGCATCTCGAATGGGACAATGAGTTTCTGTAATGGAGAGGATACAAATTAGATGTTCGGATCTTTAGGTAAAAATTACGAATTGAAGAGGGAAGGAAGTGTATAGAAACCTGTGGTTTCTCGCATAGCCAGCAAAGGGCCGTTTGTCCTTCGAGTCTAACCTGCACGAAGAATATTTGAATTTCATTGGCTAGAAAATTGAAGCAAAAGAAAAAAAAAGAAAATGATTCGACAATGTATTAGCCATTTACCGATGATGGTACATCTTCCCAGCTGACTAATTCATCACAGGTAACACAGCCGACAACATCGACACAACCTGTTTATAAGATTCGGCGTGTTGGAAATTTAAATATATATATATATATGATATGATTGAAACTAACAAATAGGTGTGCGCAGTTACATAACACAAATATTACATAAAATGTCGATGAAAATTTTGATAGAAGAGATCTTATATTCAAAAGATAACTCTTTAAGAGCCTTGAAAGAGTTAAATCAATAGGTGTAAAGCTTAAATTATGGAGGTGAATTATGAACTAAAGCTAATTTGAAAATAACTATTGAGATTTTTCCACAATGAAAAAAAATCGATACATGTAGAATGATGATAGAATCATAAAATTTCTACAAGGGGGTGACCATTGACATATCCAAGCGTATAAAGGCATCTTAAGAATTATTCTTCATACACTGATTTCGTTATTAGTATCTCATTTAAAAACCAACTCTAAGAGCATTTCAAGTTCTTGCATTTCATAGACATTTACTTTAAAACAAATTACATAAGTAACAATCAAAGATATTTCAATGTTTAGAGATTTTGAAACCATAATTCAACAATAATTCATTATCAAAATTTGGTTTCCCTAATGTATCTATCTATACCACTTTCACTTCCTCGCTTCTTTCAGTGTTAACGTCATTTTATATTTTGTGTCGAAAGAACCATACAACTATACGCTTGATGCATTCCTTTTGCAAGTATATATAAAGAACTATCTCAGACATAATGATATTCCTTTGGCATAAAATCAGTACCTAGAAGTCGAGAAACAGGGTAATGTTCAGGGAAAGTGATATCTGTGATTCCATTCGTTGCATAGATTTCCCTGTAAAAGTCTTCCATGGCTTTGATTGTCTCGGGCTCTGGGACCTTACCAGCTGCATGAATCCATAGTCGTCCTTTGGAAGCAAAATAAATAGCTATGTTAGAACATCCACGCAGATGCATTTTCAAGTGAATATGCACAGAAACGACACATCTATAACATGTATGGTTTCGGTAGCTGAAAACTAGAAATTGATGCAAAATATTTCGATATAATAGTGTCTCTAAAAGGGGATCCAAACTTCGATAGGGAAGCAAAGAAAAGAAAAGAAAACACACATTTAACTTTACGGGAACATGTAAAAACTATCAAATCAAACCCCCTTTTTCCATTTACAATATTACATAAAAAATTCACTTTTCATTCCAAACATCACATAAAACTTCACTTTTCATTCAAAAACGTATTTCAAATCAAGTTTTTACTATTCTCACACCCCAAACTCTATACAAACAAATTTTAGACATGATTATCTCCAACCAGAATACAGTAGGGAAAATTATTAGTGGGTGTAAGTTAAGAAGAGTCTATAATGAAATCGATTATGCAAGGACCATGTACACCTACTGTGGTATAGAACCCCAAAATAAACTCTTGAAGCTAGTAGGAGCATATTAATGTGCATTCAACAGGGTAAAGATGGTTCAAATGCAAAGTGAAAAACACCAATTTCTTAAAGCATTCATAATTTTCGAGCAAACTACCAGTTTTTGGATCAACTAAAGTCAAAACAACTGCAGCAATAAATTCAAGAAAGTTTTAAAAGAATTTCCTTCTGATATTTCATCACCATCTTGCAGAAATCATCATTAAGTTATTCTTGTGTTATGTTTTTGAGGTAAATGGAAAATATCGAATGCCATATTTTTGGAGAAAAAAATAAAAATAAATCAATCAGTAAAACATAAGAGATAAAATATGAAAAAACACTCTAATATCTTGTAGTCTAAGAAGCAAAAATATCCTCACCACTCCAATAAAATTAAATTTCTCACCCAAATCTATTAGTCTCTGTTCAATTGTGTTTTCATCTTTTTACCTTCACATTATTGAAAATAATAATCATGATCCTGCCAAAAACCTACTTTTAATCTGAATTTGACCATTCGAAACACAGTATCGAACACTTATTTTTCATTCAAATTCTATGTTCACGCAAAATTTACTATTCGACATTCCAGTATGACAAAAAACTTCCGAATCACAGCTAAACACGCCCTTAATTTCACTCCTAATTACCAATATAACGCCATACGAAAAGTACAATGTCAAAACGATGGGATTATCGAACACAGTTACGAGAGAGCTAAAACCCTAATTTCACAAAAGCACCGCGAACCAAAATTCAAATTCAATTAGGGTTGAACAAGCTTAATCAAATGTAATTGCACGCACCTCTGATCGGAGCCGGCCACGATCTGCCCTCGATTCGTTTGATACCGTAAACAAGTAAAGAAGCCCACGGCTGATGCATCGTGAGGCAAGGGTTTCTGTAGTTCCCCGATTCGGTCCTTCTACTACCCATAATCTGATGGAAATATCTCTCCAGCAAGAGATTAGGATTGTCCCGACTGGTTGAACACTTTCCGTTCGTAGAATACGCCGAAGAGAAGATACCTTGCGAGCTTCTGAGCTGCGTCGTCTCGATTTCCCTGTTCGAATGCACTCTGCTTTTTTATTGGAGATGTATATATATATATATATATATATGGGTGTTTTTGATACGATATCATGTCTAGATATTAGACAGATATATTTATTTTAAAAGTTAAAATTACTTTTTTTTTTATTACTCTTTGTTTTAGATTTTATACGCTTTTGGCGGCACGAAATTAAAAGATAATTTTTTATTTTAATACTTTCTCTCTCTTATTTAATTTTTTTTATCTGTTTCATTTAAATGAGGCATATTTCTATATTTTTTTTATAAAATTTATTAAATATAAGTTAATTTAATTAATTTTATAATATATAACCTACCTAATTATAATCATATTACATCAATTTTATTGAGATGCATTATTTAAAATATTTAAATACATATTTCAAATTTATTTAAATTATATTCCTTTTTGGGACGTACAATTATAAAGTAAATATTTTATTAAATATATATATTTTTTTACAAATATCCTTACTTTACATCACATCGTTTAAATGACAAAAATATCATTATACTACTTTTAACTACCCATTATAATTAAAATACTATTATTTATTAAACACCGCGCCAAAAGTAATTGTATACTTTATGATTGGACGGAGGGAGTATGTATATTAATTCTTATTTTAGAATTACTAACAATATTAAGCATATAAAAATATAAACAAATAATATCATAATTTATTATTATTAATTAATTAAACCATTTACTTTACATAATGTGTCTCGTATGAAAGGAATCATTTCAAATGGAATGGAAAGAATATAACACTTGTAGATATGAGGTAAAATGAAATATTCCGTCCGTTCCGGCCATTTTTTATATGTCTTGTATAAAATAATCATTTTTTATTTTTTAATAAATTTATTTATCTTAAATTAAATATACTTAATCAAGTATAAAAATCATTCAAAATTTTTATATATTTTTCTTTTTTTTCAATAAAATTTTTTTAGCTATATTTAAAACTCTTTATTTTTTTATAAAATTAATTTTAAGTTAATTATAAATAAAAATATAATATTTTTTATTTATTTTTATTATATAAAATTTCATTCATTTCAAAATATAATATTTATATAAAAAAAATAATACATTAATATAACATACATTTTGAATGCACGTTATATATGGCCCAGTTGTCGTGCCCGCACAAGTGAGGAATTGAACTCACAACTAAGCATATACAAACTTAACATATACAAACTTTAAGACTTTTACCATGAAACCATTTCATAATTTTTGTTTTTGTTCAAAAATTAATATATATATATATATAAATATATTTAAAATTAAATATGAATTTTAAAAACCGGCCGGGTCAGGCACGGCTCGGTTTATTAGCATGCCAGGCCAGGCCGGCCCGAAATTCTTCGAGCCTATTTTTAAAAGCCCAATTACGCCCGAAATTCTTCAAGCTTATTTTTAAAGGCCAATTACGATTTTTTCGTGCCATATTCGGACCGGACTTTCGGATCGTGTTTATTTTTGTCACCCTTAACCATGATGATATTACTAACAATAGTAGTATTAATCAATATTCATTTAATTTCTTTTTTTTTTTTCCTTTCCTTCTCCCCTTTTTTTTTTTTTTTTTTTTTCATATTACATGAAATTTAGTATTCTTTATGTTTTATAATTTTTGTATATTTTACTGTAAATACGAGAATTTAGAAAATAAAAAAAAAATTATAGTTTAAAATTAAGGTGACTAAATAATTTAATTAAAATTAAAAAAATTATAAAATTAAAAATATAATTATAATATATAATTATAATTTTAAAAAATTAAATGACAAATTCCGTTGGATAAGCAGAAGTAGAAAATATATATTTTTTATGTAGAAAATATAAATATTTTATGTGAAATGAATGAAGTAATATTATTAGTTATCTTCGATATCGAATACGTGCATGTATATATGTGTAGGGTAAAAAAATAAAATAAAAATAGTGATATTATTATTATTATATCTACATAATAATATATAATTTAATAATTACATTTATATGAAATAATAATGTATTTATTTTTTCAATAAAATTATATACTCCATATGCTAATTTTCAAATAAATTGATGTATGTGTTACTTGAAATTGTGGGATATTACAAGCATGTTCAGAGGAAACTTTTAATAAAGCAATCGATGTTGATTGCATATCGATAGTGTTGTAATATTGAGTTTGTTTGATTGTAATTTGAAATTAATTTGAAATAGAATGTTGATTTGAATTTTTATTTAAATAGTATTTTAATTTGATATTTTGTAAAAAAAGTTATAAGGTAATTTATTTTTTTAATCCCGTGACTGGATCCTTCTATCATTTTAGTCCGGTAACTGAGGTCGTCTTGAAATAGTCCCGTAAGTGAAATTTTTTTTTTTTTTTTCAGTTTAGTATGCCTATATGGCATCTACGTGGCAGACTACGGACACGTGTCGGCCAGATCAACGCCACATGACTAACACGTGTCCGCCACATGGATGATTTTTGTTTTCTAAATTTTATTCTTTAAATAAAAATCTAAATAAAAAAATAAAATATAAAATGAAAAAATATAAAAATTAAATTAAAAAAATTAAATTAAAAAATAAAAATTATCCACGTGCCGGACACGTGTTAGCCACATGACGCTGACTTGGCCGACGCATGTACGTCAACATGCCATGCAAGTGCTACATAGATGTTGAGGACTAAATTGCGAAATTTTTTCACTTATGAGACTATTTTAAGACAACCTCCAATTACGAGATTAAAATGATAAAAATGTCCAGTTTACCAAAAAAATATAATATTTTTTAGGGTAAACTGTTTTTTTAGTCCCTTAACTGGACCCCCTTATCATTTTAGTCCCGTAAATGGAGTCTGTCGCAAACTAGTCCCATAAGTGAAAAGTTTTCGTTGTTTTAGTCCTCCGGCGCCGGAGATGCTCGCGTGGCTCGCCGGAGGTGACGTGTTCGCCAGGTGTAGCGACACCTGGCGGACACGTGGATTTTTTTATTTATTTTTTCATTTTTTTAAATTTTTTTAAAACTTATTTTTTATTTATTTTTAATTTTATTTGTATTTTTTTTATTTGGTACAATTAAAAAAAATTAAAAAAATTAAAAAAAAATGAAAAAAAAAATAAATCAACGTGTCCGCCAGGTATCGCTGACCTGGCGGGACACCTGGTGGACACATCACCTCCGGCGAGCCATGCGGGCGTCTCCGGCGCCGGAGAACTAAAACAGCGAAAATTTTTCACTTGTGGGACTAGTTTGCGACAGGCTCCGCTTACAGAACTAAAATGATAAAGAGGTCCAGTTACGAGACTAAAAAAATAGTTTACCCTATTTTTTAAAAAACCATGCAGATGGAACATTATGTTTGTTTCATTTGATAAATTTTGTTATTAATATATTTCTATATTTTTTTCATCAAGATGTTGCTGAATGTATTTGTGTGTATATATATACATGTATTGCTAAATTTGTTTGGAAAATAGCTTATGTCTTTAAGTAATTTTGATGATTATCTGATAACAAAATTTATACTACTCCCTCCGTCTCAGATACCGTGTCTGCTACACTGTAGACACGGTATTTTAGGAGAGGTGTAATTAGTAGATAATTAAGAATGTATTAGTGAAAATAATTATCTTATAATATAAATAATTATAAATTAAGATTAAGATAACTAATTAGTTTAATTAAAATTAAAAAAAAATTAAAATTTAAAATGAGATTAAAGTGTGTAATCATTTTCCAAAAAAGAAAAGTGACATGGTATGTGGGACGGACAGAAACGACAACATAGACATGGTATATGGGACGGAGGGAGTATTATTCATATTCCAATTTTTGTAATTGAATATGTAATTGTAAACATGTTTGAATATGTCATACGGTTCGCCTAATGCAACTTGTTTTATCGAGCCTAATTTGCAGGCTATTAAGTTCGGTCAGGAGTTTACTCAGAGCGCACCAAAAAAATAACGATTGCGGATTCACACATTATAATATATATATATACATAATGTATTCCAATAATCATATTTGTTCCATTCAGGTGTATACATATCTCAATTATTTATGGTAAGTGTAATAATAGATTACTTGCTTATGGTAAGTATAAAAATATATTTATTAAATCGCCCGAAAAATAGCGGTTGCGGATTCCCATAATATAAAAAAAATATATGTATATATAATGCATTCTAATAATCATATTTGTTCCATTCAGGTGTGTACATATCTCAATTATTTATGATAAGTGTAATAATATATTACTTACTTATGGTAAGTATAAAAATATATATTAAATTTTAGGGTAAACTGTTTTTTTGTCACGTATCTAGCTCCCTTTATCATTTTAGAACTTTAAATGGACTATGTCTAAAAATAGTCCTGTAAGTAAAAAAAATTTTGTGGCTGACATGTTATCGCCACGTAGATGCCACGTCAGCGACACATGAATTTTTAATTTTTTTATTTTATAAAATGTCTTGGTAAACTATTCTTTTAGTTCCGTATATGATCTCATTTATCATTATTAGGACTTTAAATGGACTTTATTTGAAAATAATCATGTAAGTAAAAATTTTTCGCTAAAATAGTTCTCTGATGTGGCATCTACGTAGTGATGACATGTTAGCCGCATCAGTGCCACGTTAGCAATGGAGGACCAGCTTGGCGAGTCCGGCACTGAAGGACCATTTTAGCGAAAACCATTTTACATACAAAACTATTTTCAGACATAGTTTACTTAAAATTCTAAAATAATAGAAGAGATTAGATACATATCTAAAAAAACAGTTTACCATTAAAATATTTTAATGATAACTACAATATATAAATTATTTATGGTAAGTATATTAATGTATTACCTTTTTATAGTAATTTTTATGGTAGGTATGTATTACCTTTTTATAGTAATTTTTAATGGTAATATAACATATTAATCGATTATGGTAAGTATTTTCATATATTAATTTTATATGATAATTGCTTATAGTAAGTATAATACTACCTTCGTCCCACATACCGTGTCTGTTACATTGTAGACACGACATTTTAGGAGGGGTGTAATTAGTAGATAATTAAGAATGTATTAGTGAAAATAATTATCCGATAATATAAATAATTATAAATTAAAATTAAGATAACTAATTAGTTTAATTAAAATTAAAAAAAAATTAAAAAGTTTAAAATGAGATTAAAGTGTGTAATCATTTTCCAAAATAAAAAGTGACATGCTATGTGAGACGGACAGAAACGGCAATGTGGACATGGTATGTGGAACGAAGGGAGGAATATATACTAAATTTAATGGTATCAATAATAACATATTAATTGATTATGGTAAGTATTTTAATATATTAATTTTATATGGTAATTGTTTATAGTAAGTATAATTATATATACTAAATCTGATGGTAATTATAACATTTTAATTGATTATGGTAAGTATTTTAATATATTAATTTTATATGGTAATTGTTTATTGTAAGTATAATAATATATACTAGTTTTTTTTATGGTAAGTAGAATACTATATAATGTAGAGAAATAGTTGATACTTGAATCATTATAAGATGGGTTGTTATTAAAATTATATTTTCTATTATCGCTATTCTTTGGGCTTTGAAAGAGTGCCTAATGAATGTGTTTGGTTGTGATTTCAAATTGAATTTTTGTTTTTCGATACGATTTTTAATATATATATATTTTATTCTTTCACAAAAGTCAATATTTAGCATAAAATATTATTTTTTATATTAACAACAAAATTTTCTATACATCACATAAAAAAAAAGTCAAATAAAAACACTAAACTTGATGTCCTAAAAAAAAAAAGACCGAGAAACCAAAGAAGTCTGAGAAACTAAAGAAGCCGAAAGGTATCATAGTAAATGTTTTTTATAGCTCAATGAGCTTGTAGCTGCAATTGTAGATTATTCATATAAATGCTGACATTTTTCTTTCTATTTGATTTAGGTTGATTTGCATTTGTTTTGTTCAAATGCAATCTTCCATTAATAGGTTTTTTGCATCGTCGTCAACAAGCTCGGGTTCTTACAATTCGAGAAAGGGACCAATATTGTCTGACCATTTGTGGGAGAAATTTGTATCCCCTTCACATGGAAGACAATTTCAAGTTTTCTTGGAGCCATTCGCATATAGTTGGATCGACGAATTTGCAGGTTTGTACTTGTTGACATAGTAACAATATATATACTCTTGATTAGGAATTTGTCATTTCGTCAAAGTGTGTTTGGTATAGAAAAATAAATATTTAGAAATAAAAATTTCTTAAAAATTTCTTTCTCTACATATGTAGAGATAAATGAGAATTAAGAACATAAATGCATATTTATTTATTTTTTTAATTATTTAATTTTTACATTTTTATAAAAATATATTATTTAAATTTAATAAAAATCGTATCTACATTATTATAATTTAAAAATTGCTAATTAAATATGACAATATTATTTCATGGTTTTTCACTTTTCTCTTATTCATAGCTTTTTCATAATCATTTCATTTTTTTCATTTTCCACTTGCAATATGTAATTCCCTCTAAATTGATTCATTTTAGTTTATATATATATATATATATATAAATAGAAGAATCAATTTCTTATTTTAGTTTAATTTTTTTTTCTCTACAATTCCCAACACACCCTTAGGGTCGATGCTAATGTCGTTGTCACTTTACTTGCAGCTGCTATGGTAAGCGCAAACATCAAACAAGGGGTACACCATGACCATGCCCATCCCCGCCCCGCTGCCCCTCTAACCTAGCCAATTATGGTTGGGTGTCCATTCAGCTAAGACAAGTATGTTTTAATTTTATTTCAATAAGTGCTGTTGATAATTAATTTGATTTGTATTCTTACAAAATAAATTTATGATCTTATTGTTATTTGTGCTTTTAGGACTAGAAGCTTACAAGATCCTATGTTTTATGCAAGAAGTCTAGTCCTTACAAGATCCTATGTTTTATGCAAGAAGTCTAGTAAGATTTGCATTCGGGGCGGCTAGAAAGTTGCATCGGAGAAAAGTGAAACTTTTCAATCCTTGTTGATTAGGTTAAATTATTTTGTACCTTACAGCCAATGTTCATTCCATTGAACTTACTAGAATGTCAATAATTGGAATGAGACAATTTATTGTAACATGTAATTGTGTCAACTAGACAATCTTCCGAATAATTGTCGAATGTGTATGTGTATATATATATATATATATGAAAGTCGGGAGCATAGTACCAATATCAGATATGATACTTTAATGATTTTGTTTGGTTTGAGTTACGTTTATGTAACACTAGTTTGAGTTTGTATAACAATAATTATATGTGATATTTCGTTCGATTAACTAATATTTTCTTAATCCACTATAATTATTAGTTTTTTTAAAAAATTATGCACAATTCATATATAGTAAATAACTTTTTTCATCAATTATTTTATTACTCATATTTTAACAAATAATAATTAATTTAATTTGTCACTATTTTTTCTACGTAAAACATCATATTTTTATCAATTTTTTATAATTTTTCTATAATACACTCATTTTTAATCTCCGTGCCCAAACAAAATAGTTTATTTAGTTCGGATGGAAAAGTTATATTTTTACTGGACTGTATATAAGTTTGTTGCTTTTTTTTTTTTTTTTTTAAATGAAGACAACATAAACTTAAACCAATACAATCATGTTGATCCTAACTTTCGAAGGATTCGTAACGAAACAAAAATAAGAGGCCCCTAAATGTATATGAATGATATTTTTTTTACTATAATGAAATTTAAATAATTAACTAAATAAAACAATTATTTCTAGGATTTTTACATGCAAAATTATCTATAATAGTATTAATATATAGTCAAATATTTTCTATTTAATGCACATAAAAAATCCAAATTAAAAATATCAAGAAATTTGAATGCACAAAACCACATTTTAAAATATTTGTACACATGCCAAATAAATTCTATATATAAAAATTATATATAAAACATAAATATATAATGAGCTCCTATTTATATTGGGCTCTGGTGCACGGGCGAGCCGAGTGCCGGCACTAAATACAATATGTAACACTTTTTTATGAAATGAAATGACAAATTAATTAGGGTTTTTGTAGCTAATTAACAAAACCATTTGTTCCATTCAACAATTGATACTTATCCTTCCTCGTAAGATTGGTGCATTGGAAGTTTAAAACCTTTGCAATCATTTCTTGAACACCATTGGCAACTTCTTGGCTCGATTTTCCTCCATGACAACTTTGATGACGTGGCAACTTGTTCAAGAATGTGACCTCATAAATTGGCTTAGGGTTCATGAAGAAAAACAACCAATCTAACCATTTGTGTCCTCTAGCCGTTGTCCCATAAAACATACTCACTCTTACATTAATCGCCACCGGCGCAATCTCGTCGGTCAACTCCGCGAATAGCTTCGAAAACCTAAGTAGGTACGGTTCTCGACAAGTTGTTCCTTCGGGGCTCATCACAAAACACCCGTGACTCAAAAGTGTTTGCATCAATTTAGCATCTTTCGCACGGTCCCTCGTGGCCCTATAGGTTTTTATCGGGGACATAATTTCAGAGAATGATGACAAAGAGTATGTGATCGCGGGAGTACTCTCGCCCAAGCACGCTGACACGTAAATTGGGTCCAATAGGGTTCTATGGTTGCAAATGAAGACAACCCCATTTTGTTCGGATGAAGATTTTAAATTTTTGGGTTGTACGCCTTTGATGATTATAGGGCAACCAAGTAGATTTAGGGTTTTTAGGGTTAATGTGAGAGGCAATACACAAACAAAAAAAGCGCGGATAAGTGATAGGGATAATCCAATCGGGAACCACAAAATGAGTAGCAATGCCTTCGAAGGAGTTGGCCTACAAACGAGTCTACCATCGTGAAATACTACGGGCTTTGGCAACGTACTTGGCTTCAAAGGTTGCACCTTTTGACTCGATGGCACAATGTACATTTCCTACACAAATTCACGAAAGTTCGAAAAATGTTAGGATATATATATAAAGCCTTTATGGTATAATTCATGAATTTTAGTTGCGATAACTATAAATTTGGTCATAGTCGTTGTAAACTATTACAATTCTTGTTAACCCTTGGGTTAATCATCAAATAATAACATCGTATCGATTGCATAAACTCACCTAAAACAAATTCTATAGCTACGTATTTTTTAGATTTTTTTCAAAAAAACAATTCTTTAATATGCAATTTTTTCGATTTCTTCTAGAATTATATTATTTTCTCTCGTAAATATATTCAACCACTATTTAAACAAAAATATGAACACAAACCAAGAAAATAGTTAGGATGTTGATTATGACTAGTCACCACATATTAGCACTAATCAGCACTAATCAGTATATTGTAATAGTATACATAACACAATTGTAATTAAAACAACATTTGTGGGTTGTATATGCTGAGATTAATTTTAACATATACTCTATGAATAAATTATATATTTTCAATATTTTTATATATTAACTGAAATTAATTAACATCCTAACCACCACTGTCTATAAACAAAACATTCTTCCTTCCAAATTACCTAGACTTTAAAGAAAACCCTAACCCTAATTTCTACCAATATCAGAATTACCTTATAATCTCTAACATCATCACAACAAATTTATTCAATAAATTAATAAATCCTACACCATCAAACTCACACGAGTATTCTTTTGGAGATTAGTTTTAATTTTATGTTTAAACAATAGTTCAGACGTTATATTGTACAAAAAAAATATATATATTTTTTATGTCACAAACATTCTGCAATATTTTATTTTATTTTTTTGTATATTTCAAACACTATGTAACATTTCTAAAATGAGAAATAATTAAATATACTTAATCTCTACTCCACACTTTATCTCATCACATCACTTAGATAAATATACACTTTTCTTTCTCCTCATACCACTTAATTCCCAAATTATCCTATTAATACTATCTACCTAAATTCTCATGTCGGAAATAAATGTTGCACCAAGCTCCAAAATAATAGAATACAAGAAATGAATATATATATATATATATATATATAAAGAGAGGAACATAAAACCTTGCAAAGCTCCATAAATGGAAAATCCAAATCAGAGCTTCCAATTCCTATGTTAGGCATTGATTCATCACTCATTTCCTTCCTTAAAGCAATAGCCTTCTTTCGACCAACCAACACGCCCGTGTTGGCCACAAACCCCGTCGCAAAACCCTTATACGATGAAATCTCCGTCCCTAAAACAACATCCGCGCCCAAATAGTCCTTCAAGAATGGCTCGACCATAATCCTTGGCGTCGCCGTGACTACACACTTCTTCCTACATGAAGAAAACACCGACCAAGTCTTCGGATGCAAATCCTCCGAATAAAATTTTGGCAAAACAACCCTAGCCGCGGATTTAATTTCCGAGACTCTCACTCCAAAAAATGTCGCGAATACGAGCACCTTAATCCCCAAAGATTCGGAGACCATATGGTAAAAAAACAACGCAAAAGGACTAACTAAGACCAAAATGAAAAACCTTAAAATGCCACCAACATCGAATGCTACCAAAGAAAAATACGCGAATGGATTGCGCTCGACGAGCAATGCTCCATCCATATTAACTACAACAAAATCGTTTTGGCGACCATCCGAGTCGCATTGATGGATTCTTTGAATTTTTTTGGACATCGATTTCTCCATGGAGACCATATCGATATCCTCCTATTCCTCGAAACAACTTAGACACATATACATTAAAAAAAAAAAAAATTTAAGACAATATTAACTACTAGGTAACATTTGATGGCTAAATATATTGGTCTTGTGACATAATTTCAAAGGAAAAATTAAAATCCCAATTAATTTTTTTACAAAGAATTTGCCCCATCTATATAGTTTTTTAGCTTCCCCTACTATTAGGGCTCTAATTATATATTGATCATATTTTAAGTACTAATTCACAAAGCTTATTAAATAATTAAAAAATTTATTAATAATGAAACTTTAGAAAATTTAGAGTTTGTTTACTTCGCCCTTACTTTATTTTCACCAATTCTTTTACTATTCAATTTTTCTTAAGGTTTGTATGATTGTGTTTGTGTGTATGTTTTTTTTTCATGTAAAATAACTTCTTTTTTTTTTTTTTTTCTTTTGTTATGCATCTAATTTTTTTTTTAATATATTGCATAAAAAAATGCATTTAAACTATCAAAACACACCAAAACATATCATACATCAAATTATTACAATTCAATTTTTTTACTATTCCAAAAATATCAAAACACAACCAAACATACCATATATCAAATTATCATTTTGATATGATTTTGATGTAAAATAGTTGTTAAATATGATATTATATATGAAAATTATTTCTTTAATGCCATATTTTTCTATATATATATATATATATATGAAAAAAAATCAAATATTCTAGCTAGCCACGTCAGTGTCACGCATGCAATTCTGATACCAAAAGATTGTTTTTGTCATATTTTTTAAAATTGTAAGATTAATCATATAATTCTAAAATAATAAAAGATATTATATGTAATACTAAAAAAAATAGTTTTTCGTTCAAACTAGTGTCCGACACCACACCAATTTGATCACTCACTATGGTCCTATTTTTCAAGGTACCATGCATTGTCCATGAAGCTATGAATTTAATATAGAATGAAGATTTTAATTAAATATTGGTAATTAAATGAGTATAACATAAATATTAAAGTTTAAGTAATTTAATGGTTACAATAAAAAAAGAACACCATTCTACAAAGAATAATATGCATATAGTCACTTTTAGAGTTTAATATTAATAAATTATAAACAAATGGAGAAAACCTTATATATATATATATATATATATTTATTTATTTATTTTATCATCATTAATTCTTAAAGAAATGCTCCCTCTTTCATGTTAAAATGTGTCCATATTACTGTAAAGACAAAAATTTAAGTAAAATATAATTAAAATTAATTATTATATAATAAAGATAATTATAGATTAAGATATCTAAATAAATTAATAAAATTTTAAATTTTAAATTTTAAAATGGGATTAAAATGTATTATCATATCTTTAAAAAAAACCTAACAAGTTATATGTAACAAACAAAAATAAAATAAATGTACCCTTTAGACGAGACGGAGGGAATAAACGAAATTGAGATTTTAATATATAATGTATGTTGAATGCCATGAAAACATAGGTCCCGTAGCTAAATTTGTTTTGTATTATTATTTTTTTAAAAAATAAAATAAAATATTATCATATAGGCATCTACCATCAGCAATCGTACGTTTGTTTTGTGAGATAAATTGAATATGTATTTTTTTATGTATATCTAAATATCATACTCTATTTCTTTTACATCACATTCTTTTTCTTCCAATTCGATCACCAAAAATATATAAATAGTTATATTTACATTAAGGTTATTTATGCTTAAAATTACAATTTTTAAGACTATATATTTCAGTATCTATATCATTCTCTAGATAATAACATTTTATATAATAAAAAATATAAATATAAAGAAAAAAATTTAATAAAAGGTACATGGGTATACCCATGAGAATTTTTGTATTTTTATATAATAGAAAATAATTATGTGGCATACCAATGTAGGTACGTGGCTGCAACATTATAGACACGGTATAATTAGTAGATAATTAAAAATATATTAGAGAAAATAATTATCTTATAATATAAATAATTATAAATTAAGATTAAAATAACTAATTAATTTAATTGAAATTAAAAAAATAAATTAATTAAAAAATTTAAAATGAGATTAAAGGTAATCGTTTTTAAAAAAAGAAAGTGACATGGAATGTGGGACGGACAGAAACGGTAACGTAGACATGGGACGGAGGGAGTAATATTTTTTTTAATATTCTTACAATTTTAAAAAATATATATATTATATTACTCCTTCTGTCCCACATAATTTGTCCTAATTTTCTATTTTTGTCCGTCCCACATAATTTGTCAATTTCTTTTTTGAAAATATAATTATATACTTTAATCTTATTTTAAATTTTAAATTTTATAATTTTTTAATCTTAATTAAACTATTTAGTTATCTTAATCTTAATCTACAATTATTTTTATTATACGATAATTATTTTTACTAATACACTTCTTAATTACTTACTAATCACATTTTACCTAAATTCTCGTATCTACACTAATAGCCTATAATACATGGGACAGATGGAGTAAATACCTATTTTTTATACAAAATATTGTATCTAATTTAAAAAAGATCAAATTGGATCAAAGGTTTAATAAAAACCAAAACACAAAAGAAAAGTTAATAAAGAAATCATCTTCTAGAAAAAAATAAGTATTTCTGTTTCGTAGTCGTAATTGTAAGCACCAAATTGTATTTGTTCGACCCTTAAATAGACTTAATTGGGCCAAGGCCCATTTGTGACAAAGCATAATGGACCCATGTAGACTATTTATATATATATATAGCTGTATAGTTTTAAATAAATATATATATATATATAATTTTTTTATATAAAATAATATATCAAAATGTTATTTAAAATAAAACTCAAATTACAATTTCGATTTCAAATCAAAATCAAACAATATTCTTTTATTAATATTATAGGGTTCATATTAGCTACATAAAAAAATAAAAAATAAAAAATAAAAAAATCAATTGTTAGTAGACGTCTTAAATAACAAAATATATCTATTATTAGTTCACTAATTATGAAGAATCACATAAATAAATAAATATATATATATATCATATATTCAAAGCATTATAGTCAATGTTTTCAAATTAATCCAAAAAAATACCAACAAGACTTATATGTTTGTTTGGTTATTTCTTAAAATTTCAGATTATGTCTGTGCTAAGCTTTTTGGTTTAATTTTAATTTTAATATTAATATCTGTTTCGATTTCAGCTAAATAGAATTTTATTTTTATTTTTATTTGATTTTGCTTCCACCTGTACAATTTTTATTTACGAAGTATTACTAAAAAATATGCAATGAAACACAATAGATGTGATGTATTTTGAAATAGATATAAGGGTCTCATTTTTTTTTTTAATTATTTTTTTACAAAATTAGATATTTGAATATTAATTATTATATGAAAACGTAATACAAATAAAAAAAAATAGAAAAAATACTTCTATTAGTATCTTGTAATACTATTAATGACATTTGTGTAAAAAAATTATACAAATATAAATATATTTTTAATGTTAAGTACAATGATGCAAAAGATAAATAGATTTTTAGAGCCGCACGGAGGAAGTATAAAAAATAATTTAAAAATATACTAATAGGTCTCTTTTACTTTTTACGTGTCGATCTTTGAATATTAATTATTATATCAAAACATAGTACAAATTAAAAAAAAAATTGCAAAAATATTTCAATTAGTATCTTATAATACTAATAGAAGAAAATTTGTACAAAAAAAATTATACAAATATAAAAATATTTTGAATGTTAAGTACAATAACGCAAAAGGTAAATGTGATCCTTAGAAGCGAATGTATATATTAAGATATGTATAAACATACGTTAAATCACCCATATAATATATACTGACCTAATCAAATTAACAAGTTGATTTGGCTGAATCAGCATAGGATATGAAGTCACTGAAAACATAGTCCAAAGTCATAACATCAAAACCCTACAATATAACAACACATCACTTTTATTTAATTTGTACCAAACATCCAAATCCCAAATGTTCCAAAAAGGCTAGACAAGTAAGAACAAACTTAACCATACAAAAGCAAGTAAGTAACATAAACCCCTTCTCAACCGGAAAATTCTCCGGCCGGCGACCGTGCCGCCACCGTCGGCTTTTGTCCGACGAGGCCATCCGTTCCGGCCAACGCTCGATACTTATCCTTCCTCGTAAGATTCGTGCATTCATAGTTCAAAACCCTCGCAACCATTTCTTGAACACGATTCGCAACTTCGTGGCTAGATCTCCCGGCGACGCACGTTTGATCGCGCGCCAACTTGTCGAGAAACATGATTTGATAAACCGGCCTAGGGTTCATGTACAAGAAGAAAGGGTCCAACCATTTGTGCCCCCGCGCCGTCGTCCCATGGAACATGCTCGTCCGCACGTCAATGGCCACCGGCACGATCTCATCGGAGAGCTCAGCGAACAACGACGAAAACCTAAGCAAATAGGGTTCCCGGCACGTCGTCCCCTCAGGGCACATCACCAAATCCCTACCCTCGTTCAAAATCCTCTCGATCAATTTGGCATCCTTGGCGCGATCGCGAGTGAGCTTCGCGGTTTCGATCGGAGAGAGGAACTCGGTGAAGCTAGGGACCGAATACGATATCGTCGTCGTCATCCGGCCTAAGCAAGCGGAGACGCACACGGCGTCCAATACGGTCCGGTGAGAGCATACGAACACGACGCCCTTTTTTCGCGAGGAGTGGTCGGAGCCGAGAGACGGGAGGTTTTTAGCGACAATCGGGCACCCAAGAGGGCGTATGTTCTTTTGAAGTTTCGATATGGGAGAGAGCGAGCCGACGAGGACTCGACAGATGGATACTGTGATGCCAATTGGAAACCAGACGAGGATAAGTAACGCCATTAATGGAGTAGGTTTTTGTACTAATCGACCATCGTGAAAGATAACTTGTTTTGGGAGGAGATTGGATTTCAAAGGTTCGATCTTTCCATTTGATGATGGCACAATGTATCTTTCCTGCGTCAATATTCATTTCTCTTCATTAGAAATTTTGTTTACATACTTCAAAAGTAGAACAATCACAAAAATATTAATTTATCTCGAAAAAATCTATCGAAATTTTTTTTTAAGAGAATCTTGTGTCGTGGGATCTTTCTTTAAGACAATCTTGAGTTGAGACATAATTGCAACAACTTATCTCGACCATAAGTTTCTAAGTTTTTCTTCCCAGTAAATCTTATATTAATCAAACTACTATTAAAAAACACACACACAAACACAAAATTAAAATAGATATTTCATTTTTGTTCTAGGAGAATATGATATTGATATATAAAAAATAAAAAAATATATATTACAAATTATATAATTATTTTTTAAAATTTTCAAAATACTTTCAAAACATATCTAAACACAACCGAAAGAACTAACAAAAGCAAGATTTGTAAAAATTCAAGTATTTAGAAAAATTCAAGAGCTAAATCGCTATTATCAACATACGTAAAATTATTTTTTGTACTCGGAAAGAAAAAAAGATCGATAATAATAAAGCTAAGAACAAAAACCTTGCACATTTTCATGAACGGAAAATCCGTGCTCCGATCACCAATTCCAATTTCCGGCATCAATCCGGCGCCAAAAGTCTTTTTAAGTGCAATCGCTTTGTTCTCACCAACAAGCACGCCGGGCTTAGCCACAAGGCCCGTTGCAATGCCCTTATACGACAAAATCTCCGTACCCAAAACACCATCGACGCCCAAATAATTTTTCAAAAAGGGTTCGACCATAATTCTAGGATTCGCCGTGACCACAAATTTTTTCCCACAAGAAGAAAACACACGCCAAGTCTCCGGATGCAAGTCTTCCGAGTAATGCTTTGGCAAGACCGCGCTCGCGGCCGACTTGATCATAGATACTCGTACCCCGACAAATGTCGTGAATATGAGCAATTGAATTCCCGCGGACTCGGATACCAAATGGTACAAAAGCCCCGCCAACGGGGAAATCACGAGCAATAAAAATAGCCTAAAGATCCCTCCAACGTCGAATGCGACCAATGCGAAGTAGGGAAAAGAACTATGCCCAACTAGGAGGGTTCCATCAAAGTCGGCCGCAACTGTGTGGTTTTTGCGACCATTTGAATCGCATTGGTAAATTGTCGGGATTTTGCTAAAAGAACGCTTTCTGAACACGGCCATGTTGAATGAGAAAATATCGAAAAAAAGTAAAAAAAAAATATTGGAATGTTTTCACTAAATTAGTTTGTGTTTATTATATAGATAGGATGTTGTAAAGAGAGTGAATACTATACATTAGGTAGGTACTATTAATAGATAAACTCAAATTTCCAAAAATTATTTGGTGTAGTTCTTTTTAATTTAATTTTTTTACTATTTGCATTTGATATTTTTCGAAAAAAAAATATACATATTTTATTCTTATAAAATTTAATATTAAATATTATTTAAATCATAGTTAAAATATTCAAATAGGTAGTATATTATATTTTCTTTTAGTGTTTTAATTTGAGCAATAAAATATATAATATGTATATTAAAAATTGTATCGATAAAAAATATTGGACAAACAAATCCATTATTTAAATTTGATACGGTCTATTACTGATAAATTTGAATTTATTTACCAAAATTGCTTAACTTTTTATATGTATACATATTGCCAATATTATTTTTATCATTATTAAATATATAGATAATACTTATTATAATTTTTATTTTTATTTTTTAATTACAATTGGAGTATCTTACGCCCCATTGAATACAAATACTATTAGAAAATGTCTTAATTGTAACTAATTTATTTGTACCGTAACAATTTGTTGCAATATTCCGCAACAATATTTATATACTCTCTATGTCATCTCGTAAATAATATTTATATACTCTCTATGTCATCTCGTTTCTCTTTACAATATAAAGAAATAATTTTTATTTTTATTTATTTTTCTTAAAACGTATACCCGATCAAATAGGCATATATTTTGACGACGAAGGGAGTATAAATTAAATCATCTATAATGTTGTGACAAAATATTCAACTTCGGCAAATATTATAGTAACATAACTAATAGTAAAACTTCATACTCGATATATAACCAATCCAAACATTAAAATCAATACTTGAAACTAAGATTTTTTATTTTTATGTTTTTTCGAAAATATTGACCTGGTTAACTCGAATTCGATTGCTTGGGTCAAATGAGTTCCGAATTATACCTTATCCGAATGCCCACCCCTAAATTTTTCTTCTTTTTTTTTTTTTTTTTTTTTAACGTATAGTATATTAAATAGCATACTCTATATTTATATATAGCTCATCCAATTGTAGGACTTTTTGCACAATAAATTCATGAGTATAGATTATAGCCACCCCTAAAAAAGGACTCATTATTCAACTTTTTACAACATACGTGTAATGTGTGTGTATTAATTCATCCTATTTATTAGATTTTGAAATTTTAAAAAATTGTATTTAAATTTATTTTTAGACAAAATATTGCATCTAATTATAATACTATATTAAATTTGAGGATAAACTATTTTTTTAGTCTCGTAACTAGACTCCTTTATCATTTTAGTCTTGTAAGTGGAGTCTGTTGCAAACTAGTCCCATAAGTGAAAAAATTTCGTTGTTTTAGTCCTCCGGCGTCGAAGACGCCCGCGTGGCTCGCCAAAGACCAAAGACCACGTGTATGCCAGGTCAGCTATACCTGGCGGACACGTGAATTTTATTTTTTTAATATTTTTTAAAAATTTGTTTTTAATTTTATTTGATTTTTTTAAACTTTTTTATTTGGTCCAATTAAAAACATTAAAAAAATTAAAAAATTAAAAATTAAAATTAAAATAAAAAATAAAATCTCCATGTCTGCCGGGCGTCGCTGATCTGGCGGGACACGTAGCTTCCGGAGAGCCACGCGGGCATCTCCGGCGCCGGAAGACTAAAACAATGAAAACTTTCCACTTATGGGACTAGTTTGTAACAGACTCCACTTACGGGACTAAAATGATAAGGATGTTCAATTATGTGACTAAAAAAACAGTTTATCCTAAATTTTAATTTTATTTAATCTTTTACAATCTTTAGAATACTGGATTATTTTGTTTGTTTAGAAGTCTAAATTCAGGGTTGCAATTTTTCACATGGTTTATTTTTTTCAAAATTATTAAATTAAATACTTATTTACTCTCTTCGTACGCCTTTGAGGATCGCATTTATATTTTTGCATTATTATACTTAATATTAAAAATATTATTATATTTGTATACTTTTATATTATAAGAAACTCATGTAAGTATTTTTGTAATTTTTTCTTAATTTGTACTATATTTTAATATAATAATTAATATTCAAATATCAACACGCAAAAGATAAACGAGACTCTTGAAAGGTAGATAATATTATTTAAAATATTATGACCAGATTTTATTTCAATTCAAAGTTTACTGTTGTGTTCATTGTCGATAAGCCTTTCATTTATTTTTTAAAAACATATCATATTAAATATTCAATTTTTTTTATTTTTTTTTCAGAAAATACAAAACTTTTAAATTAAATTGATTTAAATAATATTTTAAGCCTTTCATTTATTTTTTAAAAACATATCATATTAAATATTCAATTTTTTTATTTTTTTTTCAGAAAATACAAAACTTTTAAATTAAATTGATTTAAATAATATTTTAATCTAATATTTATGTTGTATTGTGAAGTCTCAAGCTAAATCTAGATGAACACTATACATCCAACCCCCGACCCTGATGCTCATATAAATACTTGATTTATTTTTTATTTGAAGTGTGTTCTTTTATAGGATTTTATTAAAATTTTACTATATATCAAAAAAAAATATCAAATTAATTATTTATTTTTTATTTTATACTAAAAATTAATGTTACATTTAAAATATCACATCATACAACTATTTCAATTTAAAATTTTTACTGTTCGAATCTCAAATTCAAATTTCAAACTCCCGAACAACACTCGTTCTAATCAAACTTAAGGGTCACATTTACATCTATTTTTGTACAAATATCATTATAATAGTATTATATGAAATTAATAGAAGTATTTTTGCTCTTTTGTCTTAATTTGTACTATTTTTTTATATAATACTCCTTCCGTCCCAGATACTGTGTCTGCTACACTGTAGAGACGGTATTTTAGAAGGGGTGTAATATAATTATCATATAATATAAATAATTATAAATTAAGATTAAGATAACTAATTAGTTTAATTAAAATTAAAAAATATATATAATTAAAAAATTTAAAATGAGATTCAAGTGTGTAATCAGAAAATGACATGGTACGTGGGACGAACAAAAACGGCAACGTGAACATTGTATATGGGACGGAGGGAGTAATTAATATTCAAATATCTAGTAAATTAAATAATGCAACGGTTATAAAATGTGCCACCTCATGTAAATGCTACGAAATTAGACGTGACTTTTCTGTGTTTATTTAATTAATATGTACTATAGCAAATTTATGTGGCAGCTATCCTTGTTTACTTGTTTTTTTTATTTTTTATTTTTACAATTTATTCTACTAAAAAAATATATCACATATAATAATTAATTTAATTTCCAAATATTATATTCAACCATTTATTTTGTTTATAATGATAAGCACATGGATCCAAAGTAAACACACGTTTTCTTATAACTCAATTGTGATTTATTACTAAAATTAAATTGTTCAATCCTTATTATTTTTTATTTGTATATTTAGGATTTGTTTCATATAAATAAAATTGTAAAAAAATAATAATATTTATAAATAGGAAATGAAAATTGAATTCTCTTTCTTTTTTTTTTTTGGTAAAAAAAAAAAAAAAATCAATTGATATATATATAAATATAACCGATTTGGATAAATCGATCTAGAGAGAAGTATTGCTAATGGAAAAATCGTGAAAAGATAATACTGTATTTAATCAATAATTTTTTTATTTGGATATCATATACTATTATATTTTATAAGATCGAAATAATATATTATTAAAGAAAATTATAAAAATTAAATAAAAATGTACTGTCAAATAAACACACTAACACATTCTCAATTTTCATTTTCTCTTGCACATTTAGAGAAACAAAAATAGAAAATGAAAACAATTCTTTTCTCAAATTCGAATTTCATAATTCAATTTTTTTTATTTTTTTAGCTTAATTCTTTATATTAAATTATAAATATATCATTACACATATAATTATTTTTTATATAAAATCAAACAACAATAATATCAAAAAAAAATTTGCACACTTCCACTGACTAATAAAATACTTCCCTTTGGACTGGGATAGAAAAAAAAAATAATAACAATATAATTATAACGGACGGAAGGAGTTTTTTTTTTTAATGCACTTGGAATTCCATGCAAATTAGATGGGTGCTTATTTAATTCAGGTAGCATACATATATATATATATATAAATATTTAACATAATATTGTTAAAAATATATTTACATATTTTTAATTAATAATATTTAAACTTCCAAAAATGACCATCTATAAACCTTGCATAAGCTTCGAATACCCTTTTACAAAGGGAAAGTTCACTAATAGTTTATGTCAACTTTCATTTACGATACCATAGGACACAATGCCACATTCTAAGCCACACCTACAAATTTTTATTGAATCAAATTTGTTGGAAAATTGGATTTAATTCTCTTCGTACAGAGAATGAAATTAGAGAGAAATGAGAGTAGATAATGAAATTGAATAGAGAATGAGAATTAATTCTTTTGTTTGGTAGAACAGAGAATTCAGTTGAAAAATTTTAAAAAAATGAATGGATCGAACAATAATAAATTATTAATCTAACAAAAGAGAGTTTTAGCAAGTGAAAATCATGAAAAAATATTTCTTGCGACTTTTTTTAAAAGAAAAAATTATTAATTATATACAAAATTTTGTAAAATCATATTTTAGTATAATTTTTTTTAAAAAAAATCATATAAAATTAAATACTTGAATGATAAATTAAATCTATTTTTTGTAAAATTGAAATAATATAATATAAATAATTATAAAAATTAAATAGTACAAAAATAAATAAATAAAAATATATATATTGCCATATTATTTTTCTCAATTTCTCTGAATATAAAAGAAATGAAAACAAAGAAATAAAAATAATTTATTTTTCAACTTCCATTTCTTTTGACTCAAACAAATATTTTCATTTCTCTGCTGTCAATTCCCAGTACCAAACACACCTCTAATCTTTTTGTATTTTAGAGAAAAATATAAACAAGCCCAAACCAAGCCCTATTATTGTCCTAATTTTTCAAGAAAATTAAATCATCACAAAACAATTTCATGTTACAATTTGATCTTTTGGAAATTTGTGTTTTATTTCTTGATATTTCTAGAGATTTTTTAGATAAACATTCAAAAATAAATATACATATTATTGATACCGAGTAATTTAATCATGCTTTCACACAGCTTTACCCATCCAAAAATTACTCTAAAATAAGCGTGTTTAACTCTATAAATTTTTTCTCAGTCTGTTCATTCATTATTTTTCAATAAAATAATTCCTCATAAATATTATTTAAAAAAAAATATAAATATACACACATTAATATAATATATATTATTCACTCGTAAAAGTAAACAATTTAACACAAAATATTATTTTTTATATTACCAACATAGTTCCTCACGCTGACTAACAAACTGATTGTTAACACTCAAATTCAGAAGTATTGCCAAATGGCTATTAGGACCGATCAACGCTCCCGGCGCCTATCTAGAACTCATCTTCAATACATGAGGAGAAATCGATATTTTAGATCCATAGACGCAAGTAATTTTCGAAACCTATAGGATAGACGAATACAACATTTGCACCTAAGAAAACAAGAATCGAAATGACCACAAAATCCACATAATCTAAACTCAGAACTTCAGCTAAATTAGCTTTCCGGATTACACAAATCAAATATGGCAAAAAGGCGAAGCTTATAAAAAAGATGAGTTAATTGACTAACTAATCAACAAAATGACGAGATCTTCACCGTGACAATAAGAAACTCATTAAGCATTATTACTATTGCTACAAAGCTGTATGTAATAATTATCAAGCATCACATATTTCGACCAATAAGACTTATACTTTGCAATGGCGAGATCTAACCAGGGTTTATAATTTCCATTATAATGCACGACGCCAGCATTCTCAATCTCTGTTTGGTTAAGAGCAGGATCGTAGCCCAAGCCGAGAACATGCCAGCCTCGGTCCAGAGGATACGTCAAATTGTAGAAAGTAATCAGACCCGGAGGCAGTGTGCCTAGTTTCCACAGAGTGCGATCTTCATTCTGCCGAAAAAACAGAAAAAGGAAAAAAAAATCATGAGAGGTATAGAAATTGCCCGTAAGATAAAATTCGGACCAGTATATCCATGAGTTCAAATCATCATAAAAGAAGAAATGTTCGGACAACTGTGATATTTAATTTTTTTTTCAATATTAGTATTGTTCCAGAAGCAAGGTAAAATTTATGATTATGGATCAACAACAGCCTTAAACAGCATCAAACCAATATTACGGGGTAGCATGAAACATGATGCTGGAACTAAGGCCGACGATGGAAAGTAAATGACACAAGTAGGAGGCATGAATATATCAGCAATGGTGGCAAAAAATGATTCTAATACACACCAGGTATAAATTAAACAATGGAAAATCGATAATCAAAAATAGTGCAGGCTTCTTAAAAATTTTTTATTAGAAAGCTCGAGAAAAATAAAATTAAACGTAAAAGTATTTACTATTGCACACAATTTCTATCAGACAGTAATCCGCAAGATTCACAATCACAGAATATTTCAGGAAATCTAAATTTATTTTGAAGGGAATAGAGAAACATAAGCAGCTACTGAGCTCCTTTTCAAAAAACATTCGATATTTCAAAATGTAGCGCAGCATGACTAATATAGAATATTTAGATCAACGAGAAGGAAAGTACAGGAGTCCGATAATTCCATACCAGATTTTGCCAGTAATGATAAATTCCTGTAATGTCACGTTTCCGCCATTCTCTCAGATCGAAGATGTTCATGCCAAATGCCCAGCCACAAGCATTAGGATCGAAATTCTCAGTTATCTTTGGGTTAGAGAAATTAAGATACTTGTCAAACCTATGGAAGCTTTCCTTGCACGTTTCAACAGCGCCATTTACCATTCCTTGCAGATCAACAGACCATAATGCTGTAAGATCCTTCTGAACAACAATGTCATCATCCAGAAATAAAATCTTATCCAGCTTTGAATAAACCTGAGGAAGATAAAACCGGAGATGGTTTAGCATGGACAAGTATTTTGGATTCCTGTACTTGAGATTGTCGGTGCCAGTAGTGAGGGATGATGCTTGATGCGCCTTGAAATAGTATTCAATCATTTTAGCAGATTCAAGCTGCCGCAGAACAGGGCAGTACGAAGAATTAAGCCAAGTAAAATCATCGACATTCTGGACTTCTATTGTTGCGCCAGCAGGAGTATTCACTAGAAACCACATTCTCATAGCTGCGAAATTCAGCTTATCCGTGACTATATGGAAAACATGCTTTTCAGGCTCTTTCGCATGCAACACTGTCGAGTTCACAACAACTGATGTAGCGAGCACATTATCAGAAAAGATGGCATAATGATATAAAGAAGGATTCTCGAGTTTCTCACGGTTGGGAAATTCCTTGTCTTTGTAGTTATTTAGGTAATAGTCGGTCGTAAGAAGCAAAGGGATGCAATGTAATGGTCTGGGGATAGTTTTGGCAGCTAGCTGTATCAAAAATGAGCTCTTCTTCTTCAAAGATTCTATATTAGTCTCACTCGACTGAAGCATGACTCTCAATTTTCTTGCTATCTCGATGCAATCATATAATCGGTCCTTCGCAGTGGCGAGAATGTGTCCCATGGAAATTGCCTTATCAAGAGCACTAACAAAGACACAGAACAAAGTTAAATAAGTAATACTCTTAGGATCTAAAGCCAATATCAGAATGAATTTACGAAGGAATTGTGCAGAAAAAAGAACCTTGGAGGAAGATCGGCATCAGTTGTTGCATCTCCAATAGCAAATTTGCATTCTCTAGAATGTTTAATAAGAGAATCATAAAGCATGGTCTCGTTCTTAGCCATGGCAATTGTTGCATAAGCTCTGGCCATTATGATTTGATCTCCCATAAGTTTGACTGTCGAATCAGAGTTGGGATTTTCATATTCCTTCCGCCATATACTGAATTTACCCTTGACAGTGGTATCAAGCTCCCGTGCTCGTTTGATAGCTGCTTCTTGCATCTGTTTATCGATCTTTTTGTCTTGTTTGATCAATTCTGCAATTCTTTTCTCCCTCCTTTCCTTCCGTAGTTTCTGAAGCACGAGCAAAATTAATAAATCAGAAAAAATACACTGTCTGTGTAAGCAGATAAGATTTCTCACCTTTCTCTTGATTTTCACTGGATGCACTGGATAGGCTTGTGTTCGAGGAATGTCTTGTGCATCATTACTCGAATTCTCACCAGAGTTCCGGGAGCTTATTTTCATTTGCAAAGGGTCCGGATCTATCTGAGACATAAGTTGATTTTATCATGTCTGTTACCTAAAATCATGACCAAATTGTTTGAATACAACTAGAAAAGCAGATATGTAACTGACAAGTTACCGGTGAACTCCTTAACTGACTATGCTTCTCATCGCCAGGAATCTTCCACACCCATGAAGCAGATAGATCCCGAGATCTGACAGTCCTAACTTTAATATCCCCGGAACGGTCACTGTAGGATATCATTATCTCAATATCCTGCAAGAACTAGGTAACTATAGCTGCAGTCCTGTTTGTAAATCTCATGAAATGAAGAAAGAATGTCATTACCCTTCCATTAGGACGAATACTCGAGCTGGAATTCTTCTGTTCCTGTAAGGCCATCATCAATTAAGCATATGGAGAAAGGGTCCCTTAGATAGCATAAATTTGTAAAATACGATACATCATTTTGCTCAGAATTCAGTGTTGGGAATATGTATTTTTCCATTCAAGCATAGTTTCTGCTTCAACAACAAAAGTATGCGTAACAAAATAAGCTGTATTTTGAACGAAAAAAAAAAATGTCCTCCATAACCTACTCATGGCGAAGGTTCCAGTTGAATGAGAAAAGAAACTCAAGAGTTCCGGTTTCCATCTTAACATAAACAAATCAATCTTATGCTTTAGAGTCGTAGACCAACAATTTCAGGAAAGAATCTACAATCTACATGGCCAAGGTTCAATCAAGTTCTAGCAAACACACGCAAAACAGTAATCTATCACAACCACACATCCTCAGAAGGACTAACTCTTACCGGTAAATCCTGTTAACTATTAATTCAATGAGACCACCACTATTCCAATTTTTATCATAATAGTCTGCCTCCCATAGTTGTAAATGGTACATGACACACCACGGCGCAAGGCCTATGCCACGCCATTTCGCATGGCACAGCCATGCATATAACTGATCAGAGGCGGACCGAGGTGGGGGCAAGGGTGGGCTGCAGCCCCCCCTCTCCCACCCAACCCCCACTTTTTTTTGTTTACTTATTTATATTTATGAATTTTTTCCTTACTTAAATATATATAATATAGAAAAAATGGATAAATAAAAAAAATAATAAAATACTAAAAAAATTGTATAGTTTATCTGAATAAAAAAATTACAAAAATAAATATTTATAATATATAACTAGTATTATTATTGTAGTTCATTAATAATTTTTTCGGATAACAAATAAATATTTATAAATAGAATATATTATTTTATGAATTTCAAAATTAGCCCCCCCGAATATAATCCTAATTCCGCCACTGTAACTGTTAATAGTATATTTTAAAAGAATAATACATATATATATGCCATACAAACACATAATATTGAACAAGATTGAACTTCAGTACACATTATAACATATAGTACTACCTCCGTCCCATTACTTCTCCATATTTTACTTTAAGCAAAACTTTTTAAGTGGTATTATTTTGATAGTTTTTTACCATATTGACCTTATTTTTTCTTTGGAGTGATTTTATAAACTGTATTTAGAAGGACAAAAGTAAAAAAACTATGTGTAAAGATCGAAAAGTTGCAAAAGTTAAACATCTAGCAAAAGATTTGGAACGAAGGGAGTATTTAAGTAATAAAAAAAAAAAAACACAATTTCTGTATAAACAGTAACACAACAGAAAAACAAAAGTTTCCGCTGCCGTGCTTCACAGTTGACCAGCAGCGATGCAGCGGAGAAACAGAAGGAAGCATCATCGAAAGGCAAGAGAAGACATGAAAAAAAAGAGACTATAGAACCAGTAGCTTTGAGCAGAAGAAAACTTAAAGAAAGATAAATATGCTTTTTGTATCCTTATTTAATCGGTAAATACATACTAAACTGCAACAAATATAACTAATTAACAAAAAAATGCAGGCTTAGCACCTTAGCAATCCATTTACAACTATGCTACCTCCAACCTTTTATACATACCGGTGTCTAATGCCTACTCCTAATAAGTTATATAATAAATACGCAGAACAGCAATGTATTGTAAGATCGGAAGTATAAACAATACTATTTCAATCCATTCATAGAGATGAAATGGAAAACATATCTAACACTATAACATACAACATTTAAGCGGAAATCTGAACAATTATGAAGTGAGTTGTGTAAGGTATCTCCATTCTTGATCTACATTTTGGTTTAACCTATTATGCTTTATCAATCAGAAATCATTTACTAAATTCAAATCTCTTCCCCTTTTCTCTTTTTCCTGTTTATTGAATCCAAATTCACAAGCACCTACCTGTTGAGCTGAACAAATTGATTCCTCAATTATACAAACTGAACATTGAACTACACCTAATGCCATCTCTTGATCATTCACACCTAATGCCATCTCTTGATCATTCACACTAAGAACCCTACTGATTTTATGTTTTCCTCATTGAGTAGCAAATATCAAACAGTAAAAGCACAACAAATACAATCAAAACTGCAATTATCCATCGTTTCCCTAAAAAAACCCTCATTACCCACAGCACATTACATCCGATATCGAAACACAGAACGCCAAAAGCAATTCCACCATGAAAAAACCACCCACAACCCAAAACTGAAAAAAATAAAAAATAAAAAATAAAAATGGCACCTTCTCAAAATCATCGGCGGCAGCAACCGCGACGACGGCGACGGCGACGGCGAACAGGGAGATGGTTGTACGGAGGAGAACTGCACGAACCGCAGGGAATCCAACAGCAGAAGTTGCCATTGACAGATCTTGAGATGGAAGCGCAGAAAAAACGCCTCCACTGTACAAATGGCTAATAACGATGATTAGTTAGTACTAAGTACAAAATTATTTATTTATTTTTTCAATAATTAAAAATATATTATCATATATGGTTCGTCCCACATCGGATGCAGAGAGAAGGTGAGGTTAGGGAAATGGTATAAAATAGAATGTGGGAGGAAATGGAAAGGCTTAAAAGGGTCGGTTGGCTAAATATGCCACGCTAGCCCTCGCCGGTTAGTGCTGTATGGCTATCAAGACATATGGCCGACATAATTTGTGGAAATTTTATAGGGTTGGCTCGCTTGGCCGACCCTCTAATTCTAATTCAAATATTGTTTTATTTGTATGTGTTAAAAATATATGGTAATTTTAATTGCATTTTCAATAATTTTTTTGTTTGTACTTTGTTTGGACGTGATTTGAAATTGATTTAAAATACGATTATTAATTTTAGTCTTTATTAAATAGTATTTTGACATTGTTTTGTAAGAAAAATAGTATTTTCTTTATTTTAATTTAAAATTTTTTTTATTATTTCATTTCTCATTTAAAAGTACTAATTTATTATTTTAGTAAAAGTTATTGTATATCAATATCAAAGTATATTTAATTTTTATTTAAAATATACTATTATATATACAATTATTTTATACATAAAATTAAATTACAAAAGTCAAAACTTCTTACACATTTTTATTAATAAATATAATACTATTATTTTTTTAATTTATTACAAAACTCCAAACGTATATTAAAGAGGGACGAATGGATATTATATTTATTGAAATTGAGCCAATTAATAATATTGATTTAAATTTGAAATACTAAAAAAAAAAAAAAAAAATTATTACTCTATCTAAAATAATATACTCACTCAATTTGCTCAAAACATAATATTTTTTTGTTTCATTTTTATTTATCCAAACTCTATATATGCATTTATATTTTATTTATAGTTACTATAAAAAAAAAATTAAACGTAGATAAAAATATTTTTTATTGAGACATAGAAACAAAAAGAATTTTGACTGAATCCTATAAATAAGATTGGTAAAAATTGAAATAAATTAATTTATATTTATTAAATATATTTAACTTGATAAATTAATATGGTTATGAGAGTATATTGCATTTAATTATTTTTTTGATTTAAACATAATACTAATTTTTAATTATATTACATCATATAACCAATTTGAACTATATATATTCATTTTAAATTTTTTTTAAATTTCCTGGTTTGTTTTAAATTTTAATTTTACTAAAAATAATTAATTTTTATTTTGATTTATTCAGATATATATTTATTATTTATTTATTATATAAAAATTATCTAAATACTAATTTTTTTCATTGCACATTAAATATTTATTTTTTTCATTTTCGTCCTTTTATATAATTTTTTACTTTTTTTTCGAAAATATAATTATATATTTATTCATATTTATATTTTATAATTTATAATTTTTAAATTTTCATTAAATTATTTTAATTTATAATTATTTTTATTATACAATAATTATTTTTAAATTATTTATTAAAAGAAAAAATATTATTATTTTTATTCTTCTGGACCAATCGCCCACCTCTATGAAAGTTGTTTATTTTATAATTTGTAATGCATGGGACCCACAAGAGAAAAATTAAAAAAATAAAATAAGAAAAACGTTGGTTCATCCGGCGAACCAAAATCAAGGGTAAATATATTATATATTAGATCTTTTTAAAATAAAAAATTTATTTTTTAGTTTTACATTTTATTTTTTTATTATTTTAGAAATGGATTATGGTCTTACATTAGATAATAAATGTTTGGGTATAAATTCATATTAGTTCAAGAAGTGTGAATCGATCATAAGTAATATACAATTTAATTTTAAAATTAATTATTTTTATTGTCCCAAAAAATTCAATTCGGACCAACCCAAAATGTACTGGGCCCAGCCCATTCCAATTGGGCCCAACACATTAAAGCCCATCAAACCAGCCCAAATTACCAATGGAACCAAAATTATATGGATCGGCCCAATTTAGCTACGCCCAATCCCATTTTAGGTGGACCGGCCCGGCCTTGCCTGGCCCATTGTAGGGATGGGTAGAGTAACAACCTCCCATGATCAGTCACTTCCGTTTGTCCGATAAATTTTTATTTAATATTGAAACTAAAAATTAATTTATATTTTAATATTAAAGTATATTAAATAATTAATAATTAATAATTAATATTCAAATATTATCACCAAAAAAATAAATATTTCTTTCGTTCTATAACAAAGTATCTATTTTTCCATTTTAGTTCGTCTAATAACAAAATATTTTTTTTTAGTAATTGTATTATCTACTTAACATAAGAAATACCTTTACAACTTACAATATATTACATTACTAAGGTTATTATATTGAATTGTAGCGAAAAAGACAAAAATATTTCTATTAGTATGGTGTAATATAAAAGTAACTGCATTTCTGTAATATATTGTAAGTTGAAAAGATATTTATTATGTTATGTAGATAATAATTATTTTGGGACAGACTAATAAAAAATGATAACCTTTCAATTGGACAAATATTTTTAGTTCAAATAAAAATTAAAAATATTTTAGTATTAATAATTTTCTGTCACAAACCAAGAGGAAAAAGGGTGTAATTTTTGAAAAAAAATAATATAATATTTTAAAAATATATATATGGTGGCTAATAATCAACAAATCATCATAATCTATGCACATAAAATAGGATATTACAAAAATGGAAATAAAATAGAAACAAAAAGCAACAATGCATTATCATCATCTTTTCAGGCTTCCCGTGCAAACAAAAGGCAAAAACGGCGTCGTATCATAACCAAACGGCGCCGCTGGGTGCTGCCATTTCTTCACAACCACCGCCGCCGCCGCCGGCTTCTCCGCCGCAGCCACAGTCTCCTTATCTCTATTCGCAGACGCCTCGATCTCAGCCCTCAGATTGTCCGGCGACTGAACCAACGGCGACAGCAGCGGTATAGCCACGTTCCACTCCGTCACCGGATTGATCTGAATCATCGCCGGCGCTCTCCTCTGCAGCCGGCTAGGCTGCCGCGGCCGCGGCCGCTCGCCGGAAACACCTCGATTCTCAACGGCAGCCATACATAAATCGATGGAATTCGAAATTATTGAGCGATTGCAGGAATAGTAAGAAATGAAATTTCTGCAAGTGTGAATTTAGGGTTTATATAAGAGGGGCGCGTGGAGAACACGCGCGTGGGAATCGGATCTGGTCAGAGTCAAACAATGTCGATGTGAGCCGAGGAAAGATTTCTGCTCTTTTTTGTTTCTATCATTCGGCTCGGCTTGGCTTATGTTGAACGGCGCCTGTGAATGAACTTGAAAATCTGAAGATTCTTCGGGAGCCGAGCCGAGCCGTGTTGAAGAATCTGTAAAAGGGCAGCTACTTTTCAACCGAAAGGCTGAAAATATCCAGAATTGCTGACGTGTTACTTAACGGAATATTTTCATGCTGATGCTCACGGCGGTCGGTGATGCCCACGGGAAAAGAAACGGACGTTAATCTGCCGTTGTGTATGATGATCTTGTAGAAGGGACGGTCTGGATCTTTCTACGGCAGTTTATGGTCCTTCAATACGACAACGGTGCGTGGAAACTCGCCTCGGTATCAACCTTATCGTCTTGTTCTTCACCCTACTAGTACTATTTGATTTATTTAAATTTATTGTTATTATTATTTAAATCTGCAAATTCTATTTCAAAATTTTTAAATATTTTTTTATTATTTTTTAAAAAAATTAATTTAGATTAACAATAATACTACCTCCATCTTAAGTTAATTTGTCCACTTTTGCTTAGTCTAAGAAATTTTAGATATTACGTAATTAAATAAAAAATTAAGAATAGTTAGTAAAAATAATTATATATTAAGATTAAATGACTAAATAGTTTAATTAAAATAAAAAAATTATAAATTAAAAATTTTAAAATGTAGCTATAGTATATAATTGTATTTAAAAAAATGACAAATTATATGAAATGAATAAAAATATAAAAAGTTAATAAATTAAGTGAGACGAATGGAATATATTATAAAAATGATAAAAACTATGGCGTTTATATTTGATGTGAAATTTTAATTTAAAATTGGGTAATATTGTGTATATATATTTTTCAAAAATACTAGTTGTCTAAATAGATACAAAAAAGAATAAAATAAAATTATACTAATATCATGAGCAGGAACTACACGGGGTTTAGGGGGTTCAGTTCCCACAGCCCTCAAAATATGTGTGTTTTTTTAATGTAAAAAATAATAAATTATGTATTTTATAGTAATTTATTTTTTTTATTTTTTTATTTTTTAATGTAGAAAATATAAAATTTTTATTCATTTGTTGATTTATACTTTTAGTCTTTAAATTTTATTTTTTTATAGTAAAAAAATATTTAATTTTATGTAATTTTGTTAGAATTTTTTTAATTTTTTTTTTTTTTTTTGTTACGGTATACTATGAATAAAAAAAAACCAATATTGAATCAATAAAACTAAAAAAAAAAAAAAAGAAAAAATTAATTTTGCCTCCCAGAATTTTTACTGTTAATTCCGTCACTGCTACGAGTTCAAACTTGTAAAGCTTTGAAAGTGCACTAGAACTTCAATCAGGTGAGTTAGTATTCAATCCATCAATCGGGTAACTATTGATATACATTTTGTGTTTGTTTGGGGTTTGGATTTTGAGTTGAAATTTGAATAGTTTGTATGATGTCATATAAATAGGTATTGATATAATGTTTTGAATGTAAAATTTATTTTTAATATGATATAAAAAATAAAAAATAAGTGTTTGACTTAATATTTTTATAAAAAAAAAAAAACAAAAAAGAAAAATGATGAAGAGCGTGTTTGGGGGAGAATCCCCAAACAATCACATACGTTCAAGAAAAATGATCAAAGGCTATACAAGATCAATGAAGATTTAGATGTTGCGCTATTATTAAATTTAGGGTGTGTTCGGTTATAGGATTTTATCAAAATTTTACTATTCATTTAAAAACATTTTCTCAAAAATATCAAATTAAATAGCTATTTTTTATTTTTTATATTATATTAATAATTAATTTTATATTTAAAATATAATATCAATACCTATTTAAACCACATCATACAATTAATTCAATTCAAAAATTTTACTATTCAAATCTCAATTCAAAATTCAAACTCCTAAACAAACACATCCTAGAGTGTTTTGCATAGGCTAATTCCAAACGGTCTTAGTTATAAACATCAAATCAAATACTTGTATTTTATTTTTATAATATTATATTACTCTTTGTGTCCCACGTAATTTATCTCTATTTTATATTTTCGTCTCTCACATAATTTGTCATTTTGTTGGGAAATGTGACCATACATATTAATCACATTTTAACTTTTATATTTTACTACAATTTTTTAATTTTAATTAAATTATTTAGTTATCTAAATTTTAATATATAATTATTTTTACTATACAATAATTATTTTTATTAATACACTTTTAAATTATTTGTTAATTACACTTTACCTAAATTTTAGTATATATAGTAATATAGGCACATATTACATGGGAATGATAGAGTAAAAATCAATTTTACATTCAAAATATTACATCAACACTTATTTATTTCACATGATATAACTATTCGAATTCAAAATTTTTAATATTTAAATATCAATTCAAACTCTCAAAACAAACATACATTGACTTTATTTAAATAATTTGTTGATGTCATCTTTTATTTTTTTGTAAAAAAAAAAAATATTATCATAATGGAAAGTATCCTTCTATTATTTTCCTTAGAGCATCTCTTTTAGTCATTACTTCTATCCATTTTTTTTTTTTTATTTCTCTCATCCACGTTATATTCACTTCAATATTCAAATTATTTCATTTATCTTCGTTATAATAAATCACCCTCAACTCATTATTTTTACTATTTTATAAATACACAATAATTTATTTATTTCTATATACTTTTATTATGTAATAATACATATAATCAATATATAAATAAATTATTTATCTATACATATTTCTATATATTTTTATTATCTAATAATATTTTATATAATAATATTTTAACTTTTAAATAGTAATTTATAAAAATTTAAATTGAATATATACGGAATAAATCAACATATATATTAACTAAAAATAACATCATAATAATCAACAATATAACTTAAAAATTATTATTTTTATTTTCAAATCGTATCCAAATAATATATGCAATAAGGTAGAAAAAACAAATAAATTTAATATATGATAGATAAAGTGTGAGAATTGATTAATGAATTTTAAATATATATATACTACATCCGTCTCATAATTAGATATTCATTTATTTTGTGCACATAATTTTAGAAATATTAGTATTATATTATGATGTAATAAGAATAAAATAGAAATTACTAAAATAACCTTATTAGTATGTGTGATATAAAAGTAATTGCATTTGTGTAATATATTGTAAGTTGTAAGTGTATTTGTAGTGTTAGGTAGATAGTACAGTTACTAAAGTAAACAGATGAGACAAATGGAGTATATAATTCATGTTAAATTTATAATTTAAAATTTTGAAATTTCAAAAAATTTTGAATAGTATTTAATTTAATTGATTTTTTTAAAAAATTTTGTTGAAGGTAATAAGTTCTTAGAAAATGTAATAAATTTGGACAACTGAATTTTGTTATAATAAAAATTAAAAAAAAAAACAATTATAAAGATAATGATGAAAGTGATTGTAAGGGATAATAAATATAAATAAAACAATACTATATTTGTCTGGTAAATTAATATATTTGAGTTCAATAAAAAAATTAAAATAAATAAATAGTTTATTAAAAATGATCAAAATAAAAAAATAGTTGGTGATATTTTGAAATTTTAATTAAAAATAAAATATAATAAAAATATATATAATAAAGATGTAATATTTGTTGTATATAAATACAATTTTCGTTATTTAATTTGTTTACTTTTTCTATATTGATTTGTTTCACATAAATTGTCTCTGTTTTTTTTCCTAAAAAAATAACTATACACTTTAATCATACTTTAAAATTCATAAATTAAAATTTTTTTATTTTAAATAAATTATTTAGTCATCATAATCTTAATTATAATTATTTTTATTATATCATAATTATTTTTACTAATATATTATTTAATTATTTATTATTACTTACATAATACCTAAAATTTTATTTCTCAATTATAATAAACAAATTAGCTGAAATGAAAAGAGTATTAAATTAAAATAAATAGTTAAATAGTGATTTATCAATTTTGTCAAATTAATAATAAAATAAATTTATGGACTAAAAACTAAAATAAAAATAAATTAGACATGGAGGAAATAATAATTTAGTTTGAAAAGAAAACAATATATTAAAATAACAAAACAACATAAAATTAACTCATGTTTATCATATGAAAACAGTGGCCCCAAGCCCTAACTACCTTTATTTTTGTTTGGGTAAACTGTTTTTTTTGTCCGATAACTGGAGCCCCTTATCATTTTAGTCTCGTAAGTAAAGCTTAATTAATTCATAAGTGAAAATTTTTCGCTGTTTTAGTTCTTCCGCACCGAAGACGCCCGCATAACTCGCCGAATGCCACATGTCCGCCAGGTCAGCGACACCTGGCGGACACGTGGATTTTATTTTTTATTTTTATTTTTAAAAATTTTTATTTTTTTTTTATTTTATTGCTTTTTATTATTTTTTATTTGGTCCAATTAAAAAAATAAAAAAAAAATCCAAATGTCCGTCAGGTGTCGCTGACCTGGCAGGACACGTGGCTTCCGGCGAGCCACGCGGGCGTCTCCGGCGCTGGAGAACTAAAATAACAAAAAATTTTCACTTATGAGATGACATATTCTACTTACGGGACTAAAACAATAAAGAAATTCCGGAACTAAAAAAAACAGTTTACCCTTTCTATTTTTATTTTCTTAAATAGTAAATTGAAATCATATCCAAATTCCAACCTAGACTCCAATTGCATGCTAAATGGATTCATTATTATAATTAAAAAGTAATAAGGTTGTGTTTGTTTTAATTTTTTAAATTTTTTCTTTTAACAATTTAAAAATTCTTTTAAAGAAATTGAATCAAGATTTTAGTCCTTTTTTTTTTCGTTTTATTATGCTAAAATTAATTTTAAATTTAAAATATTACATTATATAACTACAAAAAAACAATATATTTTTGTTATTTAAAATTTAAATAAAAAATTCAAACCCTGTAACAAACATATCCTAAATTAATCCACATCTCAAACTTTGGTTTGTAGGTTTGAAAGTTAAATTTAAAATTTTGAATTAGTAAAAATATTAAGTAAAAACAATTATGCAGTGATTGATGTTGTATTTTTCAATATAAATTTAATTTTAAATATGATGATATTAAATAAATATTTAATTTAGTTTTTAATAAATTAATAAATAGTAAAATTTGTACTCTATTCTTCTCATAAAAAGAATATTATTTTTATTTATATCCGTCTGACATCAAGGATATTATTTTATAATTTAGTAATTATATTAACTATCTAATATAATAAATATTTTTACAAATTATAATATATTATATAAATATTGTTATTTTTATATTAAACAATATTAATATGAGTATTTTTTTATTTATTTATTTTAACACAAACCAATATAATACAATAATAAATGAGAGCTTAAAGTTGTGTTTGTTTGGGTTACATTTCTTTTATAATTTTTTTTTTAAAATATTAAATCAAATATTTATTTTATTTTTTATATTATATTATATTATAAGTTTAATTTTAATTCAAAATATTACATAACATATATTTTTACCATACTCCATCTGTCCAATGTATCATTTGTTTTTTTATACTATTAGATTAAAAAATATTAATATTTTATTAGTTGTGGAGTGTATAATATTGTTTTGACATTTTTGTCTTTAAAAATATAAATAAAATAAATATTTTTTTAAAAATTGAAAGTATATTAATATTTAAATATAATTATTTTTATTGTAATGGTAAATAAATATTTTTGAAATAGACTGATAAAAATGATAAAAATTTGTAATCGAAGGTGGCATTACAAAATTATTTTAATTTAAACTTTAAAATTCAAAACAAAAACACAAACAAACACAACCTAAAGAATTCCGACGTGACATCTTATCTAAATAAAACACGTCCTTATTGGTCGAAGGCAGCCGCCAGAACATACCAAAAGTATAAGCCGCAATTACATAATTCGATAAAAATTTAGTATTATTAATATAATAGCAATTATTTATTAATTAATAAATACTAAATTGTCATATTTTGTTTAAATACGGAGTTTTAAATATTATATAATGCATAGTTAATTATGAACTGTATCAGTAAAAAAAATTATAATTTAATAAAATAATTATAAATTAAAATTAAAATTTTAATTATAATAAAAAATTATAAATTATAAATTTTAAAATATAATTAAAATGTATAATTATATTTAAAAAATGATAAATTATGTGAAATAAACAAAAATAAAAATAAACGAAAAAAATAACATATTTTAAATACAAATTCATGATACATAATTTTTTTTTTTAAAAAAAAGTCAAAATTATACTCATTTCATATTTAAATTATATTATTATTTTAATACAGCGGAGAAATTCTGGCGCCTACAATGGATTGTTCATAGATCCATTGATTATATAAATCCGTTGAATACTCTCCATTTTAATAAATAATTAATTTTTACTGACTCTGTTTCGAAAATGTTAAGACATGTTATTTTGATTGAGTTTGAAAAAAATTAGTTTGAATTTGATATTAAAATAATATTTGATGATATATTTTGTGAAATATGAAATTGAAAATATGGACAGGAACTGAGGGAGTAATTTTTTTTTGAAAAACATAATTTTCAATATATATAATATTTATATTTTACTATTTTATAGAATTAATAATTAAATATAAAATATTATTTTTATAAAAAAAATCAAATCAAAATATTAAATAAATCTATAATATACAGTTTACTATCGCTGTCTCGTATAAAGAACATAATTTATTTTTTTTATGCATTGTATTTAATATTAAAAATAATTTTATATTTATATAATTTATTTCATAAATATAATTATATTTGTATTATAAAATATTAATAATAATATTTTTATTTTCTTTTTAAATTTATACTTACATATTGATATAATCATAAAACGCATACGGTATTCTTTTTATGAGAAGAGATAGTATTATATTTTAATAATATTAGAAAATAGAAAATATTATTTAAATTTTGGGCCGAATATTTAATTTTGGATATAAATATTAAAACATATAAATATTATTATATTTCATTGATCTCTCATATGAACCATTATATTATATACTCTTATTCCCTTTGTTTCTCAAATTTATTTTTATTTATTTTTATTTTTTGTCAGCTAAATTTATCGCATTAATTTTGACAAAATCAACAAATAACATTTAATATATTTTTTCTTCTTACCTTTTTCTTTTAAATTTCTAATTTAAACTATTTTTTTATTATTTTTTTAATAAAATATTTATTTTTTTTATAATTTTTAGAGACAAAGAGAGAGGAATAAGAAATAATAATAATAACAATAATAATAATAAATGTATACAAAAGCATAAATAAAAGATTAATCAGACTTTTTAAATACTCCAACTAAGCATTCCTTCTTCACACTTTCCAAAGGCCTTATCGAAAATGTGCACTTTACAGAAGCGCGGCAGTTTCTTCATCCTCACCCTCACCGGCGCCGGCGCCGGCGATCGGGAGCACCGCCTCAGCCCCACCGTCATCGGCAACATCCGCGCCGCCTTGTCGGAGGTCAGATCTCAGGCGGTGGCCGGATCCGTGCTCATCACGCGATCCGAGGGGAGGTTCTTCTCCAACGGCTTCGATCTGCGCCACGCGCAGGCGGTCGGCGCGGCGGCCGGAAAATCCGACGCGGCGGCGGCGGAGCTCCTCCGGATGGTAGATCTGTTCCGCGGAGTGGTGGCGGATCTATTATCGCTGCCGATGCCTACAGTCGCCGCCGTCTCCGGCCACGCCGCGGCGGCCGGAATGATCCTCGCGATGAGTCACGATTACGTCACGATGACGTCGGATAGGGCGGTGATGTACATGAGCGAGCTGGATATCGGAATGACTCTCCCCGATTACTTCACGGCGTTGATTAGGGGTAAGATCGGGTCGGGAATCGGCCGGCGGGAGGTGGTTCTCGGCGCGGCGAAGATCGGAGCGACGGCGGCGGCGGAGATGGGGATTGTGGATTCGGTGGAGGGGACGGCGGCGGAGGTGGAGGCGGCGGCGGAGCGGAAGGCGGAGGAATTGGGGAAACGGAGATGGAATGGCGTCGTTTACGCCGAGATAAGGAAGGATTTGTACCCTGAGGTTTGTGGTTTGTTGGGGTTGAAGCATTCTCCTGTTGTCGTTGCTAAATTGTAATTTATTATCATAATAATAATAATAATAATAATAATAATAGGTGCTAAATTGTGATTTATTATAATAATAATAATAATAATAATAATAGGTCTGTATTGCATCAAATTCCCATATGTTTTCCCGGTTTAAAATTATTTAATATTTTCAATATTATGTCAAACATTTTATGTTAAGTCCTTTTTTAACAGTATTATTTATCACGCCTATAATACGAATAAGTTTGAGAATTTTTATTTCTAATTTTTTAAAATGAGAAATATACTAATTATTTTCTAGTATTAAATTTTAAAAGAAGTAATCCGAAATTGTTGTTTTCACTGATTTTAATTTTTTTAAAAAAAATTAAATATAAGAAAAACAAATATATTTATAATTTTATAAATTTAAATTAATAATAATAAACATGTGTGATTCTTATGTTTTGGTTTAAAAAAATATTATTTTTATGTAAAATATAAAAAAATATTATTTTTATAATAATATTATTTTCATCTTTTTCAGTACTAACAAACCAACCAAAGGTACATATATTTCATTCGTCCATGAGATTTATGTAACAATTTTTATTTGTTGTTTATTAAACTTATACACAATTTAATTTATTTATAGTAAATAATTTTATTATTCACAATTTTATTATTTTTAGTTTAATAAATACTTCATTGGTTCCATGAAAATCGTCCAAATTAATGTAGTAACGAGATTATAGAAAAAAAAAAATAATTAATAAATAATTAAGATATGTATTAGTAAAAATAATTATTATACAATACAAATAATTATATATTAAAAATTAATTTTTAAGATAACTAAATAAATTAATTAAAATTTAAAATAATATAAATTATAAAATTTAATATATGATTAAAATATATAATATTTTTAAATTAAAAAAATAAACAAATTATGTAGAATATATGAAAACTGATGAAGTGGTAATTTTATGTCGGCGGAGGCAGTAGTAATCTAGAGGAAGTAGTAATCTATTTGTGACTATTTTTTTCCTATTTACTATACTATTTTATATTAATCATTTAATTACTTTTTTTATAAAATTTTAATTCTACTTTTTATTTATTCCATAATAATTTTAAAGTATTATTTTTTTTTAATTTATATATATAATCAAATGTATACTATTTCTATCATAATTTAAAGTATTATTTTTATCATTTTTGTCTATTTTATTCAAAAGTATTTCTTTTATATTTTTCAAAAAATAATCATATACTAAGGGTGTGTTTGTTTGGGGATTTTCACCCAAATACACTGTTGATCTCATTTTTTCTTCTAAAAAATATTAAATCAAACACCTATTTTTTTATTTTTTATATAATACTAAAAAATCAATTTTACATTCAAAACATCACATCAATACCTATTTATATCGCACCATATAACTATTCAAATTAAAAAATTTAATTATCCAAATCCCGACTCAAAATTCAAACCCCCAAACAAACACACCTAATAATATCAAAATACCTTTTTAACTTTTATTGAGTTACAAATAAGACGGTTGGTGTGTAATTTTATAGGACTAATAAAGTACTATCTTCGTCTCATTTAATTTGTCAATTAATTCAATTTATGACCGTTTTACATAATTTGTCTTTTTTTAAAAAAAAAAATACTCCTATAATAATTTTTATTAAATTATTATTTTTTTTATTAATACAATTTTTAATTACTTATTATTTACATATTACATCAAACATTCTATTTAAGCAAAATAAGATAATTTAAGTGAGACAGAAATAATAATAATTTTTTATTTTTTATTATTATTATTATTTTTAAAAAAATATCAATCATTAAAAATCATCATGGATGTCACTCAGGTTGTCAAATGAGTGGGCCAACCTAATAGCCCAATTCACTTTAAAACCCAACTCAGGCTAGACTTTATTATGAGCCCTAAGGATTGACCTAGAACTGTTTTGGCCCATATCGGTCTAGCTATTCTATTCTATTTTATTTTATTTATTTATTACTCTTTTCGTCAATTTACAAAATGCTCTCTCCGTCTCAAAACTATAGTCTGGGTTATGTTTAATATAAAATTTTAAAAATATTGATATTATATTGGTAGTGAGTAAAAAGTACAGGTAAAAGACTTTTTTGCCATTGTGAGTGTATTAGTGTAAAAAGTAGTGGCAATTATGTAATAATAAAGAAAAAGTATGAATAGTTTTATAGTGATATGATTATTTATAAAATAAGATTATTTTTTTTTGGACGGAAAAAAATGGTAAACGGGACTATTGTATTGGGACGGAGGGAGTACTTCATTTGTCCCAGTCAATTTGCCATATTTAATTTAGGCACGAAATTTTAGATACTGTGTAATTAGTAAGTAATTAAAAAATATATTACTAAAAACAGTTATAATTTAATAAAAATTATTATAGATTAATAATAGTTAGAAATCGCATGCGTTTTATGTTCATATCATATGTAATATTTGATTGATTTTGATTGGATTCTACCTAATTTATATGCATATTGTTTATTTGTTGCGTGCAGAGGACAAATATCAAATTTGACGTAATTGACATAAAAAGTAAAGAAAAATTCAGATTTGCACCGCCTAAAAGCCCAATTACAAAATAATTAGGACAAAAAATAAATTAAGAAAAAGAGGATCACACGCGCAGAAGATGAGGAAAATGGTCAGAGCAGATATGCACATGAGCAAGAGACTGATAGACTTGTATAAACAATACATATATAAATTTGATATTTGTCCTCTGCACAAAACAAATAAACAATACGCATATAATCCAATCAAAATCAATCAAATATCGTATATGATATGAACATAAAACGCATGCGATTTCTAACTATCAATTAATATTACGATTATTAAATAGTTTAATTTAAATAAAAAAAATTATAAGTTACGAATTTTAATATGTGATTAAAATGTATAATTACATTTTTAAAAATAAAAATGACGAATAATGTGAGAATGACGAAAAATAGAAAAAATAGACAAATTAAATATATAAGATGGAGTATATATTTTTTTATCTTGAATTTTCTAATTATAAGTCATCATAAAGTAATTATTTGTATTATAAGTTCAAAATAAAAATATTTTAGTTTTTTTCTCTTAATTTATACAATATTTTGGTATAATAATTAATATTAAAAAATTAAATTGTAAAAAGAAATATCAACTTATTAAGCGGACGGATGTAAAGTGGACAGCAAATACAATACAAAATATTATGATAAATTTATTAAAGAATTAATAAAATAAATATGACAGGTAGAAAAAATAGTGACGAATTATTCATATACGAACATATATTTACATTATATTATACAAAATTTATTTTATACAAAATGATATTTATATACATACTTTAAATTGCGAAGATAGTTAGGATGATGATTAAAACTGATTAGTACGATCACGTTATTAATCCTAATCGATACATAAAAAAGACACAATATATTATTTCAAAACACACAATATAAAATAGTTCACATTTTAAGGTCTTTTTTATTAATCGTGTGCTGAAATTAAGGATAATATGTGTTGTATTAACTATTGTTATGTATTACTCCATCTGTTTCACCACAGATGACTTTTTCTTTTTTTTCTTTAAAAAAAAAGGTTCCACAAAAGATAATCTATTTCCATTTTTGGTAAGTTTGTCAATTTTAAACCTATTTAACAAATATAAATCAATTTAATTAAACTTCTAACATTTTATACTTTAAGGCCCACTCAATACCCATTTATTTCATCTCTCTTCAATTAACAAATATTTTTATCTATTTTTAAAACTCTTCATTTTTTATAACTAATTTATGGTACTGCTGAATAAATAAATAAATTTTTTTATTTATTTTTATTATATAAAATTTTATTGTCTCCAAAATGATATCCAACATATATTTTATTGAGATATAATTCTAAAAATATTTAAAATACCAACAACACTACACATATAAAAAATAATAAAATATTATCATAATTTATTATTAATAACTTAATAATCTACATTACCTAAAATATAGTGTCCCTAACAAAATGGCTCATCTTTTGCTGGATGGAGGAAATATTAATTTATATGTTGTATTTTTATTATATTAATATAAATTATACGACGTTACTTAATCTTGTATATATATATATAATTTTATATATATATTTAAAGTATTGTGATCACCGTAATCAACGCTTTAAGGGTGTGTTTGTTTGGGGGTTTGGATTTTGAGTTGAGATTTGAATAGTAAAAATTTTGAATTTGAATAGTTGTATGATGTGATATAAATAGGTGTTGATGTGATGTTTTGAATGTAAAATTGATTTTTAGTATAATACAAAAAATAAAAAATAAGCGTTTGATTTGATATTTTTAGGGGGAAACAATATTATGAATAATATAAATCCAATCCAATCTCCCAAACAAACACACCCTAATAGTAGTCTTAATTTTGTTTTAGATTATATTTCCTCCATCCATGAAATTATTTTAATTTTGTTTTTTAACACGCAATTAATTTAAGAAAAATTAGTTTATATGGTTAATTAATTTGATTAGTTGATATAATATTGGTAATAATGATATTTTAAATATTTTTTTACTTATGAGTTATTGAAATAAAGTTGAAATATTTATATTTTAATTTTAAAATATTGAGTATTTTATTTTAAAAATTTATTATTTATATTGATTGTAAATTGGCACAGCAAATAGATAAAAAAAATAAAAAATTGGCTTTAATAATTTAAATACAATTAACGTACCTAATAATAAAATTCATTATATAAACAATAAAACAGATTTCTTAAATTCAGTTGTTGGTAAGAATACTTCGGCATTATACATCAAAATTTATAGCGCACATTATATCCCGTATCAATTTTTTTTTTTAATGGCATTTTACGGTACCAAAATACTATACCAATAATTTGGTATGCCAAATTTATGGATAAAAAAATATCGAATTATCGAAACAGTGAATACCGTATCAAAAAAAAAATAGTGCAAATACCATAAGTGTGTATTTTTGTGAGATTATTGGAAAATACAATTTTTTATATGAGATATATGGAAATGCATATAAAATATAAAAATAATGAATGTACATAGTGTATTAATTTTTTTTGAAAAAATGTGCGAGAAGAAATAATAGAAAGAACAAAACCCAAATTTTGGTACGATATGATACCATGAAAAAAAATTTCGGTACAATATGATATCATAGAAAGCTTTTTTAGTACGAAAGCGATATAAAATTTGACGTTTTCAACGTATACTAAAAATAAAAAATTTGTGGTGTTTCGATATATGTTTTTAATATATCGAAAAAATTCGACCGCACAATATGGTCCGATATTGTTGGTATACCGTATTGAACAATATTTAATCGAATTTCATATATACAATATCAAAATATAATGTTTTACGTTGAAATACCGAAATTAAAAATAAGGGTAAACTTTTTTTTAGTCCCGTAACTGGACCCCCTTATCATTTTAGTCTCGTAAGTGGAGCATGTCGCAAACTAGTCCCATAAGTGAAAAATTTTCGTTGTTTTAGTTCTTCGGTGCCGGAGACGCCCGCGTGGCTTGCCGGAGGTGACGTGTCCGCCAGGTGTCACTGACCTGGCGGACACGTGGATTTTTTTAATTTTTTTTTTAATTTTTCAATTTTTTTTTAAAAACTTATTTTAAATTTTATTTGTATTTTTTTATTTGGTCCAATGAAAAAAAAATTTAAAAATAAAAAAAAAAATGAAAAAAATAAATAAATCCACGTGTCCGCCAGGAACTGGTGGGACACCTAGCGGACACGTCACCTCCGGCGAGCCACGCGGGCGTCTCCGGCGCCGGAGGACTAAAACAACGAAATTTTTTTACTTATGGGACTAGTTTGCGACAGGCTCCACTTACGGGACTAAAATGATAAAGGGGTCCAGGCACGGGACTAAAAAATAGTTTACCTTAAAAATAATTTTATAGTTTTAAGAACATTTTAAAAAATTAATAACTTTAGTATCAATATACTACGTTATTGATATACTTATATGGAATCCAAAAATATCAAAATTATATATAATCTTTTCGGTATATAATACCAAAATTGCTAAATATATATATATCTTACTAAAAAAATTTCGGTACGATATCATATCATATCAAAATTTACGATATAAAATAATTTTAATATTTTTGATATTTTTCATCCGGTACATATATTATTTGATCAATTTAATATTTTTTACTCTTAGTTGCTATAGTGATAATCATTCTTTATTTATTTATTTATTCTGTGTGTGTGAAACATATAAATGAAATTGAAAATCGAATTTTTACTATTAACTAAATTTTTAATTATAAAAATATTAAAATAAATATTAAATTTTTTATATTATATTAAAAATTAATTTAAATTTTTTTTAAGTATAATTGAGCGGTGCACAACATATCACCAATACATAAACAACCCTAATAAGAATTTGACGGCTAACAACAAATTATTTGGATAGAACTCTTGAAATTTATGCTGGCTGTGTTTGTTTGAGATTTTGAATCTTTAGTTGGAATTTAAATAGTAAAAATTTTAAATTATAATAATTATATAATATAATATAAATAAATATTAATATAATATTTTGGATATAAAATAATTTTTTTAATATAATTAAAAAATACGGGACAATAGATATCTAACTCAATATTTTGTGATTTATTTTATTTTTTTTTAATAAATAGTAGAAATTTAGGGATGTTCAGGGAAATAGCACACCTTTGTAAATTTTGAGCTCATGGGCTTAAGCCGTAATCCGAGACAAAAGTTAAAAAATTGGGTTGAAAATTAAATTAATATTAATATTAATTTTGAGTTTTTATGTATTCGTTTGTTTTTTGCACGGAGTTTTATAAATATTAATATTATATTAAGATGTAGTAGAAATAAAAGTAAAAAAGTTAAATTAACCTTATTAATATTGTGTGATATAAAAGTAATGTCATTTGTATAATATATTGTAAATTGAAAGGACATTTGTAAGGTTAGGTAGACGGTTACGGTTAAAAGACGAGAGAGTAATAAAACTTTCATAATATACATGTAAATCGAGTTACACTTTGTTCTTTCAACTAATTTTTTTTACACGACTCTTAATATATATAATTTATATTTTATTATTTTACAAAAATTAATATTAATATAAAATATTTTTATATTACTTACGCAATATCTTATTTTATATAAAAAAATATTTCAAATAAAAAATACTAAATCAATAATAGAATTATAGATAAAAGAATTCAAAATATAATAAAAAAAAATATTATTATTATATTATTATTATAAGGAGATTAAATATTGCATAATTATTAATAAATAAAAAATGATGAATCAAGTAAGAGCTATTTCACCTAATGAAATTTCTATGGAAAAAGATTGGTGTAAACATTTTTTTGATTTTTTTTTTCTTATTTGAATAATAATTTAATTGCAATGTTCTATTTCTCTCTCTTATTTTTTTTTAAATAATACTTCATTCGTCCCAGTACTACAAAGGCGTTTGGTACAGAGAATGAAATTGCAGAGAAATGAGAATAGAGAATAGAATTGGAGATAAAGGGAATTGAAAAAAGAATGATAATTAATTATCTTGTTGGGTAGAATAGAGAATTCAGTTGAGAAATATAAAAAAAAATGAATAGATCGGACAAGAATAAATGATTAATCTAACAAAAGAGAGTTTTAACAAGTGAGAATCATGAAAAAATATTTATGGTGATTTTTTTTAAAACAAAAAATTATAAATTATATACGAAGTTTTGTAAGATCATATTTTAGTATACTTAAATGATAAATTAAAAATAATTTTTGTAAAACTGAAATAATATAATATAAATAATTATAAAATTAAATAATACAAAAAAAATAAAAATATATACACTGGAACATCATTTCTCTCAATTTCTTTAAATATAGGAGATAAATGAAAATAGAGAAATGAAAATGATTTATTTCTCCAACTTCCATTTATCTGACTCAAACAAACAAGAAAAATAAAAACATTTCCATTTCTGTCAATTCTCTGTACCAAACACACTTCTGTTTATCATTTTTATTCGTCTAAAAATAATAGTTTATTTATATAAATAATCATATCACTGTAAAATTACTTTTATTTTTTTATTATTATTACACAATTGCCACTACTTTTTCACTAATATACTCAAAAGGCAAAATTTTTTTTTTTATCCGTACTTTTTATCACTACCAATATAATATCAATATTCTTTAAATCCAATGTCAAACTCAACCCAAACTATAGTTATATGTATTTAATTTTTACAATTTCAATTATTCACATCGAACAAATAAGATTATTATTATATTTTAATTTTTTTTCTATCCCCAAATTTCACTGTTAAAAAAATTAAAATAAAAACAAACATACAAAATCCATCAAAAGAATGATTTGTTTGGTGGTGATTGAAGTTATTTAAAATGAAACCTTAATTTGAGAGTTTATTTAAATAAATATTTTAATATATTATATTATAATAAAAATATATAATTTTATTAAAAATAATATTCTATTCATCTGTTATATATGACTTTTTTTTTTAATAAATTTATTTGTTCTAAATCTATTTAACAAATAATATAAATTAATTTAATTAAATTTTAATCTCTTATATATGTATATCAATTTTTCTATTTCTATATTTCATCATTAAACAAATATTATTATATACATTAAAATTTTTTATTTTTATAAAATTAATTTAAATTAATTATATATATAAATTTATATTTTTAAAATATAACAAATAATATTATTCATATTAAAAATAACAAAATAATATTATAATTTATTATTAATAATTTATTAATTTACAATACATCGTATATAAAAAAAAATAAAATTACGGCCATACAAACCCAATGAAAATTACTACCATACAAACCCTTGCTGTTTAAATCGAATTTATTGGTCTATTTATTTATTTATTTATTATATATATGGGATTTATATCCTCAGCGTTACATCTGCTGCTCAGTTTTATTTTATTTTATTTTATTATATAGTAATTTTCTCCGCTTAGTTCTCTAAATCTCTCTGTACTCATTCGCCTGACTATCGAGCAAAGGTTCTTCCTTTATTTCCATCAAGGTCGGTGTTCCTCTCGATCTGAATCAATGACGTCAATTTGTGTTATTACACCGATTCTCGTTTCGCTGTGTATTAACCTTTAGGTTTTTCCCAAAAAATTGGGTTTCTTTTTGCGGATTTTCTGATGCGATTTTGTGAGGTGGTTTTAGTTTGATTGGGTTTTTGTTTGCAAGTCAGGAAATCAGTGGATTGATTTTTCTTTTTTTTTGATGTTTTTGGATTATTTAAGATATGGCGGTGTCTTATTTGACGGATATGTGTTCGGAAGGATGCGTGCATTGAGTTTTGTGTTTGATGCTTCCAAATCGGTTTTTAGGTTAATTTTGGAATTATGGGAATTAGGGTTTATTAGGATTTTGAATTCGGGGGGGCATTTGGTGTATTGAAACTGTTCTGTTGTTGGAAATGTTGTTATATCGTGCTTTTGTTTGTGAGAAATTCTTGAATGGATTTCTGATATGAAATTGAGGGATTTAATCTGATTTAGGATATCAAGGTGTCTGTAGACCTGATTTGATATACTGTTTTGTATGTCTATGTTCATGTGACTGAGCTCGCTTACTTTGTATCGAAGCAGGTGACTTTGAGGGGTTGTGTTGGGAGTTACTGAGTGGGGAAAATGACCGGGGCTGCGATGGAGGAATCTGAACTAGGAAGGTCGTTTGAAGGATTTTCGAGCGAGCAGCAGCAGCAGATATGTCAGACTGGAGAAGCAATAGCAGAATGGAGATCATCGGAGCAAGTTGAGAATGGAAGTACGTCGACTTCTCCGCCTTATTGGGATAGTGATGAGGAGGATGATGGAGGTGCGACACACGTACTCTCTATATATTTGGCCGGTGTGCCACATGACTTGTTTTTGGAGGTTAATGCTTCACAGGTGTCGCATATTGCGTAATGTGGTCAACGTTCTGTGCTACATCACTGTCTTTTTTTCATTGTGGTTGAGGAAATTCATGAACGCATTTAATTGGGCACGCATATAGTATGGGGATATTAATGAATCTTTGCGAAAAAAAGGAAGAAAGAGATGGAAAGTAAAGTTTCAATAGTTGTTGCTGTAGAACTTCGATTGTGTAGGGAGCTTCTTATGCATATGCTGAATTAGATGGGAAGAGAGAGAGAGAGAAAGAGAGAAATAAGACTTGAACTCTATGTTATTTTCCTGAAATTGTCTGCATTGGCTAACCGACAAAATTATGGTTGATTATTATGTTTTAGTTGAGTTTCAAATACTATATGAATCTGGAACCTTTTACTTTCATTTTCTCCTGGCTATACTCCCTACGACACATGGATTAGTTTCAAGATTTTGGTTATTCTGGATTCTTTACTCTTAATGAGTTTTGGTTTTGAAACCACTTACAGGTTCTTATGATTATATAATCTATGTATGTATGTGGTTAGATATTGGAAATGCTAACTGCAAAGATAAGCAATCTGTGAATCCCCAGAATTCTCAGTTTTGTAGTTTTACTAATTCATTGTTTTTTCTCTTCAATTACCAAATGGTGATTTTCTTTTCTGCTTTTCTAATGTTTTAATTATCTGGAACATTAAATGGCATATAAACCTACCGATGATGTAACTAGTTGTTGGTGGAAACATGTTGTTGCACGATCTTTTTATGCAATATAAGTATTGTTTTCGTCATCAATTATTTATTCTTGTCATTTTTCAGGTCCAAAGCCTTCTGACTTATATGGGAAGTACACATGGAAGATTGATAAATTTTCACAGGTCAACAAAAGAGAACTTCGGAGCAACCCATTCGAAGTTGGGGGTTACAGCTGGTATGGTCAATTATCAAATTTCTCTTTTCGTATTGCAGTAAAATACCATATGGTTAAAAATATATCCGAAGCATCGACTTAATGATTGCTTCTTTGTTAGTATTGATATATTAGAATATCTGATGGATGTTCTTTTGTGTGAAATTGGTCTCAGATCCTATGCGATGTTTATATAAATATAAGGGCAACAGGATAGTTTTGTTATTCAATTACAAGGTCTCCACCCATTTACAGATGGACGTTGGAATCTTTTGATTGGTTCCCACTAGGCACTCACATTGCAATGATTTTGTGTTCAACAGTAAAAGATTTATTCACTAAATTACTATGCTTCTGATTGAATTATCCTTATATTTTGTGTTTGAATGTTGCCTTCTACATATATATTTTTAAGTTTGTTTATTTGATCTTAAATTTCTTCTGAGATTTAATCTATGGTTCCGGGGGCAGTTTTGACAGATGGAGCATGGGTTGTCATTCATTTACAAAATATTTAATCTATGCATTAAACAATTTTGGTTGCATCAGTTACCAAGCCGTCCATAAGTTTTTTCTATGTTTAGCAATTTAATTTACAACTTTCATTGTTAAATGCTTTATTATCAATACAGCAACTTGATGATTTTAATTATTTTTTTTTATGAGGTCTTAATTTGGTCAGTTCTGTGTAATTCTATATTCTTGTAATCTTTATTTCGTGTAGGAATCAGTGGATTAATACCACTTGAATTTTACTAATCTCAGAGGAATTCAAATTTTGGTTGATAGGTATATTTTGATTTACCCTCAAGGTTGTGATGTTTGCAATCACCTATCTTTGTTTCTATGTGTTGCAAATCACGACAAGCTTCTTCCAGGTATGAGACATTAACGAATGATGACTGGAGCAATTACTGCAAGTTGCAATGTTGATTTGCAATTTGAATCATGCATCTGTTCTTATGAGTAGGGTGGAGTCATTTCGCGCAATTCACTATTGCCGTGGTCAATAAAGATCCTAAGAAATCAAAGTATTCTGGTACTTGTTCGAAGTTCTGTTATCATTGTCATCTTCATCACTATCCATATAATTTTTTTGTTATTTTCATTGAATTTTTATTTCTTCGACCAACCTTGACTTTGTTCATTAAATCTTGAAGATACACTACACCGTTTCTGGAAGAAGGAGCATGACTGGGGATGGAAGAAGTTTATGGAGCTTTCGAAGGTGGTGGATGGGTTTCTCGATGATGATACCTTGGTAATTAAAGCTCAAGTCCAAGTTATCAGGTACTGTCTTTCGTCAACTTTTATGTTGGTTAATACTTTCAATTTGGAAAAGTAAGAATGCTCACAATCCTGCATGAGAGTTTGTGTTTTGCATTTTAGTGTCATTAGCTTGCTAGGATTTGTATTACTGTACATTATAATGGGTGAATATCTTTCGAGTTTCTGAAATGGACTAAACCCTAAGGCTTATTGTTTCTTTAAAAAATAAAAACTAATAAAGATGTTTTTAAAATTCAATTACCATTGTTGGGAGTATAGATGATACCAGAAGATATCACCTCATATGGTGGGTAAGTTTTCGGTGTGTAGATAATTTTAGATGATTGACGGTTTGAATGGTCTCACTTCTGGAAATGCTTAGGAAGGGAGAAATGTGCGAGTTATAACATGCATGTTGATAGCTTTCGAACTAAATGACTCATGAAAGAAAAAAGAGACTAACATGAATATTCCAATCACGCTTTTCTGAAGTTATAGCTTGTATGTCAACCATGTCTGAATTGTTAACAACTCCATCAAACTTGAGTCGACATGTTAGCAATATACGTACTTTATGAGTTTCGCAGCTTGTTAACAATCCTATGAATAAAGTATCAAACTACTTTAATGTGTGTTCGTGTGAAAAGTTGCAAAGGTTATTACATTACATAGAAAGCTCCTTATTGTGTGTGTTCCAATTCATCAGATGCATATGTTGTCTTATGCCTGAGACTTCTTTATCTACTGGATGTGGCCGCTTATTGTTTCTTAATATGTCCCATCACAAGATTCCTCCTACATGGGTGCTTAAGGATAGGACCAAGGATAAGCCTTTTATCGTCCTAATAAATCCTTTCTCTTTAACCTGGATTTTCATATTGTCAAACTTTTTTTTTTTTTTTTTATTTATTTCATTTTCTGTTTGAATAATGGCATTGGATTTCTTTGCATAAAGTTATTGCCGATTTAAATGTAACTTTCACCTTGCAGGGAGAAAAGTGATCGACCATTCCGGTGTCTTGATCATCAGTATCGGAGGGAACTCGTAAGAGTATACTTGTCAAATGTTGAACAAATTTGCCGACGTTTTGTGGAAGAAAGAAAGACAAAACTTGCGAAATTACTAGAAGATAAAACTAGATGGCAGGGGTATGTGAGCTCTACATCACACAACTAACTGCCCCACTACATGTTTTTATTTGTTTTATTTTTATTTTTTTGCTTTCAATCATTCAGTAACTCCATATAAGATTACCTGCCTGTTTGGATCCTGAAACAAACCATATTTAATCAAATGTTATCTGACCGGAGTAGATTTTTGTCTGATTCGTTCTTGTCCGCTTGTGCACAAATAAATTGCGCGTGTATATGGTAATTAGAAAATCTGACTGACATCCTTTTTTCTTAGAGAAGTAAAAAATCTAATAGAGTTTGCCAGGATGCTAAAGGAATTTTTTTGAAAATCCATGCAGCTTACAATCATCACCAACTTGCAGGTGAAACTAGTTTCTAAAGCAAAAAAAAAAAAAAAAAAAAAAAACTAGTTTCTGAAGCCCTTCATTTATTTTATTATTTTTGGAAACAAAGGATTTATAGACTTATTATAATGAGAATTAGGAGGAGCATAATGGGGAAATATAGAGTCTAGGGAATCAGGAAATGGTAGCGTAAAGGGTGTTCTAGGTTACAGCCAAATGGAGATTGATGCGTTTCCTCTAGCTTCGCATTTTACAAAAATAGATCGCCATTCCATACATGTTTAACTATATTTGTTAACTTCATATTGCAAGGAAAATATGATCTGAAATACACCAATGCAGGGGAGGAACTTTTTCCATCTTTGCAAATTACTCGTTATATCTGTTTATGAGGGGGTTTATTAAGATCGTGATTTTTTCTCCATACCATTTGCATCCTGTCCTAAATTTTCGAAGTATGGTATTGTCATGATTCTAATGTAAATGACTTCTTCCTAATAAACATATTCGAAGAAAGCAACTTTTAAGCATATTCATTATGCCAAAGAATATATATATATATATATATATTGGTAAAATTTCCTTAAACCTAATTACAATCGCATTTGTAATAAAAGATTCCTTGTGGTTAGAATCTATTAATTGCTTATGGACCCTCACAAATGCCTTTAAATGCATGCTATCATATCATCTCACATCTATTATTAAGTATATGAAGAGACATAAAAGCTAACTGATTAGAGATACAAACTTATTCATAGCTGGGGTTTTGAAAATTTTCATCCGCCAAAATTGTGAACACAGTTGCTGTTATGTTTTTTTTTTTTTTTTTTGTTTGCACCTCTTATTTTATTTGTTTCTTGAGCGAGTCTCTAGAGAATAAGTTCCTGGGAGCAGAAGCAATCTCTATCTGTTGGTTCCGTTCTACTAATTTCTTTGCAAATTGTTGTATTTTTTCAGCTTTAGCACTTTCTGGAACGATATGGACGAAACAACCAGGACCCACATGTCTCAGGAGAAAACAGAGTTAATCTTAAAAGTTATAGTAAAACATTTTTTTATAGAAAAAGAAGTCACATCTACCCTAGTCATGGATGCGATGTACAGTGGTCTGAAGGCTCTTGAGAGCCAAAACACGGGAAAGGACAAAGGCAAAGTTTTAGAGGCAGAAGAGTCGCTGATTCCTATTATTTGCATCAAGAAAGATGCATTGGTTTTGTTGGATGATGTATTGAAACTGCTTCAGAGGGCTGCTACGGAACCTTTGCCTCCAAAGGAAGAGAAAGGTCCTCAAAATCGTACAAAGGCAAGTAGAATTGAGGTTGTTATAATTCCCAAAGTACAGCATAGGTGCAAAATCTGGAAACTTATTGCAATATTGAACGCTCCTTGAATAAATATTACCGACCTCTTATATGTGGAAGTATTGGATTCTGGCTAATAGGATTATGACTGGAAACATGGTAGATTGTGAGATTAAATATACTGTTTGATTTATTATATATGAGGTCTGAATCGGAATGATTTTGAGATTAGGCTTGTAAGAAAGACTGGGAATCTTAATAGTGCGCTGGGGTAAATGGTGTTTGTAGAAATTTTTGACTTCTTGATTCTGTCAAACATATTTGAACTTCTTCAATCGTTTGAACATTTGCTATGTTGATGCTTTTGTTTCTGTTTCCCCATCTTGGTTTTCGATTGTTCTAGGTCAAAGTCAGTCAACTATGTTGGTTAAAAGTGTGGATTTTATTTATTTTCCTTTCCACGTTTATTATTATTATTACAGGATGTGACTGTTGGGGAAGACTTCACCAAAGATTCTTTTGAACGAGATGAGAAGCGACTAACTGAATTAGGCCGTCGGACTATTGAAGTATTTGTCTTAGCTCACATTTTCAGGTAAATAGTATTCTATATTAAACACACTTCTGTTCTGTCCTTTCGGCTGCCACTATTGTGTTGTCACTCTGTCAGGTATTCTTGTTTGTATTCCGTATGTTCTTGAAAATTATGAAAACTCGAAGGCTGTACCGAAATATGGATTAAAAGTTAATTCTTTTATATTTTATGCCCTCAAGGTTTTTCAGTCAGTTATTATAATTATTCAGCCCGGATTCTTAGCTTTACTTTGCTACCTCAGTAAAATTGAAGTTGCATACCAAGAGGCAGTTGCATTAATGAAGCAAGAGGAGTTAATTCGTGAGGAGGAGGCGTCCGGGCTCGAGCAAAAAGCAAGACGTGGAGAAGCGAACAAGGGAAAGAAATCCAAAAAAAAGCAGGTTTGCTCTTTTTTTTTTTCTGTACCTTTCTCAATCTCCATAGTTCATGTTGAATGGAGAACCAATGCTTTTCCTGTCTCATGCATCTCGATTCCGGGTCAAGCAGAAGCGGAACAGTCGCAAAGTGAAAGGCAAGGCTAAGGATGACAAGGCCCAGGATAATAAGGCCGAGCAATACGATGCTACTGCTGAAAGAAAAGACGCATACATTGAGCCTGAAACCACATTTGAAAAATCCAATGCTGTGGAAGATGCCTCAGATGCATCTGATTCTGTGGAATGTGTTGCCGAGGTACTTCCACCAAAACCTGAGGATACGGCTGCAAGCCCAGCCAGTTATACCGATTCTGTATCCCCTCCTGCTGTTGAAGAGCTCGAAACCAGTAGCAGTGTACAGAATGGAAAGGAAGAAAGAGGTTCACCTCAAGCGGACGATAGCTCGTCAACTTGTTCTTCTGACTCCGTTCTTCCTGCAGTTAGGCATAACGGCAATTCTCGTTCCCACATAAATGAAAATTCTCCACGCAGGTAAACATATCTCCCCCCCCCTCCCCCACTTTATATACGTCTCAGCATCAGTTGCTATGATGTGGAAAAAATGATCGTTCTTTTCAATTTTCAGCAGGCAGAACCAACAGCGTCGGCAGACTTCTGATGGGGTAGATTGGGGTACCGAAGAAGCTAGCGTGCCATCAGAATACATTGTGAATACAATGCACCCAAACGGTATTTCTCAAAGTTCCAGCCCAGGCAGATCTGTGTCTGGGACTGTTCGTTTTTCTCAAGCTAGTGTAGCAAATGGCACCGGGTGGCAAGTGGGAAAAAAGGTACTTATCTTACATTATAAGTTCTATCTCCCATTTGAGTTTTTCCATACGATTGTTCGTGTTTACTATACATGGTTTTAGGAAGTCCCTTGTCAAAATTTACATCATTACTTATTTATAAAGAAAGGCTTCACGCTCAATGTTTAATGGAAAAAAAGGAAAAAGGACAAAAGAACTCCATAGGAGCATGTTCGATGAGTTAAAGTATATAACTAATGCATCTTCTTATGAACTAAAGCTAGTAGGCGATGTGGTTGTTTTAACAGTTGCACAATTAGATTTTAGTCGTTGGCGTATATATATTTCTTAGGTGCACGGTGTTCTGATTAGCGTGTATAGTTGATTTACCATTTATTGATTTTCTTAAACTAAAGTTTCACTTTTAGTTCTACATGAAGCTCCTTTTGTTTTACTCGCATCGTTTAGCTATATCTAGTTTCTATTCTACAATTTACATTTAGTTATGATTGAGAGGAAAATATCTGCTCTGGCTTACATTAATTGACCTTATTGAAGTTACTATAAACTGTTCTATCGTTGCAGTCTAGATGTCTTGTTGGATTATAGTTTCTATGAACTATTACGTATTTTTGAGATATTTTACATATTCACTTTTAGATTAGTAAATTTAGATTTAGATTTAGATTTGTTCATATCTGTTAGCAACATTATCCATTATTTAGATTTGAGTCTATCAGATCTGTTTTATGTTTCCTATATACATGCCTCTTATTTTGATGATTAATATAACTCAAATTTCCAGTTTTCATATTTTTTCCCCAAATTCTAACACGTATGAGTCGGGAAGGTCCATTTTCTTTCTGTCGAACTGTGCCAGGTTTTCGCTTATATAACTAAAAAACATCTTTTCTTGCTTTTACTAGGCGAAAGAGGTCGAATATTTTCATCAAAATTCACATCCCCAAGACACGGTGGTTCTAGAACCATCTGCCGATGCAGCGGCAGCTAGAGCTTCTCCAGCCACGAGCCCCACCAAAAACGTCTCTACTCCTCCTCCAAAGTCTGAAGCATCTTCCGATGCTGCGGCATGTAGAACTTCTCCGGCGAGGAGTCCGTCCAAAAGCATTCCTCCACCAAAGCTGGGCTTCGAAATCAACATTTTCAAGAAACAGCCTCTGGACAACCGAAAAGTTAGCGCCGCTGCAACAAATCCATCAAATTCGTCTCGACAAACTACGAAGCTGAAACCCGACACTCCAAAGCCCTCAACAGCTCCAAAACCCGGTGGACATCCATGGAAAGCTGGAAGGGATAACAAGCCTCAAGGATCCGAAGTTGTGGCCGCAGTTGATAAGCCCTCGGCTCTATCGATTCCTGTCGTGACTAGATCATTGAGTGCCCCTCTAGCTCCCGGATCCAATCCGGCAGTTCCCCTGGCCTCTCGAGTCCAAACTCCGCCGCCGTTGCTGCACGCGGTTAGCACCGCCGGTCGCCTCGGCCCAGATGCTAGCACCACTTCGATCCCAGCCTTTGTTCCGCACTCGTACCGGAATGCAATCGTGGGAGGACCTTCGATCGGTCGAGGCTCGTCCGTGCATCCTCAAAATCACTCTGTTCTCTTGCAGGAACCCGTCGTCTTTCCGTCGCAACATCGGTCCAACTCCATGGATCTGAGCCCGCTGTTTGTACCGACGAGTCGTCAAAACATGCTTCCGAACAGATCGCAGTGGATTGAGCACCCTCAAACGAGTCACATTGCTGATTCTCAGAGTTTCGGTGCTCAGGATCGCATGCCGGACGAATTCCCCCACCTGGATATCATCAACGAGCTTCTCGACGACGAGCACGGAATTGGGTTCGCTGCCAGAGCAAACTCCGGGCATCTCGATTTCGGAGGCGGCGGCGGCGGCGGCGGCCTTCATCTGAACCGGCATTACAGCTTCCCCGGTGACCCCAACTTCGGCGCCGCGCAGAGCTCGTGCAGGTTTGATCGAACCCATAGTTACCATGGCGATTTACTTCACCATGCTTATAATACTTCAGGACGAGGCTACGAAGCGTTACCTGGGTCGGGTCCGCAGATATATGCAAACGGGCGGGTTGACGGATACTTGCCGGCGCAGTTTCCGGTAAGGAATTCCGATGTGCCGTTTTTTGGCGTCGCGCGTGTCGATGAGTCCGGGTATCCTTATCGTTTCCCGGCGGAGTACCAAATTCGGAATAGGTACGGCGGCGGCGTGTATCGACAGTCGTCGTCGAACGGGCATTAGACAGGGAACTTGTTTCTGTGTGAAGATGTGTTTTTTTTTTAAACCAACTGTGAGAGTTTGTAAAGAAGCATGTTTCTTTCGCCTCTCGCATACATATTTGGGTTATGAAGAATGTTTTATCTTCAATTTCATAAGCTTCTTTATTTTACTACTTATGTTGTTACGGTGCTGATGTTGTTACTTTTTAGTTAGCACTTTATGTTATATATTGATACCATATAGTAAAATTTTTTTATGAGGTATATATTGATATCATATAGTAAAAACTTTCTTTCTATACACAGTCATAATTTTTTTGTATGCATACAATACATTGGCAGAATCAGAATTATTTCTATAAGTGGACTGTTCATTGAGGTAAAAAATAATGCATTTTCATCATTTTTGGCACATTTGATGATAAAAAGATTAATTGTTTGTCTGAGGGTTTGGATTTTGAATTGAGATTTGAATAATAAAAAAATTGAATTTGAATAGTTGTATTATGATATAAATAATAATTGATGTGATGTTTTGAATGTAAAATTGATTTTTAATATAAAATAAATATTTTATTTGATATTTTCGGAGGAAAATTTTTGTGAAAATAGTAGAAATTCCATAAAATTCCTCAAACAAACACACCCTAATGTATTTGATCAACATGTGTTTTTTTTAAAGATTTTTTTTTTTTTTTTTAAACATGTTTTTGTGCAAATTATTATACGTATTTTTAATATTTATTTTTAATGTTTTACTGTTTTAAAATAATTTTAAAATATATCTAAATACATATGTGTGAAAATTGGTAAAAGGAAACTGTGACTACTTCTAATTTTTATAAAAAAATATCATTTTTATTTATATTTGCAAGACCAAATATATCAAAATTTATTTTACATACTTTTATTAACTAATACTATTATTATTTTAAAAATAATTTTGTTTAAAAAAACATAGAATTTGGATTGAAAGAATATATATACATATATACTACTTTTTCCGTCCCTTAAATATAGTTTTAATTGGGTTAGACATAGGATTTAAATATTATATTGGTAGTGAGTAAAAAATATGGATAAAAGATTTTTTTTTTTTTTGTCTTCTTTGTGAGTGTAAAAAGTAGTGACAATTGTGTAATAAAAATAAAAATGTAGTGATAATTTTATGGTTATTTATGAAAATAAGACCGGACAAAAATGGTAACTAAGAGTATTGTACTTGAACGGAAAGAGAGTATATATTAATATAAAAATTACTCTATGTAGGCCATTGGACGATACTTTTTAATTCATTTCTAAAGACTTCAACTTTTTGTTAAATTCCTTACAACTGTTTTCCTTTTTATTTGTCTGTTTGAATGCTTGGATTTATTATTATTATTATTCTAAATAATATTTTAAATATTTTAAATATTGTAATTTAATAGGTTAATTAGAATCAAGATGATTTCTTTGCTTATACAATATTTTAAATATTGTAATTTAATAGATTAATTAGAGTCATTATAATTTTTTATTTTATTTTATTTTTTATAAGTGGTATTATTAGTATTTTTACAATAAAAACTAATATATAATTAAAAAAAATTTAAAATATATTTAAATATTTTAATACTATATTAAATAAAATTATATATAATATGAATATAATTTTAAAGAAAATAAATTTTATATAATACAAATAAATAAAAAATATATTTATTTAAATTAATATGAACTAATTTGATAAGAAATAAAAAATTATAAATATAAATATAAATACTTATCTATTAGAAAGAAATAAAAAAAAAATACAAAAAATTGAATGTGTCTCATATGTAAGAGATTTGAAATTTTATCAAATCGATTTATATTTACTAACTAGAGTATATTTAAAATTATTAATTTTTTTTTTAAAAAAATTATTTTATGTGCAATGGACTAAATAAATAAATATGATGATGGGTCAGAGAAGATACATAAATTGTAGTCAATATTTAGGGTGTGTGTCTTTAACCCCAAATCTTATATTTTTACTATTTGAATTTGTATATTTTTTAAAAATATATATATTTTTATTTTTATAAAAATATCTTATTATACATTATTTTAATATACACTCCATCCCATTGAAAGATTGCAATTTTTCATTTTCGTCAGTCTCAAAACAAAGTTACCATTTCCTAATTTAGTAATTGTACTACCTATTTAATATAATAAATACCCTTCCAACTTACGTTATATTACACAAATGTCATTATTTTAGGGAGAGGATTGGATGCTGAATGAATTCATTCAGCATACATGCTGAGCACTTAAAATTTGATGATGTAAAATTATGTTAATTATTTTAATTAATTATATAAATTAAAATAATTAATTTTAAGTGCTCAACATGGGTGCTGAATTCCGTTACTTTTATATTACACAATACTAATAGAGGTATTTTTCGTCATTTTCACTACAATTCATTATAATACTAATATTCAAAAATCTACGTGCAAAAAGCAAACGTCACTCTTGTTCCGAGTCAGAGGGAGTAACAAATTTAAACAACAATTTTTCAGATGTAAAATTTTTTCAAACTATCAAAAAAAAAAAAAAAAAAAAAAAAAAACATAGTCAGTTTGTAAAAAGGACAAATGAAGTGATGTTCATAATGGTATTGTCCTATCAAAAGGCATTTGTCCGAAGGTGTAAAAAGTACAACTCAAGTCAAAAAATACACATACAATTATTTAATTTATATATTTTTTAATAAAAATATACTGTATATACTTTCTTCTTTACAATTTAATATGTTATTTTATTAATTTTCATTTGTCTTATTTTTAATTATTTATTTTTTATTAAAAGTAACTAATATATATATATAAATGCCAAAATGTTTCCTAATTTTTTTTAATAATCATTTTATTTATAAAAATAAAATAATTTTATATATTTTTACTGATTAATAAAATATAATTATTATTTTTTTAATTAACTATAAAAAAGAGAGAATACTTTCCACTTAAAAAAAATATTTATATATATTATATTAAAATATATTTTAAATTAAAACTCAATTAAATTTTTGAATTCAAATTAAAACCATAGAAACCCAAGAGCTATCTATGTCATGTGCAACATAGAATAGAAAAATAATACTACTTCCTCTCCTCTGTCCGATTGAAATATTACTATTTTCGTTCATTCCAAAAAAAGTTATTATTTTTTAATTTAGTAATTGTACTACATACTTAACATAATAAATATCCTTTCAACTTAAAATATAGTATACAAATGTCATTACTTTTATATTACACGATACTAATAGGAGTATTTTTATCTGTTATACTACAATCCAATATAATATTAATATTCAAAAATTTACGTGCAAAAAACAAATATCACCGTTCCAATGGGACGGAGAGAGTATTTTAATATTAAAATAAGATATGCAAAAAATGAAGTGACGATATTACATTAAATTTATTGAAAAATTAATATTAAAATAATGGAATAAATAAAAAATATTGATAATTTGATTATTATTTATTAAAATATAAATAATAAAATTGTAACTAAATAAAATGGTTTACTTTAAATAAATTATATATAAATTTAATGGAAAAAAATCAAATGTGATATAATTCTTCCAAATGGAAGAAGTATTATATTATATATTTACTTTTAATTTTAAATTTTAATATTTACAAATTATTTTACAATAAAAATATAGTAAATATATATTTATATTATATCAAAAAATTATTTTAATTAAATATTTTACTATTTTAAAAATGGCACCAAAACACAATTAAAAAATTTTGAACTCTCTTTCACTGTATTCTTCCAACACTATTTTTTAATTGTGATTTCTTAAAAATAATAATAAATAATAATTTTTTTTTTTACAAAAATAAAAAAGCTAAAATTTTTTCAAATACTCAATAAAAAAAGTTAAATATTTAACTTAAAATAATATGTTATATATTTTTGACACAAGAGCCTTTATGCATGCATAAATCTTTACATACATTTACACCCTATTATAACCTCTTCTTTAAAGATTAATTTTATTTTATATTTTAATTTTTCTTATTTGAATAGTAATTCTAATAAAATATTTAGTGATAAGAAAATAATAATTATCTTGCTATATCCAGTCAATTGTGTTTATTTTACTATTTTAGTTTGTACACCTTCAATATATCTATTTTCTAAATAATTATATTTTTTTATTTAAATACAAAATATTTTTATACTTTGAACATAGTATCATAAAAAAACCAAATGGGATTAGAGGTAAAAAAAAAAAAAAAAAAAAGAAAAAAAAAAAGAAGAAGAAAGTACTTTAATAATTCTATTATACTATCGAAAAAAAAAAAAAACTATTACATTCACAGTAGACAAATGAAATATTAGAGCTGGCAAAAACTGACCCGATACGACAATTCGGTATACGGGTTGACACGAACTCGACACGACAATCCGATTATAATACTCCCTCCGTCTCAGAATTATAGTCTGGGTTGTGTTTGACACGAGATTTAAGGAATATTGATATTATATTGATGGTAGGTAAAAAATATGAGTAAAGGACTTTTTTGCCTTGTGAGTGTATTAGTGTAAAAGATAGTGACAATTGTGTAATAATAATGAAAAAACAAGGGTAATTTTATAGTGATATGATTATTTATGAAAATGAGACTATTGTTTTGGGACGGACAAAAATAATAAACAAGACTATTGTATTGAGACGGAGGGAGTATATTAATATTGATTAATATATTTATTATATATATAATAATCATAATTTAATAATTTTTTCGTAAATTAATTTAAACTAAGTTCAATTTTAAATAATTCAACCTAATCTACGCTCAAACCAATAATAAATAACATAGCACGACAACAAAATAAAAAATTATTTAATTTGAATCAAGAAATTAGACTTAATTATGTATACGGGTCAACACGAGTCAACTCGAATCCGACACGATAATAAACGGGTTAACACGAACCCGACACTATAATAAACGGGTCGGGTTAAAATTGAGTAATTTAACCGATTTAAAGTATTCAACTCGATACAAATCCGACACGAATCGACCCATTACTAGCTATATGGAATATATATTCTTTAATTTGTAAAAAATACTAATAATTATTCAATATAAAAAATTAAAATAAAAGTCTAAAAAAGCACAATTTCTCTGTCTTTCTCCAAATCTATATATATATATATAAACAAAAGTATTACAATTTGCATTCTCTCTCTCTCTAATGTTGAGGGGAATGTTGTCTGGCTCGACATCATTCTATTATAATCATCAGATACTTTAAAAGAGCGATGTCGGACCAGGCTTCATTCCCCCCAACTCGATTTTTATTCAAAAATCAGTTTAATAATCGTTGAGCAAAGTATTATGGCTTCAATCGATCAATTTTCAATTGCATTCATATTTCAAGAAATATTGTCGGGCTCATGCAATAATGTGGGATCTTGGATTGGTTAATCGATGTGAATTGCGATCATCCAAGCATCATGATCGACAAATTCTAGCTAGGTATGTGTCGTATTTGTTCTATGAACGCTTGGTCGAATTTTCAATATATTTTCCAAATTTATGGTGTGATTAGTTTTGATTTGAGATTGAAGTTTTAGTTTAATGATATTTTCATGTAATCGTTTTTTTTTTTGTGAAAAAAATAATATATATATTATTGAAAACTATAAAAAAAATAAATAATACTATATAAATTGATTTCAAATAAAAAGAAAAAAAAATCAAGAAACCCTATGTATTCATGATTTGTTGCAAATAGTGTTGTATTCTTTCATGCAACTCTAGACACTAATTTATTTGTATGTCAATAAATATATCTATGCTATATATGTGGTAATATAAGTTATTTTTCATATTGAAAGAAAAATATACATGATATTATTTACTTTCTTAAATATTCTAATTTTTAGTTTTTATTTTTTAATATCATATTCATTATATTCAATTTTAGATTGTCATTCAAAATATTATATCAAATATTTAAAATATTTGTTACATACAGTGGGATATATATATATAAATAAATTTGTTGGATGTATTCAACGGTTTTCTATATCTAAAATAAAATAATAAAAAAATACATTTATTTAAAAACACAAAGTGAACACATATTGTTATTTTCAATGTTATCTTTCTTTTTTTTTTTTTTTTCTTTTCAAAAAGTACTCATAGCTTTTAAATTATAAATTTTTTACTGAAAACTTATATTTACCGTAAATTATATGTTTTGTTGTAATTTAAAATATAATTTGAAATAAAGTGTTGATTGAAATTTTCGTTTAAATAGTATTTTGATGTAATGTTTGTGAAAAAAAATAATATATTATTTCCTCCGTCAACAAACTAATGTCTTACTTTCCTATTTGGGACGTTCAACAACCATTGTCTTATTTCCTTTTTTAAACATAAAATTTATATTTTTACTCTTAATTCATTTATTACTTTTAATCTCTGCCATACACTTAAGGGTAAATTTGTCCATTCATAACAAAAAGACAATCATCTAAAAAAACTATGCAAAATATACTTTAGGACAATATAAATTAAACGGAGGAAGTATTATTATTATTAAAAATGTGCATAGTAATTCATATATGTGTAAAAGTAATTCAAATTAAATAAGTATTTATAAATTATTTGTGTGAACATAAAAGTATACATATGAAAAAGGTTGACAAGGAAAATTGAAGATTGTGTTTCCAATTAATTAATGTATCTTTTTATTTTTTATTTTTTTATTTTTTTTATTTTTGTTGTACCAAACCATTGAAAATGAAATGCGACATAGAAGACCAAATCAAGGTTTGATGTTTTCAAGCTTTGCAAAATTTTCTACCTCCCAGCTTGTTTTCACATTTACAAAAGGAAAACTTTTGGGTTTAAATTTGATATAAATATGAGTTTATGTAATATTATTTTAAATGTAAAATTAAATTTTAATATAATAATAAATAAATATATTTGGATTTTTTTTTTTTTAATTTTTAGTATTATTATTACTTTTTACATAATATCACATTAAATAATTATAAAATTAAGAGAGTGTTTGACAAACAGTTTTTTTTAAGAGTTTTTAAGAGCGCTATGTGTTTGGTAAATTAGTTTTTTGAAATAGCTTATTGGCCCAAAAAAATTAATTTCTAAAAAGCCCTATATAAATCAGCTTTTTAAAGAGCTTTTTCATTTTAATTTTTTTTATTACTTATTTGCTCTGTTATTATTTATTTCACATACATATAAACAGTAATTATAAATTATTTTAATATATTATTTATTAAATTATAGTTTTATTTTTATAAATTTAAATTAATTAATTTTATTTGTAAACTATAATTATGTTTTTATTATTATTTTATTTTTATAATAAAATTTTAAAAAATAGAATAAATTTATTTAAAATTATAAATATAATAAATTAATCAATTATATAATAAATGTATATACATAAATTTTTATTAATTTATATTTTACATCATTCTTAACAAAAATATATACTATTATTTTTCTCATATTTTAAATTAATAAAAAAATATTTTATAATACATTCGTAATTTCAAATAACTAATAACAAAAATTTTAATATTATTCAAAAAACACAATTAAAAAATGTTAAAAGTTAAAATATAAATATCCTCAATTGTCATTTTACATATAAACAACTAATATGAAACAGTTATTTTACCAAATATTTTAATACAAATAACTAGTTGAATCAGCTAACAGCTAAAAAGCTATTAGCTGATTGCCAAACACACCGTAAACCACATTTTTTTTAAATAAAGCTTAAAAAAAACACACCCTTGAAAATGTTTCTTTTGTGATTTTTACGTGAATTTTTAAATTTAATTTTAAAAATTAAATAGTAATTTAATATAATTTTTTATAAAAATAAATAAATATATTTTTATTTGGAACATATAGACTAAATAGTGAAAAATTTGTTAAATATACCTCAAGAAAACATAACAAACTTAAATTTAACATATGAGCTAACATATACTTTTTCCTTCCCCCATCAAACTGTATATTTAAATATTTAAACACAAATTTTAATAATAATTGATATTTTTTTTCGACTCAATTCAAAATATCATTTTTAATATTTTTATCTATCTCATTTTAAAATATTTATTTTCTATTTTAGAAAAAGAGTAATATATGGTAATATAAAAATACTCTTAACTTAACTTAAAATATAAATATACCATTACAAATAGAATTTCTTTAGATATAAACAAACACCTATTTTTTATTTTTTATATTATACTAAAAATTAATTATACATTTAAAATATTATATCAACTTTTATTTATATCACATTATACAACTATTTTAATTCAAAATTTTTACTATTCGAGTCACAACTCAAAATCTAAACTCTCAAACAAACCCTAGTAAAATATTATTAGTAAATAATTAAGAAGTATATTAGCAAAAATAATTATTATATAATAAAAATAATTATAGACTAAGACTAAAATACTTAAATAGTTTAATTAAAATTAAAAATAAATTATTAATTATTATTTTAAAAATGCATAATTATATGTTTTTTTTTTTTACATCCAAATTATATAGAATAAGACCAAAAAAAAAAAAAAATTATGTGGGAACTGATGAAGTAATTTTTTATTTTACTATCCGAACTGAAAAACTTGATTAATTTTCTATTTTAGTTTTGAAGTTAGTGATTTAATTACATTTTAATTTTACTGCGTAGGTAAAAATTAAAAAATAAAAAATAAAAATTCTTATCCAAACTTACAGGAATTAAGTCAAATATAGTAAGTGACAGAGGTTACAAGTGTTGGAGTTTGTGGCTGGCTGTTCCTCGCGATTCCCAAATTGGAATCGGAATTCACAACGTGTCGTGTAGCGCCAAAACGCCGTCGTATCTGCCTGACCCCGAGCGACGTGGCGTCTCCTCCACCATTACACTTGTGAAGTTCTTCTCCTTGCCACGCTAGGCTCAGGCGCCGCAATGCTTTCTCACCCTCGCATTTGCACTGCACACTGCCACTCAGTGATTGCATGTGGTACCCTAGGAAGGTGCTTTAGTTTAAGCGCAGTGGATCGAGGAATCGGAAGCCGAAAGGTGCTTGTGCGTTGCACTGCTCCGTAAATTCTGCTGCTTTTTGTAATTGATTTACTTTGTATGCGTTTGCTTCAGATACAGTCCTCTTGAGGGGTGAATAAGGTGCAGATACGTGTGGATTCCGCCATTTTTATTTGTTTTTGTCACATTTGGGAGAATTGTGTTGTATTGTTGGCTTTAGTTGATGTTTGGGGCTAAAATTAGGGTTTCGTATTACATATATATATATATATATTGTTGATTAAACAATACAATACTTTGAAGGACAGTTTCAGTTCCTATCATATTGTTTATTGAGCTTATGGAAGATGAAGCTTATCAATTCAGCCTCGATATACTTATTACATATTACTGGTTTGTTGAGTTATGAGATCCTTTTTAGCTACGGCGGTGTTGTTCATCAAATTATTGAATTTTCTAACATGATCTAATTTATTTATGGGGTATTGATTTATTCCTCCTCTCTGCAGATTTCTCTTATTTGTAATTGAGTTAGCTGTAACTTGTTTGAGGCTGCATTGATTGTTCAAATCTTGGTATAGCTTATTACAAAGATGTTGTGGTTATTGATTGTTCAAATCTTGGTATAGCTACGGGGGTGTTCATCAAATTATTGAATTTTTCTAACATGATCTAATTGATTTATTCCTCCTCTGTGCAGATTTCTCTTATTTGTATACGAGTTAGCTGTATCTAGTTTAAGGCTGCAATGATTGTTCAAATCTTGGTATAGCTTATTACGAAGATGTTGTGGTTAGGAATGTACTGTGTATTTGCTGTTTAGTCATCAATTACGGCTAATTGTGTCGGTCATTTGTATTTCTCTTCTGGATTTACCTCACTGAATTTGCACAATTTCAGGCCTTTTGGTGATAAATGATATGTTAGTGAGGATGAATATGGAAGAAAAGGATGTTAACTTAGAACTTCAATTGGGTTCTACAAGTTATAATTCAGGTACAGGTGCAATTGCAAGTGCTGGCTCGCGTGTTTTCATGGCATTTACAGCACCCATTCCCCTGTATGAACTAGTTTGGTCACCGAATAATGGGTTGGGTCTTAAACATGCTAGTTCTGATCAAAATCCTTTGCTGTGGAATAAGGAACCGAGCAAAAGTACGCCTGCTGATGTTGGAAAGTCGGTGGCCTCAAAGGAAATGGATAATGTGGATGATGCATTTGGTAACAAGTTTACTTCGACAACGCCTTCTAGAAGCTGTCCTGGTTCAGTAATAGGTTCAAGTCATGAGCTACACGATCACCGTAAGTCATTTCTTGTATGTTCATACTTGGTAATGTTGCTACTATATACAAAGCTTTCCATAGAATGAGCTAGTGACAATATAACATTTTGCATTACATTTCTTGGTGCAAGAAATTCATACATAATTTCCGACGCTAAAACTTTATACTCCCTCTATTCCAGCTTTCCAGCTGAAAGTAATTTTTTACTTTTTTTTCTAGTAGATTAAGAAATACTTCTTCTTTCGAGCTTCTTATGCCAATTTGTTTGGGCACGGAGACTAAAAAATAATAATTTTTTAATAAAAAAATAAGATAAATAAAAAGTATTGGGTATTATAAAGAATTTATGAAGAAGCCCGATAAAGAGTAGTGGGATAAGTAGGTAAAGTTATTTACTATAAATAAACTATGCATAAGTTTAACGGACAACTAAAAACTAACATAAGTATCACTGATGAGGAGAGTAAAAGTATTTTATTGATCAGTGGAAATTTTTTTTTTTTTTTTATATTTTTATTATTTATATTTTAGTTATAAATTAATATTATGTGTAATAGTATGTTTGTAGTTTATTTAATAGTTAAAGGTATTTTGATAATAATTTTTTGATTACTTTTACAATAATAGAAAATAGATACATTTCGGTGGGACAGACGAAAATGGTAAAAATAATATATTAGATAAGAATAGAGGAATGGTAAAGATGATACATTAGATAAGAATGGAGGGGGTATTTCCTTCCCAGATTTTGTACTATTAGCTATTATTGTGTTAGATATGTTGTATAAGGTTCATAATGTAGCACAGAATTGTTTCCTCACTTTGTTTTTGCTTATCAAATTTACTCCCCTGAAAATTTCTTGTGAAATGCTGTTTAATAGAGCAATAATGTAACAGTGGAGAAGGCTGGAACTAGTTGTGCTCCTCTTACGACGGATGATTCCATAGATTGTGAGAAAGAGGGTTTGTGCAGTTCACAAAATGACCAACTTGCCAATATTTCTGATATGGGGAAAAGCATTGCTGGTAAGTAGCGCTAAAATCTTCGTCACCTTACATATACTTGCTTATAATTGCGATGCTTTCATGTATACTTTTTCATGCCTCTGGACATTTGATCTTGTATTGGTTCACTGCAGGATCAGGTGACTGCAAAGCTGGGGAATTTATCCGAAAAGGTAAAGAAAATGGGAATAGTCAGAGTGAATTAAATTCCATGAGCCAATCTATCATGGGCTTGGATGATGTAGATCATCAGGAACCTCTTGCTGCAAAGCTCTCCAAAGTTCATGTTGTATCCCGGAAGATACAGGCTGATAAAAGAATTTCAGCCAGTGAAGAAAAGAACAAGGCAAAAATCATCGTGCCTTTTCCTGCCATAGCTGCTCCCCTGTTGAAAAAGCAGGAATCCGCTGCTGAAAATGACTTGCGTTGTCTCACTCCAAATGGTGTTTGCAGTTTAGGGGAAATGAAACTTGTTACGAAGAAATTTTCTCCCGTGGAAGACTTCTATCTGAAGAAGGGGAAAGGGAAGGCATTATCTCATGGGAGTATCTATAGCAGAGCCTTCAACGATGAGAATGACGAGTGTGAGAGTGTTGAAAGTCGTAATAATGGGGAGCAAGTTTTGAAAGGGATAAAGAGGTGTGCTTATGATCTAGAGTTGATAGTTGGAACCAAAAGAATGAAAAAATATCACATGACTCCTGGATTCGCGTCATCTGCTGAGCCAGCTAGCTCGTTTGCTAGTTGGGTATCGAACATGGTGAAGGGCGTGGCACATGGTAATAAAGAAGAGTCGCTGTCCGTTGCATTGACTCTTACTTGCTCTGATGATGTTTACAGAAGGAATTCTGATGGAGATTTCTTGTATCATAGAAGACATGATTCGCAAGGTCTGGATATGGGGTTCCAGGCTGTATTCAGGTCCTTGTATTGTGCACGAAAGGACAATGATTCTACTGAAGGATCATGTAAATCGTTGGCGGATGAAAAACTATTACTCGAGGATATACCTCGATCATCTCGCTTCAATAATGCTTCAGACATCTTGGCTTGTAATGGAGAAAATGGTGATGCAATCACGTCTCATTCCGATGCTCAATTAGGATCGAACAATGTATCCGAAAAAGGCAATCTTCATAAGAGCCAGTGGGTTTCTCTTTATGGTAAGAAGATTGCTCGAAAAACTGACAAACGCTTCATTTCCTTCCCAGAAGTGAATCTTGACGATGCTCGAGGGGTAATAGATGCTGTTCCTATTGATCAGAGAAGCTCTGAGAATGAATTGTCCATTTTCCGTTGCAAAAAATGGATTCAGAGGTTCTCTGCTAATGGTAAGGCACCCATCGATCCAAAGTCCTCAAGCGTACAACGTAAGAAATTTGAAAGCTCAGAAGCAATGGCATCCATTTTTGCTCGGCGGCTGGATGCCCTGAAGCACGCCAAACCATCGATAAGAAAAAAGGTACCATTGTATTCTATACGATGTTTCTTTTGCGGCAGCAGCCATTATTTAAGTGAATGCCCGAATGTATCAGAAGCTGAAGTTGAGAATCTGCTAGTGAAAATTAGCTCAGTTCATGGTGTCGAAGAGTCGACTTGTTTGTGCATTAGATGCTTTCGATCAGATCACTGGGCTATTACATGTCCCTGGACTCCGTCGATCAGGCATTTTAGGCCGGATCCCAAGTCATCCATCTTTAGTCGATATACAGCTTTTCGTCTTGAGCTTCATGCCGGTCGCGAGCTTGTTTCTGCTGATAGGACAACTTGGGACATGGACATTTCGTCGAGCGGGAATATTTTAACTTCCGACAAAATAAGAACAAGTGCTGTCTCCGATGAGAATAAAGGAAATCGAAATTATCCACAGTGTGAGCCTGCCACTTTAGATCTATGCCGTGCTATTAGGAATCTGCGCGTCTCTCGCCGAGATATCCTCAAGTGAATTCTTAATCTCGATACTGTTTTTTGCTACATTTGGAACGTGGATTTCGACTTTCTGTTTTAACTTTTCCGACCTCATAACTGATTCTCAGATGCTTGAATTCCAACGCCTCACTGTCACGTTTTAATGGTTTTTTCTTGCGCTTGCGGCTCGGAAAGTTGGAATCAGGACCTGGAGAACGCGGCTACTATGTTGCTTGCATAACAGGTACATTTTGCTCGTAAAATATTGTACAGCATCGTAAAATCGAGAAATGAACTAATGTGATTGCATTAGGGGACGCCGAAGATCGTAGTGTTTCTACGTCGAAGAAGTCCATTACCGTCAATGCAGGTGGCGTAAGATCATCCATCGAGAGTCAGTACATCTCCAACGACGACTTCCTCGAGGTTAGTTTTTGCCATGCCTTTCTAAGCTCGATTATTTGGACTGGACATAGATATCTTCCTATACAACGATGAACAACAACATCAAAACATACCATCAACTCATTCGAACTGAAATTATTCGATCACGGGCTCCCGATAAGCCTAAAATTGATTGCTCATATGTAGAGCTGTTAACGAGTCGAGCCAAGTCGAAGTTTAAGTGTGTGTGTGTTCGTTAACATTCACGAACAAGACTCGTGTTTATTAGTTAAGCTTTCGAGCTCATTCGTAGTGTTCGAGTTTGCTCGTTAAAGATTTTTATTGTTTGAACTCGTGTTCGTGTTCGGCTCGTTTAGGCTCATTCAAGCTCGTTTGCCTCAATTTCTTTTTTAATTTTTTATATAAATTAAAAATAAAATTTAAAATTATTTTATTTATTTATTATAAATTGATATTTTAATTATTTATAAATTATAATTTTATATGTATATATAATATTTATAATCAATATATTATTTTAACAAACGTTCGCGAATAAAGTTCGAGTTCGTTCGTTAACTCAACGAGTCTGTTTATGTTGTTTGGCTCGACTCATTAACGTTTGCGAACGAGCTTTAACTGAGCTGAACCGAGCCGAGTTCACGAATAACTCGATTCGTTCAACAGCTCTACTCATATGTCGATGAACTTGTTCCAACATTTGTTTGCAGGACGAGATCACGGCATGGTGCTGCAGAATGGTGAAAAGCGGGAACAAAATCCCATCTTTGAACGAACTCAACTCAAAATTCGACGCTAGAAAAAGCTTAGGATTTTAACAGAACTACGGTCAGTTCTTGCAAGAACAAAAACTTTGTTTATTTCAAATGCATTACTGTTGTTGCTAAAGTTGCTGCGGCTGTGTGCTCATTTTTTCTTATTCGAGCGCACGTTACCTCGCCTCGCCTCGCCTCGTTATTGTAGTTTCGGTGACCTCTAATATCTCCGAAGTTTCCGATACCGGATAAAGTAGTAAGTAGAGGTGTGGACTTAGTTTGTACTTTACCTTTAATGTGTTGATGTGTTCTGCTGAGAAGAATGTTTGATGTTATGTTGTTTTAAGTTTGCTTGCTTAAAGTTTGTTTTCAAAAATTCTATGTTTGAGCTCATTTTATGATCAACACAAGTTAGTAAACTTCTTGGGAAATCATGATCATAAATTATGATGACATGAAAATCTACAACGAATTTTATATAATTTCTTAAAAATCCTACATAATATTTTTTAAAACACGAAAAATATTTATGCAATTTTTTAATTATGGGAAAGTATGGGAAAGTATGGTGCTGATTTTTAAAATTACATATTATTATAAATAAAGTTGGCAAAAACGGACACAATACAATAATTCGATACGAAAGAATTGAGTTTGGATTCAGGATTTCAATATGTTATGTTACATGTTGACATGAATTCAATACGATAATAAATCAATTGGGTTATGGTCGTGGTTTTCAACTCGAATCTGACACAATAACTTGAATAAATCAATTGGGTTATGGTCGTGGTTTTCAACTCGAATCTGACACAATAACTTGATTATAATATATTAATATTAATTTTTTTCTTTATTATATATGTAAAATAATTACTACATCATGCTCTAAGGTTTCATTTACTCCGCGTGTTGATATTTGAATATTAATTATTTATATTACAAATTAAAGAAAAATAGAAAAAGAAACTTCTATTAGTGAAAAATTATATAAATATAAAAATATTTTTAATGTTAAGGACGAATACTAAATGAGACCGTGCCGGATTGAGGAGTATAATTTAATAACTAACCAATATCTAAATTTAAATTAAGTTCAATTTTCAATGCAACCTATTTATTACATTATACTAAAATCAACAAAAATTAAAACATTACAAGAAATAATTATATGACGAGTCAACAAGAATCCGAAGCGCGATAATAAACGGGTCAAGTTAGGAGTTGAGTTATTTAACTCGTTTAAAATATTTAATTCGATAAGAACCCAATGCAATTGAATTGTCAGCTTTATTTACAAGTAATTTTGTCTAAAAAAATATTAAAGGGTGTGTTTGTTTGGGGATTCTCCCCCACATATACTATTCATCCCATTTTTTCCCCTAAAAAATATCAAATCAAACTTGTTTTTTATTTTTTATTTTTTATATTATACTAAAAATCAATTTTACATTCAAAATATCATATTAAAATCTATTTATATTGCATCATACAACTATTTAAATTAAAAAATATTACTACTCAAATCCCAACTAAAAAAGAAACAAAACCGTAAACAAAAAACCCACCCCACCTTTTGAGTGGGTTTGCATTCAGCATGTCATTCCTTTCTTAAATTGTTCAATGGCCTGGCCAAGCCCAATCATTTTAATCCGATCCAGAATCCGACCCGAAATCAAAATCGGGTTTGAACCCGGTCATGAAGCTTAACTTGGCCCATATTGAATTTGCACCGGATGCAGTAGCGGGTCGATTCAAATGCTCATTTATGGCCTCCTAAAATGGCCCGTTAAGGACCCATCTCATTATGGCCCGAGCCCGGCCCGTTTTCGACTTAGAAGAAGTATTTGGGCCCAATGGGAAAACCCAGCCCATTAGTATTCATTCATATATAGTGCAAACGCTCTGCGGCCCGCATTGTGCATCCTTCGCTTCACGGTGAAAACCCTAGCGGCAAAATCAGCTCAGAGCGAAATCTCCAGCAGCAGCCATGGTAAGAGATCTCGTCATGTATCTGTGCGCAACGTGAGTTTGCGTTTCGTTATGTGTAATTTCTCTTTTCGATTCTGTGTGTATGTGTCTCGCAGGCAGATGTCGATCCCGAGGTGGCGGCGGCGCAGCCGAAGAAGAGAACGTTTAAGAAGTTCAGCTTCCGAGGCGTTGATCTGGACGCGCTCCTCGATATGTCTACCGATGAGCTCGTTAAGCTTTTCAATGCTCGCGCTCGAAGAAGGTCTTATGCATTGCTTTCTTTTGTGTGTGTGAAGTCTTTAAAAGTTTCTGAGACGTGTTTTCGTATGTTTGGTCGGCTTGTGATTTGAGTTTGTAACTTTGGCTTTGAAATGAAAATTTGTGCTTCGGAGTTTGATGTTTTTAGAACTTTGCGCGTTCTGCCATTTATGCTCGAGTCTGCTTCAACTGTATATTTGGAAAATTTAGTTTTGAAATGAAAATTGCGCTTCGGAGTTTGATGTTTCTAGAACTTTGCGAGTTCTGCCATTTATGCTCGAGTCTGTTTTTAGAACTTTGAGTGTTCTGCCATTTATGCTCGAGTCTGCTTTCAACTTTATATTTGGTCTGTGGTTCTGTTGGTAGAGTTTCTGCATATTTGCAATTTTGAGTTTAATCCACTTTATGATGACAGTGGCTATAAGAATCAGTGGATCGAAATGTTTCATTTATCTAATGAGCTGTAAATGCTTTCAAATCAAGTCCGTTTTATTTACCTTTCACCAATTTTAATCGAACTTTTGATGTATAGCTGTTTATAGCAAATGTAAGATATGCAATCTCTTGTAAGAATTGTTCCTGAGGTTGATTCAAACAATTGTAATTGTAAATGATCATAGGTTGAGCTTCTTATGGCACTTAATGACATATCATTCTTGAATGCTTGTTCATCCATTTAACTTGTAATATGTTTTATATTGCAGGTTCCAGAGGGGTTTGAAGAGGAAGCCAATGGCTTTGATCAAGAAGCTGCGGAAGGCTGTAAGTATTAAATATGGTGGTCATTTTCAGCTTACTGAATTATTAATCGACTGATTGTTTCTTGTTCAATTCTGCGGCTCTGCACAAACTATGTTGTCTTAAAGTATTTGGTTTGTTCACATGCTTGCAAGCTTATAATTAGGATGTTCATGTATTCAGTATCTTTCCGAATGGATTTCACTCTCGTCTCCACACTGTGCCAGCGATTAAGATGTTATGTGAATATCATTTCTTCCAATTTTATTATTTTTACTAGTTTTATCGATTTTATTAGTTTGTTCTGAAATCTTTATATTGTGAACATTTACTACTTTTTCCATCTTTAGCCTTTCGTATTCACGCCACTATTTCAAATCACTACTAGTTTTTCTTGAATCTAAGAAAGTGGGTGATGTTCTTTCCTAGAAATTCATAAGATCCTCAAGTTTTTTGTCGTAAGAGTAAAAGACATTATCTCAAATTGGGAGACTAGTATTCTTTGCCTCTCCCCATTCCTTTAATTAAGTTAACAATCTCCATGGAAATTTTACCTTAACATGTATTCATACAACTTTTTCTTTTTTTTTTGTAGAAACGTGAGGCCCCGCCAGGTGAGAAGCCGGCCCTAGTGAGAACCCACCTGCGGAACATGATTATTGTTCCGGAGATGATTGGCAGTGTGCTTGGAGTGTACAATGGAAAGACCTTCAACCCAGTTGAAATCAAGCCCGAGATGATTGGCCACTACCTGGCTGAATTCTCGATTTCATACAAGCCCGTCAAGCACGGGAGGCCAGGTATCGGTGCCACCCACTCTTCTAGATTCATTCCTCTCAAGTGAGTGAATTTTTTGAGCCAGAATTGGAGAAAGTATTATGTTCTTTTATGTGGTGCTGTTCACTTTACTATAAATTTGAATCTTTTCTCTGAGAGTTTTGTAGTTTTGTTAAATTGACTTAATGGTAAATTGGTATTTTGCTATTTTTATTAGTTTTAAATATATACCTCAAGTTTGGCATTATTGATTCCCATATTTAGAAATGGGCTGAGTCAGTTTGGTTTTGTTTTTTTTTTTTTTTCTTTTTTTGGAATAGTAAAGTTTTGAATAGAAATGCCTTTTTGATGTGATCTAATTGGTTGTTTGATTTAATGTTTTTAATGGCGAATATTTCTTTTAATATAGTATATTAAATATAAAATAAATATATGATGTACTCTCTGTGTCATCTAAATTTATTCTTACTTTCTTTTTTTGATTGTTATCAAAATTTATCTATGTTTTCCTTTTTTTTCTACTTTTTCTTTATCATAAAATGAAAATGTTTTATTTTTACCCACTTTTTTGTTTGATGTGTGGGGATGGTTTAATTTGCAGCTGATTAGATTCGGCCAAAGGTTTAATTATCATATATTATTATTATTATTACTATTATTATTATTATTAGTATTATTTTCACTATAATACTATTTGGTTTGGTAATGCAAATTATTTAAATTGTTTATATTGTATATTAATCTAATTGTTAATATTTAATAGAACACTATAAAAGTACTTTTATAATGCTTGAATTAAATTTTACAATTTCTAAGATACTTTTTCCATGGCTTTGTTCTTTTTATTATATTTTTTCACAATTTTTTTCTTTTAAAAAAAATTAATACATTACATATAGTTTCGTTATTTTTATATACTTTGCATAATTTTTTATATTTTATATAAAAAAATATTTTTTCAACAAATCTCAAAAAAAAGAATCATATCTTGAATATTTTCTGCGTTTGAATTAAGTTTGGGTTTCATTTTGAAGTTAAAAAGGTGTAAATAATTAATATGAAATTTAGGGCGGGTCTAGTTTCGGGTTGGGTTTGAACATCCAAGATCAGGCACAATCTGGTTTCAGATTATGTTGGGTTAGACAGCCTAATTTCTTTTTTTAAATTTCATTTTAATTATATTTTATATTTTTTTATTAAAAAATAAATTATATTATTTTCGTCTTACAACGATTTTATATAAGATTTTAAAATTTTAATAAGATCAATTTATAAAAAAAAATTAAAATATATTGAGAGATTATAATAAAAATTGTCTATTATTATGGGATTAATTTAAATAAATTTAATTATAATAAAATATTAATATACAATTCATTTATATTTTTTATTAATGCATTTACAAATATTTTTATCCTTTAATTGTTTTGATCAATTGGATTTTATCTGTCCCAACACCATTCGAAGAGGCCAAGGCACAATATAGAGTTTGCTTTTCAAAGATTTTCTTTTTACAAGATTTCAATATATAATTATATTTTTTCATTTCATAAAAAATAAAAAAATTAGCATTCAATATAAAATACTCCTTTGTCCATTTATCACTTCTAATTTTTATCTTTCTATAAAAAATAAATATGTCAATTCATAACAAAAATATATAATTACCTAAATACCACTTTTAATCTTTATTTTTCGATAAAAGATAAATTTGTTAATTCATAAAAAAATATATATATATATACAATTACCTAAATACCATACAAATATACTATAAAATAATTAAAATTGGACCCGAAGGGTATTAATTTATATCACCTACAAAATTATTTATATTTCACATTAAAAAATATACCTCAAACTAAAATACCAATATGCCGAACTAATCCACCTCAAAAATAATTGTCTACTTTTTAATATCAAATTCTTATTTTTTGTCATGCTTAAATCATCAAAATTGCAAACTGTATTTATTTGTATTAGCGCTAATTATAATTCAAATACTAGGAGCGTTTGTTTTGAGTTTTTAACTTAAATTTAGCGAATCATCAATTTTTTTTCTTCCAAAGATACATGACTTTTGATTAGGAATGGAGAAATTTACTGAAACATACGGTATAGATGTATAGATATCGTACCAAAATTTTCAGTACAGTATCGGTATAAATTTTTAAAAAATTCGATATTTCGGTAGAATACCATACCAATATTATTTTTATTAAATAATTTAATTATTAATATAAATAATAATTATTAATATATATTTTTTAAATCATAACAAAAAAATATGTAAACTATTGAAAATTTATTGATTGTTTCGTAATATTTTTGTGGTGAAAAATAGTGATATTTATTAATTTTTCTAATTATTTTAAAATTTAAAATTATACTTTCAATATATACAGGTATCTACCGAAATCAATTTTCAGTATATACCGGTATCGCACCAAAATTAAAAATTTCGGTATAAACGGTACATACTAATACCGTATCAAAAATTTCGATATACCAAAATTCGGTATATTGAAACTTTTGGTACGATACCGGTATGTATTTTAGTCATACCGAAAAATTCGATACAATATTGGTATCGATTGGTATTTTTGGTGCAATCAGATATGTCATCCCTACTTTTGATAATATAGTTTAACGAAAAAAAAAAAAAAAACAATAAATAAAGACTGAACAGTAAAGAAAACAACACGCATAATCTTCAAATGAACCAACCCTATAAGCAAACCCAAACCTAACATAAAACCTCTAGTTCAGGCTCAAAACCTACTATACATACATACATACATACATACATACATATTTCTTCTTTCTCTTTTCTACGACCCTAATCCTTAAACCCTAAACTCGATAAATTCTTGTATTAGACAAGCTTAAAAGTCGCAAGAAAAAAAGTTTAGGCATCGACTAAAATCGAAGCCAAACCGAACCAAAATAGAAATTCTTAAACCATATTGAAACAGGTATCTTAATTGAAACCAATATGCTCCAACCAGAAGTCGCGAGAAATGCCTAATTATTCAGTTCCGGTTCGACCTAATAAGCAACCGTGAACCGGCAGTTCTAGAACCACAGTTAGGTCTAAAATAAACATAAGATTTAAGGTATCATAAGGATATAGAGAACCAGATAATCGATTTTTTGAAATTTCAAATACACGAGCACAGGGAGGGGTTTGAAAGTAACGGCGCTGCAGAATGCAAAGACCAAAAGGAACACACGACAACTGAGACAAGATCAAAACTTTTTCTGAGTACCTAACATTAGAGATTCAAATTAATGCGAATAATCCGTACCTCGGAATTTGAAATTCGGTATTCAATTCATACCTATTGCTGTTTCTTCTTCTTCGACCTCCTCTTTCTCCGGGGCTTCCGGGCATCTGAGTTGGAGCTTAAGTTGCCACTGTTGGTGGTGGAATCCACGGGGACTTTGTTCCGGAACGACGATATGCCGAGGCTGCTGGATGTGTTGCTGGATGTGGATATTCCAGCAGTTCGGTTGTATGGTTTCTTACTCGAGGATGCTGCGAATCTTGATTTGTTTTTCATCAGATTTGAAAATGGCTTTCCGGACGGGCCGGGAGGTGGCATTAGAGCACGAGCAGAAATCTGCTTCTGCGACCGACGACAATTTAGAATGGGATATGTAGTTAGTTTTAGACGGCTTATTGTTGCAAATGTGGATACGACTCGATTGCTGACCTGATTTCTTTCGTCACTGGACATCCCCGATGCAGCTTTACCCGAGGCACTAGAGGCTTGCTCCCTGTACACCCAAAAAAAAAAATATATATATATATATATAAATAATCGGTTATCTTAAAAGCATGGAATCATCATCAAGCAACGGACAAATTCAAGCACTACGTGTTTTTGACAATGATCGTATATTTCTATAGTTCAAAAGTATCATGAGCTAAATAGTTTGGTACAATAAATTCATGTCATCTTTCTACCCTTGGCGGATTTCAGTTTATTACAGCTTAATAGAAGTGGGGATTTTCAAGATATACATTTTCGGCATTCAAGGTTACGACTTTATGCCTTCTAAAGTAATTGAGAAAATATTTGAGGTTTCCTCGACGCTAAAAAGGCAGGAGGTCTGGAAACTGAAAACTTCAGAGTACCACTCTAAATCTTATTTCTCGAGACCAATCCGAACAAGCATAATAGAACCAAAAAGGAGAGAATGTAATCGTCTACATGAAGTATTTGCAGTACAAAACTGATACAAGAAGCAGTTGGAGAGTACCGTGCACTCCATTCGTCATCTGCTTCAGATGCATCACTAGAGCTCCCGTGTAAGAAGAAATCATCCTCACTGGGATCCAATAGCCCGTCGTCCTCGCTCCCTGTTTCTGTTTGCAGAAGTAAAAAACTTGATATATGAATCTCAAAAATGAATGTGATTGCAGACGGGCAGACAACATGTTAATATTAAAACAGTTAAAGAGTTCCCCAAATTCCAATTTTAACTCCTATATAAAGTACAATAATAGAAAATGAAGTTCCTTTCGATATCCCAGGAGATCACCTGCCCCTGTACCACCTTGCCCCGCACCCCTGTCCCCTCTCACGATGTGAGATATACATACACAATGTGTATAAATAACAGGACAGGGTGAGGGTGGGGGCAGGTGATCCGCTCCCCAATGTCCCTATTTTCATGTTGATAAGCATACAAAAACAACCATTTGATATCCATTTAGAATTGCTCAATTTTGCTTTTGAACTAACAGGTTTACAAATAATAAACAACGTAAATATTGATTCTGCATTAGTCTAAGCACGATGTGTGATAATAATATCCATTTCAAATATTTCGAACTACACATATCCAAACTTGAATCAGAAGGGGAAGAGTGCAGGAGAGGAATGATATACAAGGGCTGCCAACAAAGATGTGATAGATTAGCGTAAGTTACTAAGATTGCTAACGAAATTGACCGTACCAATTTAGACCACCACCCCCCCCCCCTCTCTCATACAGTCAAATGCCCGAGGGGAATTAACAACAAGCATCACAATTCTTGTTTGTTTTCTTATCATTTTGATTATTTTTACTAATGGTTCATGATTTATCACAATTGGTCACTAATTTATAAAAGACTATAACTCGATTATGATTTTATCTAGAACTGACTTTTGTGTTCCACACAATTGACAATTCTATCTTAGTGGTCTAAAAAATCAGTAAATCTCATAGAATATCTCCATCAGTCTATATGGTGGATTATTCAATGAGCAAAAAAAAAAAAAAATCACTTTTATATTTTTTCTCGGTTTTATTTGCTTGTAAATTGTCATTTTGCTTTGTAGTTCGACATTGCATTATGCATCATAGAACACAGTTGCAAAGAGCTTTGTAATTAACTAATAAGTATTAGCTTCGGCGGATTTTCAATGGCACTCTTCAGCAGCCCTGCCTCACTATAATATGGAGGTTTTAATGAAAATAAAACAGCACTAAATATTTACATTTATGTATTTCATTATCATCTACAACACATACAATGAAGAAAGCACATTTAATGCAACAAAATTGAAACATTTGGGCCAATTATTAGCACTCATGCATTATTCGACAACTCTAGCAATCATAGAATCTTGAAAGACAGATAAAAATGCATAAGATAGGATCTCACATTTATTGAATAGGCATCTAAAGTTCTAATATCGCAAGTCATTTTCTTCACAACTAACATGAAACAGTTTTCTTGACATACAAGTCAATCATGGCATGATGACGTTGCTCATACAGTGAATATCAATAGACCACACACACCATGGAGATAAATTGCCATAAATTTCCACTTCAAATATTTTGGAATCATAAGACAATTTTAGGCCTGCGTCATAGTGATGACACATCCATTGCATTCTCCATCCAAAACAATTTTCCAAAGAAAAAAGAGAAGAAACTCAAGGATTAATTTATTTATTTTCAGGGTAATTTATAATAGATGCACATAGGATAAACAGCTAAAGCCTTTGAGTAAAGTTAAAAAAACGGAAATACCTTCCAAATCCTTTCCACTTGCTGCAGCAGCAATCAGATTAGCCTTTATTTGCTTTCGCAAATTGTTTCTTTTTTCCACAATCTCTGCCTCGTCACCTCCCATAAATAATGAGACATACTTCTCCGTCTTTGGGAAGAACTGTAAGTTAGTTTTGAGAACAATAAACAAGGAAAGATTAGTAGTGTTATTTCTCCATTTAATAACATACAAAAAAAAGTGATGTAAGTTAAAAACTTTGACAAAAACCAAATTCCGTATAATTTAGCAATAAGCAGCCCTCATTCGAAAACTGTATATCTTATTTCTGTATTCAAGGATTTGACTCAAGGAATTCCAAATTCCTTGATACAGAATTGTGCATCTAGATCGAAATAATATGTCTTCATAGAAGCATTATGAATTCCAAGCTTTACCAAACAATGATGACCTATTATAACTCAACTTAAGCTGCAACTACAAAATCGCAACAAAAACTTCATGAAATATATGCAAATGGTAAAACTCGAACCCAAAATAGTTTCTTACTCCAACACAGCTCTTCAATTCCAAGTGGAACGCATGCCAGTCAGATTAGTATAGGACATCTAAAACTAATTAAAATTGACCATAGGTAAAGGAAATGCTCGAGAAAGAAGATCCAACAGAAGTTTAAACAGAGTCATCACATACAACAAAGTTAAAGACAATGCACATGGATAAAACAAAGACGAAAGCATTTCATAATACCCGAACGTATTCAAGGTCTTCTTTCAATTTAGAGAGTTGCTCGGCAATGTCTGCTTCCTGGGCCTGACTCGTCAAAGTCCTCAGCTGCTTCTCCAACCTTCTTAACCTTCGCTCAATCTTTCTTCTTTCTAGTCATGAAAAAAAATAAGTCATTGCAATGTTTATCACATCCACAGCACCGAACAGAGAAAGTTTTAACTGTAAAAAGGCTAGAGACAAAAAAAAAACTCTTAAAGGATCAGACTGGCCCACTCCTTACCGAAAAATCGAATCTTTCTGTTCCGTAAAAATATCTTACGTTCCACAGCCAGTCGAGTGTGAATCTCTTGTTGTTTCTTGAGTTCCTCCAACTTCTTTTCCTGAGTTTCCTTTACTTCTTGAGGCAATTCCTGCATATCATGTTGGTGTTAAAATTGAAGATCTCTCAACACATCAACAAATAAAGCAAATTCAAGTGGCAACCAATAATTTTGCTGAAAATTAAGTTTGACATACAAAACTACCTACAGAAATAGTAATGGCAAATTAAAGAGAAGACAGAATCAATATCACATGCAGATATAAACCCTTTAAAGACATTCAATCCAAAGTAACTACTCTTTCTTGTCAACAAAAATTCAACTATGCTATACTCCTAAAACCCTAAAAACCTTAGTGCTGGTGTTTGTCCAACGATTTTTCAAAATTTTTTACTTTTCGCTAATTTTGTTCCCCAAAAACATCACATCACATCAAACTACACTCCCTTTTTTATATCACCCCCAAACATCTATTCAAATTCAAAATTCTTTCAATTCAAAATCCAAATATAAAATCCAAATTCCAAAACAAACACACCCTAATTCTAGACAATCTTAGCATCCACAAGCACCAAAACAAACCATCCTCCATTTACCCCTTTTCTAGGTGCAACACAAATTACACAAAATCAATCTGAGGTTGCTTTTGATATCTAGCCTAATATATCTATATATATGAACAATTGACGACAGAACCACATCAATTCAACCGCAATAATTGAGTAACGCTCCAAACCGAAATAATCGAATGCATCGCTCATCCGCAGAGTAAAAAATAATCGACAAAATTGATACGAATACACAAGTGCGCGTGCGTTAGGTGTACGGATACGTGGAGAAATTAGGGATTAGGGAAAGTTGAGAGTGTGAAAAATACTCTGCGAAGCATGCGCTCAATGGAGCGAATCTGGTTTTTGAGGGAGACCGCTTTGGGCTTGACGGCGGCCTTGGATTTCTTGTCAACAGCTAGGGCTTTGGGACGGCGCTGGCCGTGGGGATTCTTCCGCTCCGCGGCGGCTGTTCGGCGCTTGCCGTAACCTCCGTGCCCCATTTTCGCCGCAGTCGTCGTCCTTCGAGAGCGGGCGGGCAATACGGCGTCGTTTTGATACTTTGTTGTGTCCAATTCTGCTGTAACGTGTGCATAGAGGAAGGATGAATGAAGGATGAATGATGTATTAATTAGATAACTATTCCCCTCAGTCCGGGTCAGGTCAGATAAAAGAAACAATATTTAGAATAGTTCACACTAATAATAATAAACTATGATATTATTTCATAGGAATAATATTGTTGATATTTTAAATATTTTATTTTAATAAAAATATATTTAACATAAATATTTAATTAAAAAATTAAAATTTTATATAATATAAATAAATAAAAATATATATTTATTTATTTGTAATTACTATAATTAGTTTTATAAAAAAAATTGAAATTTTTAAAGATAAATAAAAGTATTTGTTAAGTGAAGAGAAATAAAAATAAAAAATTTTTAATAAATTCTGCATATAAAAAATTAAAATTTTAATAAAATTTATTTATATTTGTTAATTTTATTTAAAATTAAAATTAAAGGTGTGTTTGTTTGTAAGATTTTTGCAAAATTTTACTATTCACTAAAGGAGCATCAAACATCTATTTTTTATTTTTTATATTATATTATAAATTAATTTTTCATTCAAATCATCACATCGTACTACTATTACAATTCAAAATTTTTACTATTCAAATCTCAACTCAAAATCCAAAATCCAAACCTCCGAACAAACACACCCTAAATGTATCATCTTCTAATAAAGAATCATCGGAATGGAAGCAGTACATTCAATTTCAGTAATTTTAATATTCTTACAAATTTTAATATATATATATATATATATAAACTATAATTTGAAATATTCTACTTAACTATCGGTTGCTCTCCCTCGAGCTCGGAAATTACGATCAATGAGTCGGAGCGTTCAAGCATCAATGGGTCGGATTTTGGAGTCGGGTTAATAACCTACACCGGCACAAATAGAACTATCATTAATCATTCAATAATAACCAGTACTTCATTTACATATATTTTATATGACTTTTGACATTATTTATGAACAATAGCTTTAAAATAAAAATGATTTAAAATACACTTAAAAAAATACATCAAAAGATATTTTCTATATAAAAAACTACATCTAACATATATTTATATTGCATCAAAAATATAATTTTTATTCAAATTTTATATTATTCTAAAAAAATTTAAAACCATTCCAAACTTTTACTAGACACAACTTAACCATACAATTATAACCAAAGTTCACAAATTCTACTATTAATGATAAGTTATCATTTATCATATAATTTACAAATAAAAATTAATTTATACTTGATAATAAATCTGACATATAAGATTATAAACTCAATAGCAACATGACATATCATACCAAATCTTTAAATCCATAACTTCATAATTTCGAATTCACCCCATACTATTAGATTATTCCTTAGGACACTATTTGACTTTGTATTTTACTTATGAATTTTAGTTTAATAATAATTTACATATCTTGTAAATATATATATATATATAATCGTGAAAATCGTATAGTAAATATTTAAAAAAGAAAAAGAAAAAACTCAAATAGAACATAATCTTAATCGCACAAGCTACCTTTTTGTTGTTACGAACATAACCAATGGCAACTTCTCCACGAAGATGTGCTCGCTCCGATAGTTCATTGAATGAAGGATTTTCACCATCTTTCATATAAAGATCTACATCCTGTCCACAAAGTCATATCAGTTTTATTCTTCAAATTTGCGAGTTTTAAATTGACCGAGTACTTGAACAAAACAAGGCTCAATTCAATTCTAAAACTTGCAAATTTGGAAAATAAAATATAATAAAAAATTCCAAAACAAGTACCTAATAATAATGCGAATTTTCGACAAAAACCAAAACAACTAATTGAGGTTTTTCGAGCATTTGAATGGGCATTTTCAGAAATAAAATTTGACTAGCCTAGCACTACACAATTATCCCGGACCGAATATGTGAACGAAAGTGAACAAGAGTGAGAAGTTTACAGAAAAGACTATGTCTACATTGTGGAATATTTTATAATCGTATAGAATACTCTAAATAGTCTAGAATGTTCTAATGAATTGATTGTAGCTGTTAGATCGAATCAATCTCATCCGTCCATTGGGTTGTGTATAAGTAGGGATATGCACCTCATTTGTAAACCACTAAGTTTCGAGAGCAATACAATTACTTCCTAAATATTCTCTAAGTTCCCGAGCTAATGTATTTGTGCAAGTGTTGCTAGCAAGGTTCTTAAAGATGTCAAGAAATTGCTAGGCTGACAAAAAAGTGTTCAAGGAGGAAAAATTTGATCCGTTATAGAAAGAGCTCAAACTCGAATAAAATAAATATGTAAAAACCGTGAAGACAAAAGAAGGGAACTTTCACCTTTATGTATATCTCGTCGCCCTCAGCGTTGAGAATGTCTTTCCAAACCTCGTTAAGTGCGCTATTTTCAGCCACTACTTACACAAAAAATAAGTGCACCCGTTGTCATCTTATTTCCATCCGATGTAATGTTCTAACAATGGGATGAGATGTTTAGTCAAACCTTGTGCCATTACAAGGCTCATCACTTCCTCAGCTGCAATGTATGTGTGGGATGGCCTCGTTCGCGTGATCTATAAGGAAGATGCAAAAATTAGTTCTTTGTCTTGAAATCCGACCGTGTCCTAAATGATATCATCAATTGATGTTTGTAGAAGGGAAATTTACTTGTTTCCCCAATTTGGAATCGACAATTTCTGCCACTAGGTTGTGTACCTGCCGGCAGGAACTTAGTTCGGTTAAGAAATGTAAGCAATGGAATATATACTCGAAGATAACGGAAAACATAAAACGGGGAACTCATATTTATACCATAGATTAATAGTTCAACACCATACTAACATTTTATTTCGTTCTAAAAATATCTCAAGTGGTTTAACGAACTTCTTAACAACTACAATAGATTTTTTATACATTTAACAACACAATTCTGAACCAATTTAAGAGTCCATTTACTATCAAAATAATGCAATCTATCTCTTCAAAAATTTGTTTTTAGTTTCTAGGTATCTTTTTTGGGAATTTTACAGAACACAATGAAATTAGTTAATGATTCTTTTCCGTAAATGGTTGTTGTTTTCAATACACATATATATTACATCAGTTTCAAATCTCTTGTTATTATTTTTAGTTTGGGATAGTTTAAAAATAAAGACAGAATACTAAAAAAAAAATAATCAAAATTATATCTCCTAACGTCAAACCAGACAAACAAAAAGAGACTGAAGGAGTATATATTCCTTTATGTTACACTTTTGTATGCAATGTAACTCTCATATTTTTTACTTAACCATCAAATCAAACTCTTATTTTTTTATTTAATCCATTAGCAAAAATAATTCATCAAAAACACCACATCAAAAAAAAAGTCGATTCAAAATTTTACTGTTTCCAAGACTATAGAAGAAAAATACAATTTTTTTTGAAGATATATAAAAAAGCAGGCACATACCTGTACTCCAAGTTTATTACAAATAGTTTCAGCCAGCAGTAGAGAATATGCAGAGTTCTTGTCTGCTCTCGATGGATCTAAACCATGGAAAAGAAACATTCAGAAAGGATCTAAACCATGGAAAAGAAACATTCAGAAACCAATATGCCGTTTGTATTAAATAGATTGGTGCTAAATAGAGCTACCTCCGACTTGCCACTCTCTATCTGACACTACAGCTATAGAAAATGTAAGATCGTCTTTCTTCAAGGATTTTCGTATGTTGTCGATGGAATGCTCTAAGGTATCATAATCCATCGGGTTTCCAACCTTCCCATATACAGATATAGGACATATCAATCAAACATAAGAGTTGAACAATAAAATTGTAACTTTTAGTTTTCACAAAAAGTATATATTTTCTATTTTACTCGTAAGGGAACTTTATATTGCAATAACAGATTAATTTTTGTAATTTTAGGATATGTTTGTGTTTTGTATTTAAATAATAGTTGGATGTAATGCTTTGTGAAAGTAAATAATGTATAATTATTGGGAGTCGTAAGATTGTATGGTAAAAAAACTTATTTATTACTTTTTTAAAAAGAGAACTACATTTTATTCTTTTGAAGTTTAATTTTAATTTGTTTACTATGCAATCATCGTGATTCCTTATTAAAAAAAAAATACTATTTTCTTTTATAAAATATCCAAATCACTATTCAAAAAATAAATAAATAAAATTCCAAAAGAACACACCATTAGTCGCACAATTTCTCAAGACAATTGCAGCATAAAACCTACATTTTGTTAGTATTATTATTATTATTATTAGGGTGAAGGGCATAATACACCATAATAGTAGCCTTATATTCTATTTATTGCGTAAAATCCTCTTATATTAAACATGAAGTCTGCAAAATATACTATTTTCATCCAAACATAACAATGACTAAGAATCACTCACCTATTATACGGATGACCTTGTTTTGTAAATAAATGAACATTGTAAAATTTATAAAAGCCGTCAAAATTTCACACTACAACATCGTGCAATACAATGTCATCCGCATAAGAAACGTGTAATTTTTAGTTGTCGTTAGTTTTGAATGAAAAATATATATTATTCAATACAAACTTCATGCTAACAAAAATAGGATTTTATGCAATAATAGAACTTAGAGGTGTGTTTTGTTTGTGTTTGTATTTTGTATTTGCATAATGGTTTGATGTGATGATTTTTTAGAAGGAATATTATATTTTTATTGGAGAGTACGGGAGTTGCACAAAAAGAAATTGCTAAAAGAAAAAAATTGTAATGTTATATGCATCTTTAATTAAACATAAGGTATATTGTACCCTTATTATTTTTTTGTAAATACAAATGTTATTGATATTTATTTTAATCAATCTTAACATAAAAAACATTAAGGAACTAAAATTAGTAAATTTTGAAATATTATATAACATTTTACTTTTTGTGAAAACTTAATATCTTTATTCTTTTTTAGTTATTCGTTTCATTTTTTACTATACAATTTTGTTAGTTTTAATAAAAATATATCTATATTCATATAAAGTATCACATACAACTACTAATTCTCCTAAAAAAACAACTAGCAATGAAAATTTACCTTATGTTGAACTCGAACATTTTTTAGCTTTCCTTGTCTAGTAAGCTTCCATGCTTTATTTCTATCGTCCAAAGGAACGTCAGACAAAATTTCCTGCATGTTTTCATCGAGATACAAAATAGAAGTCAAGCCGACTATTTCCTTCTTAATACTTGAAATTAGCCTAAATTAAACATTCGAATGATTGCTGAATAATTAGATGCATATTACCAGCATGCTGCCAGGGCCAAGATAATTGTTGTATTCCTCAATCATTTCAACGACATCTGGTCGCCAACCGAGCAATAATATACATTCTTTTGGGCCATGGGACGAATCTGATGTCTGCATCAACTAAATTGAAGAATAAAATGACTACCCTTGGAGCAAAAATAATAGAAGGGTAGAGAGGCATACCTTTGAGTCAGATTTCTTTGGTCTTTTTACAATGTTATTCAAACGGTTGCTTGTAGAATTCAATTTACGATGAAAAAATTCACTGTTTTGTTTAAGGGTCTCGGGGTTATTGATCGAGGGATCAGCTTCTTTAGCATCATCTGGAGATGAAAGCTGTAGTTTCTTCTTACCATGCACTGCTGCAATGAACAAAATCTGCAGAAGCAGAATAGTACGTAGGTGACTGTATAGATGTATAACTAGAGTTATTAAAAAAAAATTGAATTTCTTGTATTCGAGCTTGGTTCATTAATCTACTCAAACAAGATCATGCTCATTGAATTATTTTCTAGCAGTGAACCATTATTCACATTCAGGACTTTTAAGAAGATAGCTTTTGTATGTGCTTGAGTTCGATATTGACTTGTTTAAGCTAACTGAGGTTCATCAATCTACTTAATAAACCATTTTTATCATCGAGTAAAGATATTTTTCACAGAGCATGTAAGTAACATAAAAACAGCTAAAAGGAATGTGCCCCTTCGATTACTTGCTTGTTATTATCAAATCACACATTGTTCGAATTCTGTCTGTTGATATGTCAAAGAATCACTTTACAAACCAAGAGAATATAGAAATGAATTAAACATGCAAAACTAATTTTCGTATGTACTTTTTAAGCATACCTCTCGCTGTTTTCATTGAAATTAAACCATAAGGTGAATAATGCTTAAAGAGGATATTGTTTATAATAAGTGCATCATGTAAGACAAGTTTTTCTCACTTTGTCAGTTTCTTTCAAGACCTCATCGTCATTCGGGTGGAAATAAATCTTTCCATCTCTATAGAGACCGCAAACTACAGCCTGTTAAGATAGTCGAAACATGGGAGATGAATTACAAGCCATTCAATTGAGTGAAGGATGTTATAAAAGCTTGTTCATGCTCTTTACCTCTTGAAATCCCCGTCTCAATTGCCTGTAGTTTAGTCCCGCTAAATTAGGAAAATTGCATAAATTGAATACATTTTCTGTCGAATATCACATTGTTAGAAATCTATGCTGCTGATGAGATGGATTATCAGTTGTGAAAAATATATAAATTTAAATGGGAAGCACGGTACTCTGGTAATTGAGCAAATGCTTGTATATTTTGATGAGTCCTTTTTGTCGAGAGCATTGAACAAATAGCTTTGACACCACATTTTCCACAGGCTCTACTTTCAAACCTGAGATCGACTTCAAAAGATCACTTGTGGTCGGATTTGAAACCTGCATAACAAAAGCCAAAGTTCAATCCCAACTTAATAGAGAAGTGTCGAGCCTTCACAAATACCTCGACTATAGTAGGCACCGAGGCCATGTCAAGTGGTTGAAGCGCAAGTACAGATAGAAATGCATCCGTGTCAACTTCATACCTAATCATTAAAACATCTACATAAAAATCTTCATCATGAAATAAAGATAAAATGTTATTTTGCAAGTATTCTCTGCAAATCGCATAAAAAAGAGCTCTCATGTGCAGGTAAAATCGAACAATACTAAAAGCACCATTTTCTTCTTGTGGTGCATTTTTTCACGAAGGTCTTTATTATCTCATACATCATAGGTGAATTAAAATTTACTTTACAGAAATGCCATAAAGGGCAATTTCTTACTGATCTCCCTTCGTTGGTAATATGATTATTGCACGTGCCTTATTGGCTGCAGCTCTTTCAAATGACTTGGTTAAACTCAGGCTACAACTGAACAAGAAGGGATCGTGCTGTCATAATAGTATTCAGTGAATTGAAAGATAAGGCTTGAGTTCGTCAAGTTATAGTTTATGGGATATTCTACAACTGTTAAATGTACCTTTTCGAAAGAACATCAATGTGCTTTAAATCTTTGGCTATACTCTCTGCCACTTTGTCCATCTGCTTCCTCGGAAGATCGGATAAAAGAAGAATTCTCTGTCTCCTGTAAACACAAACCGCAGATATAAAAGAGGTAGAGCTGTCTTAAAACACTTTTACAAATAATGAAACTAGCAAGAGAAAGAATATGCAATCACCGAGCTGTAGCAGTTCCCAACCGAATGGCAAATTCATGGTATTTGTTCAGCTGCTTTAATATGAAGCTCAAACGATTATTAATTCCACATATAATGATATGATCCGACTCCAGAACTTGCATCTGTGCACCTTCTCTGAGTTTGTACATGTTATTCTGCCAAAAGACAAATCAGATGAGTCACCTTATTGTTCACCTTATTGTTATAGATCTTTAGAAAAGCCAAAGAATCGTTATATAACTCTGAATTGTTCGGTCATGGTGCTCAGCAGCCGGGAATAGAACAGTATGCCCCATATTGCAAGGACAAAGCCAAGGACACGCTCGATTCGAGTTTTTTGCTGCAGTTGAAGGCAAAGAATGATTTTTAACTGTGAATGTTGCCACAGGGCTACATGCTATCGAGTGACAAGATCGAATTGGCAAAAAATGTGTCACACTTTCAAATGAGTGGATGACGAGCAGAGGCACGCCCACGCGTCCCAAAAGCAATCCTCGAGAGGTTGAGTGCTTCCCCTGTACTTCAACACAGCATGCATTATGTCAGAGAAAGAGAAAACACTATAAAAGCGGCAAGAGGTGATTACAGCTAGGAGAATATACAGCACACATTACAATCTTGGCTCGTTCATGATATAAATCACAGGATTAAAAAAGGACAGTAATCGAAAGGAAGCTGATCACTTCATTTCTGAGTTTCTCGATACACATGAACAATCAGGAATTTTGATGACAATAAATTATGATTTCAGAAAAGAATTTCAAGGAATACAACTGGTAGAAAGTTTCTTCTACAAAACCTGCCAATAACTTGACTTTATTTTCCAACAAGCATTAAATTTGTAAGGCAAAGTTACCTCTAACTCACATGTGATTTGGAAACTCTGGGTAATTCTCCCATGTGGTTTAAAAATTGCATTACACTTCTTATGTTTTCCAAAATATTGCATCAAACTCCCTTTCCTTCTACACTTAACAGAACGTATGCGACACACACCAATAATATAAATTCTAAAGTTGGCACACTTTATTGATACAACATTATTGGCGCATGTCGCGTACACTCTGTTAAGTGTAGACGGTGGGAGAGTTTTATACAACATTCTGAAAAATATGAGGAAGTGTTATACAATTTTTAAATTACAAGGAAGAATTATGCAAATTTTCCAAACCGCAGGTGGACTTTGGGCAATTTTGCAAATTTGTAACTTAAAATCCTCAGCCATATTTATTCCCTGTACGGTCAAAATGTCTAATGCACTAGAGTTTTATTTTCTGAGCATTATGTTGAAACAAACAAGGTTGCACCAACAGATCCATAGGATTTTCAATAACAATGTAGAAATATGATCACTGTTTCACCTGAGTTTAAAGAAGAGGAAGCCACCAATAATGACAAATGTGATGCATGCCACAAGAAGCACTATAAAGAACCTGGAAAAAAAGTCCATATTATCAGTTGGTTTCAATCAAATGAAGAGTAAGTTCTAAGTTGATTGCTGGAAATCACTTGCATTATTCAAAGCAATAAGCAAAGATCATAACGGTGAAATGAAGAAAGGTAAGAAAGAACATAAAAAAATAAAAAGAGCATGTAAAATTTCTGATTTCTTCTTCCTTTGCGAGCTCGATCTGAGCTTTTTAGTAAACTTCTTAATCTTACAGGAAAGAGAAATCTATTTTGGAGTCAAGGTTCTTCGTGGAAAAAAAGTAAAATAAAATAAAGCACGCTAGAAAGCAATGTAGGAAGCAATCTAAAATGCATAACTCCATCTCTAGTTCTAACTTCTATAAGAATTATCAATTGCTATTCCTCTTTAGTTGCATTAACTGGAGAAAAGCAAATCAATTCTTGTTACTAAAGAAATGGATGTAGCCTAACATGATTTTTTTCTTTCAATCTTACGGGTGCCGAATATCATGAAACTAACGTAGAAATGCAAACTTATTGTAAAAAATTAATGTTAAAAACTTGAGAGGGGAGGGGGCGAAGGCAGAAGGAGGGAATTCATACAGTTGTTGCTTACGTTGCCACATTCCTCTCGAGTTGTATATTGAATAAATAAGCTAGTCGAGCAAGATTCCATTTGATATCTTGAAGGGAAGGTAGGGAGACATGCAATTGAAGAGGGGTTGGTTTACTTAAAGAATTAGACATGCAAGCGAAAGGCGAACTTGAAGCAGCAAATCGTTGAGCTGCACAACACAATGATTCTCGAACCACTTCCATCATCGTGGTGTTGCTATACAAATTCATCATTTTGATGAGGATAAGAGATAAGAAGGATGCCATCAAGAGCCTTTTTTTCCAAACCTGAAAGTTCTTCACAAAAGGCAAACACTTCAGACTTACAATATTCCACTCTTACCACATACAGCTATAGTGAGATGACCAAATGTATAGCAAAATCTTTCATATTTACGTACACTATAGTAAGGGGTGCAGGCCTTCTTTGTGAACCACTACCCTCTGAGCATTCAATGATATTGATTTATATAAACACGAGATATTAAATCCCCTCTTACAAAACATCACATCAAATACACAAAGTTTTACTATTTTCAAAATATTTCAATACTTCAAAACTTAAAAAACTTATATCTAAACGGAGCCTAAGACACTCAATAAGAATCACACCATTTTTTTATTTTTCTAATGCATAGACTTTTTTTTGTATCTTTTCTATTCATTCCATGAAAGCTTCAGCGGAAATGATTCGTAATCATGAAAAGAAAAAGTTAGGTAAACACAAAAATTAACACACCTGAGAACTCTTCTTTGAATCCGTCTTCAAGGAATATGTACATGATCTTCTAGAAACAGGAAGCTTCATTGCAGGGTTTAAATTCTTCCAATTTATTGTCCATTTTTCTGGAAAAAGATTGAAATGATACAAATGACACTCACCTATGAAATGTAATGTCCATATTGAATATCAGCCATACAAATACCCTACTGCTGATAGTTACCAAATATACATGAAAAGCATTATATTGAGCTTTTATTACTAAAATCAATGTATAGCTACAAGAAATGATACCCTGAATGAATTGCTTTCGAATGCTATTTAGGAATGAAGTTTCAGCAAACAAAGCCGAACAGGGGATGCACCGGCTCCGGTATCGCCTTGACTTCCTGAAAGTGATCAAACCATGAGCATAGCATCCTTTTATTCGCATGAGGTGATGAATTGGTATAAGAGTAATGCATTGAGCAGAAATAAAACCATAAGTAACATTCCATATCCAGAACACAGGACATGGAAATAATCAGTAATGAAGTTTAGTTAATTATAATAGGTTATAATATTATTCTATTATTTTTTTATGTCAGAGTTGTGTTGTTGATAGTTTTAAAATAAAAATATATGATTAAAAAAATTTAGAATATATATTTAAATATTTTAAAAATATATCTCAATAAAAAATATATATATATAGTATGGATATCTTGTTTGAGAATAAAATTTTATATAATAGAAATAGTAATTAACATAAATTAATTTTATAAAAAATTAAAATTTTTAAATATAGATAAAAAATATTTATTTATTGAGTGAGATAAAATAGAAGGATTTTGAGTGGTCATGTATGATCTATATGTTACAGAATTAATTAACTTGAATTATATTTGTTAAATATGTTTAAAATTAATGCTTCCTCCATCCGGCTAATTATGCCACAATACTTGGACACAAACACCCAAAATAATGCTCCTTCCGTCCGGCTCTAAATGTCTCATTTACTTTTTGCGTCTTTTTACTAAACGTTAAAAATATTATTATATTTGTATAATTTTTTTTGCACAAATTCCATTATAATAGTACTTCCTCCGTCATTCAAATCTATACTCACTTTTCTTTTTGGGTTGTCATCGAAAATTATTTTAGTTTCCCTTTTTAGTAAAAAATTATTATATTTTTGTACTTTTTTCACTATGAAAGGAAAAAGTAACAATTATTACTCACTTTTATTAATTCTCGTGCTCGGTCAAATGAGCACAAATTTGCATGACGGAGGGAGTATTATAAGACACTAATAGAAATATTTTTATCATTTTTCCTTAGATTTGTACTAAGTTTTCAAAAACTAAATAAGACCTTAGAGCATAACGGAAATAGTCATATTTTAAAGTTGAGTAGGTAAAACATATAATAGGATATTATAGAAAATTTATTAAAAAGTTAATAATAAAGTTGTTTACTCTAAATCGATTATGCATATGTTTATCGGATAATCTAAAAAACAAGAAAAATGGCATAATTATTACGGACGGAAGGAGTATGATTTACTTAGGTCATCTCCGACCTATTACTCTATTTTTGCAGCAGCAAGTCAAAATGAGTTGATCTACATTAATCTTACTCCAATTATAAACTTTAATTTTTTCTCTAAAAAGTATATTTCCTATATTATATTATATATTCCTCTTTTATTTCATTTTATATAATTTTTCATATCTATAAATTACACCACAACTTTTATTTCATTTTACATTATCACCCAAAAAATATATAATTTGTACTTTATTTAAAAAATTACATATTACTTTTTAAAAATAAAATTATGTATCACTTTAAAAAAAAATTACACAACATACCCCAAATATAACATAAATATACAAAAATATCTCACTTCAAAATTGGAGGGGTAAATGGGTTGGTTGGAGCCCCATCCCCAATTTGGGTTGAAGATGCTCTCTGAGATAAAAACATGTCAAATAAGATGGATAGACTTTTGTTTGGGGGTTGGATTTTCCCCAAAAAATATCAAATCAAACACCTAATTTTTTATATTATACTAAAAATTAATTTTACATTCAAAATATTACATCAACCCTTGTTTATATCACATTATACAACTATTCAAATTGAAAATTTTTACTATTCAGGCTGCAGTGGGTTGTGCCAAAAATGGGGGGAGGGGCTCCAACCCACCCCCAAATCCCCCCTCTTTATGCAGTAGCGCTGTACCTCCATTCCACATTTTTGGAGTTTTTGTGGTGTTTGGTGTATTTTGTTATTTTTTTGGGTGTATTGTGTAATTTTTTATTTTTTTTAGAATAATGATATATAATTTTATATTTTAAAAAGTTATATGTAATTTTATTTTATTTTTTGAAAAATAATATATAATTTTATTTTTTAAAAGTGATATATAATTATATTTTTTGAAAAGTGATATATAATTTTATTTTTTTAAAAAAATGATATATAATTTTATTTTTTAAAAGTGATGTATAATTTTATTTTTTTTAAATTATTTTATTTGTAATAGTTATTTATAAATGTTAATTTTCATATATGTAAATTTTAAAAAAATATAAATTATTAGGGTGTAATTTATAAATATGAAAAATTATATAAAAAAGAATATATAGAGAATATATTTTTTAGAGAGAAAATTGAAATTTATAGTTGAAGTAAAATCACTCTAGATCATCGGCATTTTTCCTCCAAAAATAGAGTGAAGGGTAGTGAAGGGTTAGAGATGCCTCAAATCTAACTCAAAATCTAGCCCCCCCCCCCCAAAAAAAAAATGGCCAGACTACACAACCAATTTCGAAGATTTATAAAATCCATTTATAAAGTAATGAATTTGATGAAATAACTTTAATACAAATCCCATGCTATTGGTACTGGTTCAGTAATTTTATCAAACAGGTTGTCTGCACTAACCATCCTGAGCCTGACCACATAAAAACAGAGAAATCTTTTTTCATCTGCAGATAGAAAAGTAAAAAGGGGAAAGGACCAACCTCTTAGAAGATGAAGATGAAGATGACGATGACGATGAATTCAGTGTGGGAGGCGACAGCCATGGCCGCAAGCTGTGCAACTGCAATACCTCCATTTCTTCTTCACTATCCTGAGACAGAAACAGATGGATTGTTTCTTCAGTGCATCACCGTCCTCGGAATGGAATTGAATGGCATCGATTAAACGCGCGTGCAAGAATTGAGCATATGTCAAAATGGGATTGCAGGTCAGACAAAGACATAATAAAATCTACATCAAAGCCAGCCAACCGCACATCAAATTTCCATCAAGAACTTAAGGGTGTGTTTTATTCGGTCGTTTGAGGGTTTTAATTTTTTTTTTAAAGGTAAAATTGTTTTCAAAATTTAGGGTAAAATCTTTCTGTGCTTTACAAATTGCATGGTATCGCTTATATTTTAGAAAAACGTAAACTCTACCATCATGAACTTTTTTCTTGTGATAAGAAAATGATTTCCTCTCTATATATTGTATGACAGGGGTTTTATGCAATATTTTTGAAAATATAAGTGAGTGTCATGTCACAAAGTGGTTTCATGCAATATTTTTTTAAAAGTATAAAGGGCGTCATACAATTTTTAAAATAGAAGAAAAATTCACGCTGAGTTTCGAAACCACAAGGAAGTTACGGACAATTTTGCCATTTTTTTTATTTGAATTTTTTATAGTAAAAAATTTTAAATTTGAATAATTAATTGACGTAATATAAAATAAAGGTCGATGAATATAAATAAATTTGTACTCTAATATAAAGAAATAAAAATAATTGTTTGATGTAGTAATATTTTTGAAAAAAAAAATTAATAGTAAAAATCAATGATAAAATCAAAAAAAAAAAAAAGATAAATATTTGTTTTTTCTAATATTATGGGTTTCTTTGTTTGGTAAAATTATTTGAAGTTATATTTTTTTAGAATTGAATAAACAATATAAAAATAATAATGTTTATAATATTATTAATTTTTAAATACTTTAATTAAAATAAAAAAATTTTAAATTTTAAATTTTAAAATTTAATTAAAGTATATAATTATTTTTTTTAAAAAAATAATATTAGTGAAATATACGAAAATATAAAAGGTTGAATAAATTAAGAAAGGTTGAATAAATTAAGTAGGACGAATAATTTTTATTGAAACAACACATTTACGTTTTTGTTTAGATGAATTAATTTTTATTATTTTTTAAATATTTTGTACGATAAAGCAATATATTTTTATTATAAAATTTGTCGTGAATGATATAAATGTAAAAGAATAAATTCATTTCGATATTTTATTATTATTCCCTATGTTTCACATACTATATATTTTAATTTTAAAGGTTATATGTTTTAAATTTTAATTAAATTATTTAATTATTTTAAATTTAATTTTAATTTATAATTATTTTATTAATATATTTTTTAATTACTTACTAACAAAAAATTATTTTTATAGTTATTTTTATTATTTTTTTAAAAAAAACTTTATTTAAATTAATTGGTTTGAAAAAAATATTTAATTTTGATTTAGTATTAAAATAATATTTAATGAATATTTATAAAAGAAATAAATACTCCCTCTTTTTCAAAAGAATTGTCTTGTTTTTTCATTTTCTTCCGTCCCAAAACAATTGTTCTGTTTCCTTATTTAGTAATCGTGGTCCCCACTTTATAACAAAATTATTCATACTTTTCCAAACTACCCATAATTATTACTCTAACCTGCTTTTTAAAATCCTTCAAAAAGTAAGGACATTTTAGTTTTTACATTATATTTTATACTACTTTCAATTAAATACTATTATTCATTCATTCCCGTGCCAACTCCCGACAAGACACTTCTTCTGGGACGAATGGAGTATATTTTTTCGAGAAATATAAAATTGAAATAGTAAAAAACGTCGGGATTGGGTAAAAAGAAACAGACCTATAACTCTTTCTAATTTATATGTAGTGTAGTCAACACTGGGTATAATTATACACCAATACCAAAATACTCTTTAACTTTTATTTAAATTACAAATATATAATTATTTTTTATATTATTTTTTGTACATACATAAACAACCGTTCAAATAAAAAAAAATGGGCTTGAAGTAAGTTGAAACTAAAAATAAACGGTAAAAAAAATGAAATAAATAAATATAACAATTTTACCTCCCCGGAGCCGCAAAGCTGATTTCGTCACTGCGTGAGATCATTGTTCAAAATTTATTATTGGTATTGTCTACTATATTTAGTGTATTTTTATTAGATTGGAGGTTTATTCAAAGCACACTTTAAGATTTCACACTTGATTCGTTTGATAGGATTTGATTTAAGGTTTATTCAGAGTATATTCAGTGTATGATTTTGAAATTATATGGAGAGTATTTGGTAAACAATTTTTTTAAGAGCTTTTAGCTGAGTTTTAGCTGTTTGACCAGTAAGCCAGTTAATTTTAGTGTTGGGTAAAGTTTTCAATTAGTTTATTTTGGGTCCAAAAAGCTAATTTTGAAAAAGGCGTTTCGGATTAACTTTTTCATTTTAATTTTTTCTTATTTTTTATTTGCCCTTAAAATTAATTAATTCTTTCACTTATATTCATATATTTTTCTATTACACTATTTATTAATTATTTAGATATATATTTTTCTAATAACTTATAAATTTATATTTATAAATTTAAAATAATTATTTTTTTATATGTCAATTATCTTATTTATATTTTATTTTTATTTTTTAATAAAAATAATATAAAAATATTAATTTTATTCAATCAATTATATAATATTTTTTTATCACATAATATATTTATTAAAAACAATATATTTATTTTAAATTATAAATTTAATATAAAATATATATTAATTAAAAATTAATCTAATAAAAATATGAATAATTTTTGTTTTTTTTTATATTTATACTATTTCTAATAAAAAAATAAATATATTTTCAATAAGTTTGTATTAATTTTTTACAAAATATTTTTAGAATAATAAAAACAAATATCTTACTAAAAATTTTTAAATTTTTAAAATTAATAATAAAATTATAAAAAAAGTCTACTCACCGAAAAAATTCAACTAAATATTTTGAAATAAAATATAAAATATACTTAATTGTCATTTTACGTATAAACAACTAATATCAAACCGTTAATTTACAAAACACTTTAGTACAAACAACTAATTATTAACTAATAGCTAACCGCTATCAGCTAATTGACAAAAACGCCCCTAATTTCCGATCCCATGCTTTCATTATCATTTGATCAAATATGGTTCATCGATTCCGTTTTGCCTTTTTGATTAGGTGGTTGGATGGTTCATTGTTCTTCGGTTTTGATCCTTTCCGTTGTTGGCCTTCAATCGCATGACTTTGTTCCTAGAATCTTGGGTCTTATTCAAATCTTTTTTGCTTATTATACGTGGGCTTTATTAAAATCAACACACCAATTATTTTTATATTATAATACGATTTTTCACAGATAAAAAATACTGATTTGAACTAAAACACTAAATAAATATATATTTTTATTAATTGTCAGTTTTTATGATGAATGTATAAATTAATAAATATTTTAATTAAAATGACAAACTATACTGTACTATACTTATCTCAAAGAACCCGACATCTTTTTATCTAAAAAAATTCAATTCAAAAGCAAAAGTATAAAAGTAATCCAACACACCTCATGACCCTCTTCTTTTTAATTAATTAATTATTTATTTATTTATTATTTATTTTTTCTGGCCATCTTCGGAGAAAATGAATGGAAAAAGCCAGTCATTATAAAAATAAAATAAAATAAAAATAAAAGGGGTTGACTTGTTGACCCAGCGCAAACGGGTCGGTCAGTCATTCCACTCATGCATTACAATTATTTATGGTTATGGAGGAACCAACGTCCATGGCGTCCACGATTCTCCATTTCGCTCCTCCTCTTCTCCGGGTACTTACCATTTCTCTGCCATTTCTTTCCTCAATTTCCTTTTTCTGCTCGATTATTGGCTGAATTGATTTACTTGTTAATTTTTTCCTTCTGTTCATGAAATTATTGTTGTTCCTGTTCGTGTTTAGTTTCATGTTCTCTGTTACTGCTCGAATTAGCATTTTACTGCTGTAATTGTAATTTTACAGCTCGATTCCTTGCTTGAGTAGTTGTTTTTCTGGTGTTCTTTTGTGACCTAGTGTTTTGAGGGGGCGGTGGGGTTGGGGAGGGATATAGGATTTTAGGGGAATAATCGGCAGAGGGTTGCTAATTTTTTAATCTGTTTGGTCATGAAGTGCCTGTTCAGCTTGGGGAAGAATTCATAATAGAGTGGAGACTGATTATAGTTGTTTTAGTAGGTTGGAGATGATTAATGGAATAATGGTTTAGTTAGTTATATTTGTTAAAATATATGTAGAAAATTTAGAGCATATTCATGGTAGATATCTTATTATTTGAGAGATTTGTACGTCATTATAAATAAATATGTACGAATTCTTATAATTGAAATAGAGAATTTTAGTTATATAACCATGGACAAATTCTTACTTTTGACTCTAAGGCCGTTGAGAGGCGTGCTTTCGACTCTAGTTCTGGTAAGATGAGCGAATCCTGTTTTCGACTCTTATAAGTAAGGGAAGTTCTATTTTCAACTGTAACTGTGGTGAGAGTTCTGCTTGATTCAGTGGACCACTTTCAGTCAATCTTGGCAAATTCAAGTTTGTTTGCAGAAAATTTCGACTATATATTTTTCGATTACTTCAGACAAATTCAAGTTTGTTTGATCATATTTTGAGTTTGATAAGAAGTGTTAAAATATATTATATCAAGGCTCTAATCGCAGCCGTACTCTCTCAATCCAAACGTTAGAAGACTAGGCGCCTAGTAAGAGACAACATGTGTAGGATACTTATTCGAAAACCATAAACAAGGCACAAGTATTTTCTGAGATCATAATTCTTTAGATAATTGATACAAGAAGCAGTGGCCGACTGATGAGGCTAAGAATGTGCGCGTGTTTACACAATTCACAGGGAATTTATATTTGAAAATCAGTAAATAGAGTTTATAGGAAACGATCAGATTGTAGACCCTGAGTAGTCATCACAATTATTTATACTCTTTTTACTGGTGAGTTTCCAGGTTGAACACAAGGATTTTAAGTCATGAATTTCAACGGTGAAGATCTTAAAAAAGCGACGAAAATACAGGAAGGGATCCGCTTATAGCGGATCCGAAAGCTAGACTATAAAAAGAGGTAAATAAAGCGATAAAAATGGAGTGAGCGGAAGTGAACGAAGCGAAAGCGGAAGATGAA